TTTTAATTAATATTTTTTCCATTTGTGCTGTGGAAATGTACTTAATAACAATCTATCAATGTATTGAATTTTTATTTCTTATTTGTTGTTAACTCTCTTTTACTCCATTTTTTAACATTTTTACCGTATTACGAAAAGTTCAAAATGTCTATTTTTTGCTAGAAATAAAATAGCAAAGTTTTTGACTTAACAAACGATTGCAAACGAGAAGCAATTAATTTCGGAGAATTCCGCAAAAAAGGTTTCGTAAATGGACGATTTCACACACGTTAGACAGGAACCAAGAAACCTACCAACGCGTAATAATAATAGGCCCGGTCTCGAAGATTCTGCAAGTGCTATCGTATGGCTACTTCCTTTTTTACACCATACGACCGTCGACCTTAACACACTTGCCGGTTTTATCTTCATCTGCTGTTTTGTTATTGTTATAATTTCGATGAAGAACGTTGTAAAATGGCTCGGTTTTACGTGAACATTCGATTTTTAATTAGTCTCTATAGGTCGGTCAAACGAAGCAATTTTTTCATCAATTACTTATGTAGTTAACAATAATATTGTAAGGACTTTTGTAAAATTCTTTGCAAAATTCTATTTTGTGAGGAACCTGTTTCTTTGATGGGTCTTAGGGATTTGGTTTAACTAAATATGTTAAAAAATTAGCAAATTAAAGCAGAATGATGTAAATTGGGTGCAAAAGGGATTATCTATAGGTGTTAATCCTATGGGTAAATTGGATGCGGAGAATTGAAGATCCTTTTAACCTGCTCTTTAACCTGTACTTTTTAACACTTGCCCCAACTAAAACTTTTAAAGTTTCGAGACACTCCAATTAAAATGTTCTGATGGACCGTCTAAAATTTAAAATTATATTTGAAGTTTGCAAATGAACTCAAATTATCCCCTTTTATCTACCTGAAATATTATATTTCAATATACTTATAGACTTAAAATATTCTTTTAATAAATAGATTTCAGGTAATAAATAATATATTTTTGCTCCCGATTTACCACCGTTTAATAAAACACAATCTTTTTTGATGAACTGGACTATGAAATTGAATTCCTATCCTCATAAAAATTATAAACATCACGGTCATATAGTAAGTACTTGTAGAAGGTTGAATTGGTACATCCTTTAGGAAGTTCATGCGTTTCCAAACGAAGAACTACACGACAATAAATTAAAGAGAAAAAAGATAATTTATTTAACAATTAAAATTAATGAGTACAGTTTCAACACTGTCTGGGTGTTGATTTTCCTCAAAATTAGTTGGTGTTGCAAGTTTACGGTTCGAATTAAATAAATACTAATAAAATAATTGTTGTACAACTCATTCGTAATGCCCTATTTAAGTGCGCTTACATAACGGCAGAAAAATTAAACAGTTTAAAAAAATGTCATTCTATCCACAAGTATTCGATCGCTTTATGGCGAGAAATATCAGATTGCTTATAGACTTTTGAATATTGCACACTTTAACACTTTCCGAAGTACCCGTAACCTATTAAGATAGAAACTGGAGTGCATTTTTCCTTCAATAACAAGTGTTGTTTTTGAAGTACAAATTAAAGCCTCTGCGGTTTAAACAATGCACCGGCGAAATATGCAATTTTCTACATCTTTGAACACTGATACAGATGCACGATGTAATCGAGGCGGTTCCCACGTTCAATCGAAAAGAGTTAAACAAAAACTCAAGTTTATTGTTAATTTGGTCACAGTGAGAACATGGGCGTACTCTGTAGGTACTTGGTGGAGATCCTCCACTGAATGGCGTGGAAAGTGGCAAACTTTAATATAGAAACAACAGTTAAATAATTAATATCGTTTTTGATACAACACCTACTTCTCCTTCACTGGATTGTGTAACAGTTAATCATTTTATCAAATGTATAATAATGCTCAATATTAAATAAGAGTGCGTAGAAATTTGTATTTCACGGTAGGTATCGGTAAATTAAATGTAACAGGTGTAACTGTACATTTTTGGGCCTAGGAAAATCCTAGTCTAGCGGATGACGATGGCAAACATTGTCAAAGCGTTTTTGAAATACTATAATATGAAAAAAAAAGATGCGATTAGTTCTGGGATTGGCAAACAAATTCTTTTATTTATTCACATTGCCGCGATTTTATTTCGTTATTTGAACAGTTAGCGATTTCGTTCTGGTATTTTGGAACCGTTTGAATTTACATTTTTTGTGTTTCAAAAACGCGCAATGGAAAATATCATGCCATTTACTTGGATTTAGTTTTTATTGCATTTCATAATACATTTTTGTTGTCTATAAGTATGGAACTAATGATAAAAATAAAGGTAAAAATTAATTATTTTCGACTATTAATATAATCATGCAATCCGTTCCAGAAACGGTGATGGGACTGAAAATTTGAGTTAATAAAAAAATTGAAGTGCAGCCTTTCTCTGTATGAATGACTTGAAAAATCTTCATTTTTAATTTTTCAAAGAAAAAGCATTTTCTATCGGTTTTCATTTAAATTAATACGTAAATAAAAAATGTCAAATCAAAGTTCAAACTTTCACAATTTTTCTCATACAATACAATAATTTATTAACATGCATCCCATTAACAATTATTATGTGTTGATTTATTTACACCCTACACATCAGATTCCAGATTTTGATACAACAAACTTATTTTTTCGATAAGCAGTACTATTTATAAAGAATAACTTTTCTTCATAAACTTAAAAATAACAATTTTTTTTCTCGTCCAGGGACAAACTATATAGTAATTTTTTTATTATATCTAATATTAATAGTTTGAGAAATCAATCAATTTTTATTCCAATTTGAATTCAAATGTGATCTTCACAAGTAGATATACAAAACTTTTGTGCCGATGGGTTGGTACAATAAGTTTTTTTTAAATTCCAATGCACCATAATTTCATTTATTATCTACTAATTTCCTATCTAAAAAGTATATTTAAAGTTGCACAAAGGGCCAATGATTAAAAAACGCTATACGTAGCTAAATAATCATCAATCATCATCACTAATAATGATTGAACATACTTTAAGAAGCCATAATGCAACAGTAATTGCTTCATAGTAGTATCTTATTTCTCTAACGATTAGTATAATGCCTTCGGTAAATCAAAGATAACAATAAGGTAGCGAAATAAAACCCGGCATTAATGGATTATTTCACACCGAATGATCGAGTTTATTTTTTCGACCACAAAAGGGCCTTGAAGAAAACGACCTCCTGGACTTCGATAAATTACACAGCTTCGTGTTATTTTCCTTTTTTTGCGCGCGTTTTTGCTACTCCCATCTCATCCCATCGACGTCGGGAATATTCATGTAAAAATTGATTTTATTTCGGAGGTAACAGAAATATTTTATAGTGTATGAATTGCTGAGTAGAATTGTGTTTATTGTTATGCATGGATGAATCGATGTGCGTGAAATGTAACCAATGAAATTATTTAACTGTTTTATGAATTCAATAAATTCTTCAATAAGTTTCTAGCGCTTAACCCGATTTGCAACGCAAACGCCTACATTATTAATTTAAATTATTTATACTCTAACTGTTACCTGTGGATTGAATATTATTTGCGACAATTTAACGAATTTCATACCTAATGAAAATTTTTTTGCCAACAACCGCTGTAAATTGATCGACATTTACCTATTTAATCACTCGTAGATTTGATATAGAGAGAATGAAATACATTTATGGAGGAAATGATTTAGATCTAAATCACAAAATATAAATTACTCACAAATTACACATAATTTATTACAAAGCATCATTTTGAGATTTTGAGTAATTCAAATAAAAGTTTGTGCAGTTCCAACAAAAGTTTGAATAGTCCCAGAGTAGTTCTAATTAAAGTTTGTGCAGTTCCAATAAATGTTTGTGCAGTCCCAATAAACAATAGTTTGATAGTTTGATAGTTTCAATAAAATGTTGAATAGTTACAATAAAACTTTGAGTAGTTCCAATAAAATTGAAATATAGCCCCAATAAATCTTTGAGTAGTCCCATTAAAGGTTAAGTAGATCCAATAAAAGTATAAAAGTTTCAATAATTCCAATAAAATTATCCAATAAAGTTTACAAACTAGATTAAAAAAGTCAACTATTGATTAGTGCATAAACAAGTCAAATATAGTAATGAAAATAAAATTATGAAATATTTTCCTTATCTCATATTTATAGCTCTTTATACTGAAGCGCAATAAAATAATTGATGGTATCGTGTAGGATCGTGATTTTTTTCTTATACTTAAATATGTATTTTATACGGAGATTGCGAGTTCTTGAGCATAAAGCCGCTATTGAATTGAGCTCGAGATAATGAACAAATACGGCAAGTCACTGGGAAACTAACAATAAGGCCGATCTATGTTTTTTGTTATCGACAATACGAGTGTGACTAAGTAAACTCCATTATATTTCTGTAGGTTTAGGTGATGGTGTGTTTTTGCGCTATTATTAAAGCGGACGCTACGAGATTTTCATTTAGAACTTCCCGGTTAATTTCAGGTAAATTGGATTCGCACAGAGCAACGTTTAAATGAAAAGAACTTGAATCGATTATTTGTACGTATATGTAATAAACTTCGAATTGATTAAATAATTCAAAGAGATTATACAATCTGTCAGATGTATGTCCTTGAATTGGGAGTTAGCTGAAATGTAATTTTGTGATAATATTGGTGCGATACTGCGACCGCGAAAAATTACTGAAACATCTGACTGCCATGCTACACAAAAATTTAAGTTTAATCGTGATTTAAAAAAAGGTTTGTTGATAAAAATGTTACAAAAATAAAGAATAATAGTTTATTTGCATTTTATTACGAAAAAATAAAAAATAAAGTTGTACCCCTGGTGGGACTCGAACCCACAGTCCCCGGCTTAGGAGGCCGATGCCTTATCCATTAGGCCACAGGGGCTTGGTACTAGGTTAAACAGTTCCATTACTTAAATGTAATTAAAAAAAAGTGGTATTAAAATTTTATATTTTATAATTTTAATTATGCGTATAATTAATTAACAATTAAATTGCTTAATTATTTAAAACACATGAATTGACGAGGTTTAAAAAAGTTTATTACAGTTAAGCTAAACATACAATTTCTAGACATTATAAGTTAGTATTAGTTATAGCTATACACAGAATGTCGCAAAAAATTTTTAACTCTCGATAGTAAAAAATTCTGCGCAATTCTATTTAATACGAATTGTCTAACATTTTTGCTTTAATCATCAAAAATATCAGACAAATTTATCCCATATACACCATACACCAATGATTAACGACACGAGCTAAATTCAAACGAGGCGATAAAAATTTGTAACAAACCAAATTTTAATCGCCCTGTATATTTTTGAACGTATTCAGCGAGTAACTTTTACTATTCCCGATTTATTAAATGAGGCTGAGGCCCTTTTACAAATTACAATAGGTGTTATGTATGCATATAACGTAAATATATAGATTCAGTCGACTACAGTTTTTTTTAAACACAATTATAATTTGATAATTTTGACACCCTTTTTTTATTAATCTCAGGTTTTATTTAAGCCCATTAATATCTTAATCGTAATCAAGGGTGCTCTGACGAAACATTTTCCAAATTGTCAAATTTAACATTTGACATAATGTCGATTCATCAATCACCGTTAATTATGATATTTACCTATTAATTGACTCATTATATCCTAATTACTTTTTTCAAGATCAATATTACATATTACATCGTTCTAGCATACACATAAGTAAAAAATTGTTTTGCAATATGGTCAATTCTATACGAGTTAAACAAAGAAAGATTATTAAAATAACAGTGGATAAAGTGAGAAAGTTACAATTCAATTAACAACGTCACTCTTTCTTTTTCCAATGAAAGTTGTCTTCGTTGCACACATAGCCTATATTGCAAACAATTTGCATCTACCTGTATATACCAAATTTTAATTCACATCACAAACATCACAAGATCCTGCCGTATTGCAATCCTCTGGAGTGTGAAGGGCTGTTCCTGGGGCTTGGGCTTTCGCGCAGGAGCAGTTTGCTGCCGAAAATGGAGCCGCTGGTGCTGCTTCCTGAGAACAAGCTCCTGGAGTAGTAAGGGATGCCGTGCCCGTCCCGCTTCGATTTGATCAACGAGCAGGCTGCTATTATTATAGCGATCAGAAAAATCATGCCGAGGATGCAGAAGGCTATGGCCATTTTGTCCTGCGACACGCAGAATGTCCTGTCGCCCGGTATGTTTGTAAAAGTGAATGTTTCCGGAACTGAAATGAATATACAGGACGAATTAGAATATATTCAGGGTGTTTGGAAATTCAAGATACTAACTGCGGGGGTTACTAACATTTTGAACATAGAACTTTGGGATCGTTGGCGTCTCCTAGCGACGCTAGGCGTCGTCAAAGATTTTTCCGTCCAAACTCAATAAATAAATCAGGCGATCGCGGAGGTCATGGCGTTTATAACGTAGATTTCCGGACACCCTGTTTATAGAATATCACGTAGAATGAGCGTTTGTACGTGTCCCCAAAAAAAATTTCATGAGGACAAAAAAAATAAAAAAAAAAATTCATGATAAAATTAAAAAAAAAGCTCTCCACGGCGGGGAATCGAACCCCGGTCTCCCGCGTGACAGGCGGGGATACTGACCACTATACTACCGAGGACTTGTGGAAAATTGAACTCAATTATTATATTTAAAGCAATATGCGTAATCGGGACCAAATTAAAAATCAACATTTTTAATTTTATACAGAAGTTGCATGAAATATTATAATTACCCAATTGAAAACACTTGATTGAAATTATATGTAATCTGAATCAGAATGCTTCTTAGGTTACCTACATGTAACATAATTACAATAAATAATTACATTTTCAAATAAAATTAATTTTATAAAATTTTTCTTGAAAAGTTAATGAAAAAGTATCCTTTGTTAAAATTGAAGTATTCTTTATAAGAAAAAAAACAAAAAACATGTTTCCGCCCGGGATCGAACCGGGGACCTTCCGCGTGTTAGGCGGATGTGATAACCACTACACCACGGAAACTTGTTTAACTTGATCCATTAATACGCTGATATACTAAAAGGCTGTATTAATAATTAATTATACAGGGTGATACACTTATTACTTACTATTACTTTCAGCCTGTCCGTAAATAATCGTTTTTTATTACAAATCTCTAAAAGGTCCATTTACCTAGGTTTGCCGTTGTGCCACGAGAAACCCACCTTACCTAACCCGAACCATACCCGAATTTCCCACTTTACCCAGGTAAACCTAGGTTTAGTTGTTTATCTAACTTTACCCGTAACATACCTATCAACTGTTAGACACAAAAGATTCTACGCCGCGGTTATGCAGTAATAATGGCCGGCCGGTAATCGCAGAAAAAGAATTTAACTACCTCAATAAACTCGGAATCAAACGCACATTAAACGTCACGCTGTAAATATCCCGTATAAATAATGATCTAATTTTTATTTCTCATGGCCATAAAAGCTAAAAGCACGCATAAGTCCTTATACCTACGCGGCAATACACGTGAACTTTTAATTGGAACATTTGTCTTATGAGGCCACACGGTTTTGCTCGTTCTCCCAGACACCCCATAAACATCTAATTTCGTGTTATTAAGGACCTATGAACTGCGGTGGGATGCTATTACTCATTTTATATGTACACTATTCCAGCCTACGTGAATAGAACTAAATAACCAGCGGGATATTATTAATGATGTATATTTTTACACGGAACTGGGTAATTTCATAGAGGTTTTTGAGCGGTTTTTGAAGCGAATTTACAGCTCTTTTAGTGAGTTTTTGTGCTGATATTTTGAAGCGATTTTAAAGCAGTTTTGATTTCAGAGAGATTTTTGATTTTAGAGCGGCGTGAAGAGCTTTTGAAGCGTGTTTAGAACTGTTGTAGATCGATATTGGAGCGGTTTGTGAGCAGTTTTAGATCTCTTTTCAACAACATAGATTCTGCAGTGTACAAGTTGCAGGATATCGTTTTAAACTTCGTAACTTAATTATAAAAGTAATTATAAAACGCAAGTAAATAAATACTTTTTTTAATTAGGTATAGATTACCCAGCTCCTACCTATGTGAATGAACTAAATAACCAGCGGGATGTTATTAATGATGTTTATTTTTACATCGAGGATATTCTCCAAAAAAATTATTAACCGACGGGAATATAACGAAGTAGAAAGTACTTCATTTGATCTGACTGTTGATCATAGAAAATTTACAATATTACAAGATAATCTTTCATGTAGGTACTACATATGTTGGGTTTGAAATTAAAAGTAATTCAAATTGCAAAAAAGTTTGAATTAATCCAATCATATTATCCAACGTTACTGCGCCTATTTGTATAAGAAACGTATACAGGTATAATGGGTAAGAAATAAGATTTAGATATAAGAAATTTCTAATAGAATGGAGAAGTGGACATACTATACTAATTTTTGTGGAAATTAAATTATCGTGCAATTAGTAATAAACAATTAATTATTAATTGATATATTTCATTAGATGTTTTTCACTTACCAAATTTTTCATAAGTCTAGTGTGCCTACATTGAACTGGAGTAAAGGAAAAGAATTGTGCAAAAGAGGGAAGAAATAGTAAAATGATATACAAAGTGCTAATATACAAGTGTATTTACAATCAAAAACCACTTTACAAACATAGTTTTTTACAATCAAATCCGAATTAAAGTAGAACAGAAGGCTATGTACAATCCGCCTCGTCGACTTACCGCTCTGGAGCCTTTCGCTGCCCCTTAAATCGTCGATTTCCGGCGCAATCACCTCAACGCTGTTGAAAACCTCCAACCTATCCAAAACGTCCCCTTCGGAAGCTTCGGAGAAGGCTCTAGGGCTCCGCATGTCATCCAAACTACCGCAAGTGTGCTGTAAACCAAACTACTCGTTAATCAAACGAACTGCTGATCCTCAAGAAAAAAAATTGTCTAAAGTACTAAATCACCTTAGAACATTCCCCTTTGCAGAGCTGCAGTCCGCAAGACAAGTGCAATCTGTCTCTGTCGGGGAATTTGAACGCGGAGAATCTGGTCACGGCTTCCTGGTGGTGCATCAAAGCTATGGGCCTGATGGGGCCGTAGATTAGAGCGGGCATTAGAGCCTCGTCGACGGGACAGCCGTTTTCGTTAATGAGCTTCTGAGAGGAGTCTCCGAGACCGTCGTGGGCTATGCAGTCTACTACTTTCCAGCCTATGCCGACTGGAACAAATTATTCAATGTTATAAATGATAATGAATTTGGTTGAAAATTGGTTGATTCATTACTTAAGTAACTGTTTTGTTGCCATTGGATTAAGGTATATTACAATTAGTTTCATTACCTGGTAGAGTTGATTTAACGCTCAACATAGCAATTTCTCCAACTTCAAGAGTATCAAAGGATGTATCCTCCGAGCTTTCGGGAACTATCTCCATCCACGCTCTTGCTGCTGATAGAGCTTCGTTAAGTTCCTCTTCGAGTTGTTTGCCGTCCAGTTCTTTAGACCAGCCCTCGTTCTTCATACGTCCGACTCTATAAAATAAACACAAAAAACCTAATTAAAACTGCTCTGAAAATCTAAAACCATAAGCTCCATGAGCTGCTGCAAATCTTCAACAAATTTAGTGTAAAAATGCTTAAAATATAAACAGTTCAAACACTTTCAAACACGTTCAAAATATAAACACGGTTCAAAAACACTCTGAAATCTCCTAAAAACTGCTTTAAAACCCCATTAAACCAGCTGCAAAACATCCCAAAAACTACTTTAAATCTGTCCTATGAATCGCTCTAAAATCGTTACGAAAAGTGCCCCAAAACCACTCTAAAACCGCGACAGGAATAGTTCCAAAAATTCTCTAAAACCACTCTAAAACCGTCTTTAACCCCACATTAAAACCAGCCTATAATCGCTCCAAAACTGCTCTAAAATCTCTGATAGATGCAAAAACCATATTAACCTTTGATGTATTCTTCCATCCTTCAGCTGCTTCAGTGTTTTTGCCAAAGCCTTGCTCTTCACCAAAAGATCTTCGTCCTTCAACGGACACTTGATGGTCTTCTCTTGATCGCTGATCTGTCTCAAGTGCCTGTCTTGCTGAATCACAATATTCACCGTGTAAAACATTTCAGCCTCATGTTGATTTGTCGAAGCTGAACTCAATCTGACACCGCACCCTGAGGTGGGTAAACTTAATTGGATTTTATTGGACATGTCACCTAAAAAATATCGAATCTAAATTAAACATGTAAAGAAGTGGAAACGTGAAGAAAAAAATCGTTGCAGTGGCGTTGCATTAGTGTTTAGGAAATATTATTTTTTATATTACCTTTGGCTTTGCATTCCTGCGCGAAGTCCTTGGCGAAAAGCAGCCCTTTAAAGGGCAAGTGTGTCGAAATGGAAACGTTGAAATTGTCGGAGTCGCAGGTAAAATTCAATCCTGTAATTTTGTTGAGGGCTATCGGCAGAGGATATCTCAAACTGGGCGGAAACGCCATCTTTACGGGAAACGGAAACGACGCCATTGTTAGAATTTGGAGCGCGTAAATTAAGCGGTTTTTCGCCATGTTGCATCAGAATCTGCAAATCAAAATATATCGAGACGAGTGTTAAATTAATTAATTGCTAAATTTGTAATAATAATTTACTTTCACTCTTAAAATATACCTTAATATATATTTTTTTAATTAGAGCGTATCAAAAATGCGATTTCGATGTGATCATTAAAAAAATGTTTAATTTATCTAATTACCTACTGAAAATTCGATCGAATTAAATAAAATCAAAATAAAACTAGCAAGTAACATGTAAATAGGGGAAAATCAAAAGCAGCATCGAAACCAATAAAATCATCATAAAAATGATAAATGTTAGTGAAACAAAAATTCATTAGGTAATATAAAAATACCACTGAGCTCAGGATTACTGAACCGATGCCGGCTTAAAAAGTGAAAATCCTAGTAAAAATTAAACAATAGATGTGTAATGTAACGTTATGCATGTATCTGCTTAATATCAGATAACAACAAAGAAAGTTCTTTTGTTTTAACGATTAATTAGCGAATAATCTGTTTCGTTGATGAGCGTAATCGTTAATGAGCGTAATAGGCTACTAAATTCATAGCATTTAAATTTTAATGGTTATTATATTCTCTTTGCAGAATAGAGAAATTGTTGTTTATATTGATGTTTATAGACATTTTTATAGAAATTTTCTGTCCTAAAATGGATCCATCAGAAATATACACCTTGCTCCATTTCCGATTGCAATATGGTCATTTCTAGGAGTGGAACAAAGAAAGATTAATAAAATAACAGTTGTCAGAGTGAAAAATTTTAATGACACAATGTTACTCTTTCTTTTTCCTTTGTAAGTGTCTAATGGAAGTTGTCTTCATCGCACCCATGGCCTATGTAACCTATATTGCAATCAAAAATGGAGCAACCTGTATGTATAATACTGTACACAATTTACTAAATAAATAATCACTCTTTAAAAACTTGAGTAATTGGGGCTTAATGCATTACCGAGTGCTTTATTAACGAGATATAAATAAAAGGAGTAAAGATACTCCATTTTTACCAAATTTTTTTAAATGAAATAATATAAATACATTATATTTTAGGCTTTTCGATTATGGTACAGTCCTTTTATTTTAGTGTTGGATTACTATGTTATTTTGGAATACAAACATTTAAAAATGTAATGTACAAATAATTTATTATTAATATTCATTAGTAAAGTAGATAATATAATAAATAAGGGAACTCACATTAGATCAACGAATAAATAAATCATAAAGAATAAAGTTTTTCTAGGTATTTTGAAATTGATTATAGTAATGGATTATAGGCAATTATATAGATTATATTTATACAGGCAATATTATTATTTAGTACTTGACAGGATTTTATTTTTTTATTATACGACTATGCTGCATCAAATAAACTTTCATGTCAGTGCATAGAATTTAGGGAGATAAAAAACAAATTTTGTTGATTTTCAAGTGTTCTATCAACTTTGGTTTCCGGGATTAAAAAAATTAACAAATGCACCCTGTATATTGAATTCAATTATTTAGATTTTTCTATTCAAAATTACTCCTCATATATAACGAAGAAATTACAATTATCTAGTAGAGACCAAAACAATGAAAGTGACATTAGAGTTAAACGAATTAAATATGGAACCATACAAAGGTATGTGTAAACAAAATTTTATTGCAATTTAAATAATAATACTAATGTTATTGCAATAAGTTTGGATATTTTTAGACGATCCTCTCCCATTTATTTCAACTTTAAATATGTTCAAATTAGTTGAGAAATATAGTATTTATTTTTTTACAATGCGATTAATTATGTTTGCTATTATTCATTGCATATTTATTTTAATACTATATCACATTTTATTGCTTGAGAAAACTGAGTATATTCGTCAGCTTCTGATATCTCAAATTCTACTTGAAAACGTAAGCAGAAATTTTTTATTATATAATTTAGATAAGCTAAAATTACCTATTATACATTATTACATTATAAGATTTTATTTCTATAATAATTGACATTTTTAGTAGGCTCATGTTTGACTACATTTTCATGTTTGAAACATTTTCCTCTAATATAATTAGAAGGGCTAATATAATTAAATAGTTTTTTTTTCTGATTTTAGGCAGGGATTAATTTGCTGCTTAACCATAGATTGAACACATTTGTGAACCAATTTTACAAACTAAGAAAATGAGAAGGCTTAATGATGTTATATTGATTGCTACTCGACATCATTTTAAAAAGATTGCTATGGCTTGACTGATCTGAAATATTCAAACATATGTACAGGGTGGCCAAATAAGTAAAGTAGTAGATGCTTTATTTTTACCGACATTTTCTTAATGAATAGTCTTTACGACATTAGTGTTGGATAACTATGGTATTTTGGAATACAAACATTTAAAAAGTTAATTCACGAATAATTTATTATTACCTTTCATTAGTTATAAGCAGATAATAAATAAGGTAATTCTCATTAGATCAACGAATAAATTATTATAGGTAAACAATTTAAAAAAATTAATCCTAACATAAAGTTTTTGTAAGTATTTTCAAATTGATTGTAGTAATGGATTATAGGCAGTTATTATACAGAGTGCAGCCAATAAACTTACCTAGCATATACTACATGTTTATTATTTAGTACTTGAGGGATTTTATTTTTTTATACGAGTATACTGCATCAAATAAATTTTCATGCCAATGCATAGAATTTTGGGAAATAAAAACATTTTTTGTTGATTTCTAACTGTACCATCAACTTTGGTTTCCGGGATCAAGAATATTAACAAATGCACCCTGTATATTGAATTCAATTATAGATTTTTTTTCAAAATTAGTCTTTATATATTCGGATGAAATTACAACTATCTAGAGATCAAGACAAAGAAAGTGACTTTAGAGTTAAACGAATTAAATATGGAACCATATAAAGGTATATGTATTCAAAATTTTATATTCAATTTAGAAAGAAAGAAAGAAAGAAATATTTATTAAGAATTAAATTATCATACAAAATTTGTAATATTCTTAAAGCTTTTATATATGAAATATATCATAAAGCTTAGCATATCTTATATACTAGTCTTAATTTAAATAATAATATTAATGTTATTGTAACACATATTTTTAGACGATCCTCTGCCATTTATTTCAACTTTGAATATGTTCAAATTAGTTGAGAAATATAGTATTTATTTTTTTACAATGCGATTAATTATGTTTGCTATTATTCAATGCATATTTATTTTAATACTATATAACATTTTATTCCTTGAGAAAACTGAGTATATTCGTCAGTTTCTGTTAATTCAAATTCTACTTGAAAACGTAAGTAGAAAATTTTAATTACATATATAATTTAGATAATTAGCTAAAATTACATTACATTACAAATTACTATTAAAAAATATTTATTAAAATAAAATTATTAGCATTAAAATAATTATTAAAAGCTACTATAGTATAATTTCAGAATAACTGACCATTTCGCACTCCTCGAACCCGCAGCGATCCACAAGTTGGAAAATTAGTCGTGGTCAGTTATTAAGATCCCAACGTATAAATAAGATTTTATTTCTATAATAATTGACATTTTTAGTAGGCTCATGTTTGATTGTTACATATGTTCATTTAATTTGTCATTTAATATAGAAAAAAATTTTCCTCTACAGTATTAAATATACTCATAAATAGCATTAAATTCATCAAATAAAGGTGGAGGAAAAGATGTGGAATCTCGATGGTACAATTTAGACTACTTTAGAACCTGTTGTAATTAATCGCAATGAATCAGAAAGTGAAGATTCAGATTTTGATGATTCGCTAGATGAGGATGCCGACTAATCGTAATTCACATGTTAATCGACCTTACTTTTTTAAATGGCCCTTTACAGGGCAACCGATTTGCTCATAGAATAGAAACACTGAAATTGTTATTTGAACAACAAAATAAGCTCTTTTTAGAGTGCAATTCAATATTATTTGAAAAAATTAAATAAACTCATTTTTCATAACATTGACAGATGAGTCACTTTATATCGATTTGAAACTGAACTGTAAAATAATTAAATATTTTTTTGTGATTTTAGGGAGGGATTAATTTGCTGCTTAACCATAGATTGAACACATTCGTGAACCAATTTTACAAACTAGCTCCAGAACATATTTGTGCTGTGAATATAAATGATAATAAAATAAAAAAAGCCGCACTCTCACTTAATATATGTACTATCAGCATAATAATACTAGCATATGCAGCTTATGTATGCACTTTACTATCAGATATCGGTTGCTCTGATGATTGTATTTTGTACTCTACTGCATATTTAAGAAAATGGTTAAGCAGTACTCAAGTAAATATAATATACCTAGCAGTAGCTTGTTGGCAAGCATTCGAAATATGTTATCCAATTTCTTCAGTTTGTTATACTGCACTAATATTTACTTTTCAATTAGATTTAATCAGTAGCTATGTTGATAATATAAATATTTTGAAAGTTGATGAGGTAGCATGTATGGAAAATGATACTTACCAAATGACTGTGTATAAGCATTTGGTATCTTGCGTTAAACAATTCGTCGGTTTGCAATAGTGAGTATCACTGGATTTATCACTGATCAGATAAATTAGTTATCTAGAAATCTAGGAAAGTAGTTAGAAGGAATGATCTTGATCAATTTTAATTTATTTCAGTTTGCATAAATCTTTAGTCTGCGAAGTGTCTTCAGCTTCTATATTAATTGCATTTTCTACGGGCTCAATCATTTTTGTGCTTGCTCTATACGTAATTATATCCGTAAGTTGATACTTTTACAAAATATGAGTTACCTCTAAGATATTTCTTAAAATTACTATTTAGAAGCTGTTTAAAGGATATCATAACATATAAGACATAACTATAGTGCCTAACAAATTTTACAAATTAAACTTTAAAAGGTAATATTCATGTTGAAAAAATAAAATATTTTACCTGCTTTAAATCTGGATAATTCTCTATTATTTATTGGTATACAACTATTATTTTACTGCATAAAATCAGATTTTATATTAGAATGCTTTGAAAACTTATAAATTTCTAATTACAAAAAAATGTATTTTAGGAAATTAAATAAGGCATTAATCCGTCTAATGAGCCTTATTAATTTGTCTACTGCATAATATCAGATTTTATATTAGAATGATTTGCAAACTTATAAATTTTTAATTACATTGTAATTAATTTTAGGGAATTAATCCGTCATTAAATATTTCGATGTACATTATATTGTTATTAGCTACAACTGAATGTGCAATGGCTGGTTATTATGGACAATGTCTCATAAATGCGGTAAATGATTTACAGAATAATTTATTTTAATAGAGTTATCTCTAACCTAAGTACCCAATTACTTACATTAATATTTTGTGTCAATGACTTACCAAAGTTTCATTTTTAGAGTGAAAACCTTCATAATAAACTACTTACTTGCCAATGGTCTTATTGGAATAAGAAAAATAAAGATGCTTTTATGATGCTATTGATAGCTACACAATATCCTTTAAAAATCAACTGCTACGGTTTAACCGATATAAACTATATGTTGATAGTAAAAGTATGGAAAAATTTGTTACATCTACACAAAATAATTTAAAATATATGTATTTTAGGCTTATCGTTTATGCTACACTCTATTCATGGCAATTAAGCAATTCATGTAACTACCTGATATACATACACATTTAAAAGTTTATGCACTATAAATTTAGTAAATTTCAACTTTCATTAGTAGAATAAAAATAAGGTAATTAAAATTATATTAACGAATAAAGTATTGCAGGTACCTACGCTCTTAATAGAACAATTCGAATATACAGAATTATACTATTAAATGTTTTGTAGCTGAGAATAATAGATTATAGGTAATGACTACACAGGGTGTCGCCGATAAACCGTCGTTTAGCCAAATCGTTGCATGGATTTTTTTTACTGTATCTAATAATTTTTCAGCTACTGGTACGATATTTGAGAGAAAACAAGGAAATTTAATCCGTTTTTGGCAATTTTATACTATTATGTCACCATAAGTTTCTGAAATTTTTTTAGGTAATTATCGAGCGCAATCTGTATAATCTATTTAATTATTTAAGATTTCTATGATGCTCAAAAACAAATCAAATGGCTATCAAACGACTATCAAATGATAGTATCGTATACATATCTAGAAGTTTAGAAGAAATTACAATTTAATTTACCAATTAGTATTTAATACGAGGAAAGTGTTGCTCGAGTAAATTATTAGTTTTAGCGAATTAAATATGGAACCATACACAGGTATGTCTTAAAAAATTAATTAAATTCGTAAATACTCATAATTATTTCAATGTTTTTAGACGATCCTCTGCCATTTCTTTCTTCTTTGGCTATGTACCGATTAATTGACAGATACAGTTCTTACATTTTTATGATGCGACTACTTATGTTCGCTGTCATTCAGTTTTTTTGTCGATAAGACACCCTGAGCAATAGACTTTGTATTTACCATTTCAAATGTTCCATTGATTTTGCATTGATGTTTAAAAATTAATTTATTGCTTAGGATATAATTAAGTATCTTAGGCTGTATATGAATGTTTTAAATGGATGTTTTACTTAGTTATTTCGTAAAAAAGATGGTAATATGTTGGTAAATTTGTTCGATTTTTATACTCATTTAAACATCTGAAATTTGGGTAATTATCGACCGCAGCCTGTCACTCTGTTTAATTATTAAGATTTTTATGCCGAAAAAAAAATCAAATAGCTATCAAACGACTATTAAATAACTATCAACTTACAAGTAGGGTATATACGTTTATAAAAAATACAATTAGGTACCTAATAGTTTTTAGTACCAAGAAAGTGTTGCTCGAATTAACAATTAACTTATAGCGAATTAAATATGGAACCATACCAAGGCAGGTATTACAAACTTTATTATAATCCGTAAAATTTATTTAAAATTATATGGATATTTTCAGATGATCCTCTGCCATTTATTTCTTCTTTGGCTATGTACCGAGTAATTGACAGATACAGTTCTTACATATTTATGATGCGAATTATTGTTTTCGCTATTCTTCAGTTATTAAATATTGCAATAATATACAGCATTGTATTCCTTAAAGAAACTGAACATATTCAACGATTCGTATTATCACAATTGCTATTACAAAACGTAAGTAACGTTTCACCTTTATTTACTAACAGTTTTTAAAAATCCAAAGAAATTACATATCTAAAATATAATTTAATCTATGATTTTAGGCAGCTTTCAATGTAATATTTAACCACAGGTTAAACATATTCATTAGTCGATTTTTCCAACTAGCTCCACAACATATTTATGCTGTGAATAAAAACGATAAGAAAATTAAAAACGATGCATTCATAGCAAATATATGCAGTATATGCATAGTAATACTAGCATTTTCGGCATATTTAAACTTTGTATATAAGGATATGGGCTGCACTGATAACTGCAACGTGTTTTTTGACTTATATGTAAATAAATTTGTGAGAAATTCTTACGTGTACATGATGATAGATATACTGTTAACATTCTGGCAGGTATTTGAAACCTGCTATCCAATTTGGACAATTTCTTACATTGCTCTACAATTTACTTTTCAATTAGACTTAATTAATAGCTACGTTGATAATATTAATATTTTGAGTGTTGATGAGGCAACGTGTATGGAAAATGAAGAATATCAAGCAAATGTTTACAAACATTTAGTATTCAGCGTTAAACAATTCGTCGGTTTGCAATAGTAAGTGTCGTTTAAAATGGATTTATCATAGATCCGACAGATTACCTTATATTTTTATTCTTCATTTATAACAATTCCGAAAAATAGTATTAAAACAGTTGTAAATATGCGAAATCGCTCTAAAATCTCTTCAGCCCGCTCTAAAGCCGCCAGAAAAAAATGTCTCAATCACCACTCTAAACAATATTAAACACCCTTCGAAATGTCTTCAAAACTGCTTTAAAATTTTGGAATGGAAACTCGAAGTTCTTGACCATTTTATCATTATTTTTAAGCGGTTTATTTATGTAAAGGTGTTTCTGTGAGGTTTCTTATTACACCTACATTAGTAGCTTATTGCAAGATTTCTATACCTAATTATATAAAAGATAAATCAGTTTGTGCGTTGATAAATTCGCCATTATGAAGCTTTAAACCAATGAAATATTTATTGATAATATTAGGCAAAACTATATGTTTATGAATTTTACTTTTCAATTTCAGTATACACAAAACCCTCCTATGTGAAGGTGCTTCAGCTTCTTTACTTATAGCATTTTCCACGGGCGCTGTCATATTTGTTACAGGTCTATACGCAATTATATCCGTGAGTTCATATTTATAAGATATAATTATGTTAATTATTAGGTAATCAGTTAATTTATGTCTAGTCATTACCATATTGACAATTATTAACTTACCTCACTAAAAATATATTAATTTTTTAATTTTTCTCTAATAATTTTAGGGTATATTTTTCTCAATAAATATGGGGTTATATTCTATATTATTACTGGCTTTTACTGAATGCACAATAGCAGGTTATTACGGGCAACGTCTCATAAATGCGGTAAATTAACTAATTTTTAAGTACGATTGTACGAGTAAATCCATTATTTGGATTTAGAAATAATTAATTTGAACATGTTTGTGAGTTGAATGGAAATTTGTAATTTTTAGAGTGTAAACCTTCATGATAAACTACTTACCTGCCGATGGTATTATTGGAATAAGAAAAATAAAGATGCTTTAAATATGCTATTGGTGGCTACTCAATATCCTTTAAAAATAGCTTGTTATGGGTTAATTGATGTAAATTATGTGTTGCTAGTAAAGGTAAAAATATATTAAGTTAGATATTTAGGTAAATTGCTTTGTATATAATTACTAATACATAATTGTAATTACTAATGTAATATAGGCATAATTAATAACTTGCATCACAAAGGCATACATTTACCTAATGTGTAGATATTATATGAATTTTATTTTAGGGTTTTCGTTTATGCTACAGTCTTTATACGGCATCCAGACAATTCATGTAATTGCTATTCAAATCAAATTCAAATATCACAAAATTTATTAGGTAAGTGCTTCCAAAAAATTTATAATTACAGTTGTTTAAACAAAAAAATGTTGGTAAGATACCCTGAGCAGGTTATGTTAGACTTTGTGTTTACCAGTTCAGATAATCCATAACTTCATCATGAGAGGAAAACCACCGGTTCATATTTTAAGCTGTATTTTGAATTTCAATATCAGTTCAGTTTCCAACCTCTATCTGTTTGATGATAATTCTTTATCCAATAAAAAATTGACAAAAATCTTTATTTTTCAGATAGAGAAATGAGAGCATATTCACTACTCACTACATGCATAGAGCATACTCACTACATGATTTTGAATTTTTATGTGCACTTGTATGTTCAATTTTACAATAGAAAAAATATTAGAGTATTTAGCAGCATTCTAGTGTAATCATGAGTAAAGTTTAATAAAAAGAAAATTTAAGTAAAAAAACAAATTATATGAGTTACATTGTATATAGAATATTATCAGCACTACAAGGCAAAAAGACAATCTAATTAAAACATGTACACTATTTTTTGCACGATAATGCAATAAATGTAGGTACCTACTCAAAACAATAGCAAAAAATAATAAATTCTACTAAATATCATTTTATGTAGTAATTTATGGTACATTGGCCCGTGGAATAATTAAAAAATTATTTTTTCTTAGCATTGTTTCGGCATTTGCATTGTTGTTGTTGTTCTATGTTTCCTATGAGAAAGCTGATGGTTCGTTCATCAGTGGATTTGGCAAAAAAATGAAAGGGAATTGTTGAATTATAAGAATTCAAATCTTAATGAAAACACGTGATTTTTTTCCTATTTTCCCCTTAACTTAAGAATAGAATTTACTTCAATTATACAAATGTGTAGCTTTCCTACTGTCATTATAAATTATTTAACTAATTTATTTTATTTATTAGGTACCTAATTAGTTATTTATAATTTAAATAAATATAGATATATGTTTCTATTTGGCCTTTACTTTCTTTTTCATTCGAAAGAATTAATAAATTAATAGATAATTACATCAGCTTATTATTCTAAAACGTAAAGTTTGATGGCTGAAAACCTGAATAAACATAGGCCTAAATCGAGCTATTCGTGAGACTCCTCCGTCTGAAACATAACTGTACAATGAGTGAACTATTCGGTTGTTAATCATTGTCATGCGAAGGCCAAACGATTTAATGTAATTTGTGTTATTCAACCGTTGTCTGTGGTCTTTAGGTCACTATGCGAGTTCGTAAAAATGAATTTGAAATTTCCGAGAAAATTTTCCTCGCTGGAAGCAGATACATACTAGATTGCATACTTTCGTATGCAAAATACAGCAAGAGTAACTAGACGAAATATTAAAAAAAACCAAAATTCTAAAAATATATATAGGTACCTATACTTATCGGCTTAATTTAAAATGAAATTAAATGTGAGCTTTCATGGAAATAATCATTATAATTCCAATTAATTAATTTGCGGTAAAGACCTCTGGGAAAGTCTTATTAAGGGAATTATTTAACAATGAAGAATACTTGGTAATATGTGGTATATGTATAGAAAACTTAAGGATATTGAACAGGTAACTAGAAATTTCTAGAAGAGAAGTACTTATAATATGATAGTATATTGGGCACTTTGCAAATACACATACCTATTGTACAATTTTTTAGAACTATTTATAACAATTTTTTGCACTATAATTTTGGACTGTCTTTAAACTATATTTTTAATTGCTTATTGAACAGTTTTACTGAAACCGCTATAAAACAGTTCTAAATAGGCTTCTACACAGGTTTAAAATCTCTTCAACTACTTCAAATCTTCCTTTTAAAACCGTTGTAAAGCCGCTGTAAAATCGCTACAAAAATCGCTCCAAAACAGCTTTAGATATATACGCTTCAAAACCGCTCTAAAATCTCTTCAAAAATACTTTAAAACCACTCTAAAATTGCTGTAAAAACGCTGTAAAATAATACTAAATGCCCTTCAAAACCGCCCTATAACCGCTCCAAAACAGCTGAACCTCCACAGAACAATGATATAGCTCACCTTAAACGTCCCGTAAAAATCACAAATTCGGCGCGACAATTTCCCCAGAAGCCGGTCACATTTTCTTCGACGGAGGTGCTCGGAGTCTTCGATTTTACTGGCTAAAAAATGCAGGCGAGTGCAGGCAGGCAGGAGAGAACTGCGGGCAGGTGAGCGAACGTAGCGTTACCTGACAAAATACAGTTCTTACGGGACTTCTGCGAGACCGCTTGCCACTTTACTGTCGGCGAATCGAATATTGAAATCAGCGGCGGATGAAATGAGAGGATTTTTTTTGTTCTTTATGCGGGAGGTCAAATTGAATTCCTCGATGTGTATCGATGGATTTTGACGGTTCTTACTTCATGTAACAATCTTAATTTTCACTCTAAAATTCGACGATTCTAACATAAAATAGACGGGAATAACGAGAGTTGGAACTAAAAAGAGCAGCAGATGAGGAAGGAAAAACTATACCTATACATATAACACTAATGATACCCAATAGGATAGATTGAATATTAATTATTTTGAGCAGTGTAGGACCCTGTTAGCAATAAGAAGAGAACAGTTACGAACAGAAACATTCATTTAAACAATTTACGACATTTAATACTAATTAAAATTTTTTATAATGCAACTACAATAGTTACTACTCGCAATATTGAAATAAATATTTAACAAATTTATTCTTTGAAGTTTTTTTATTTAAATAATTAAATAAATATTTCAAACTTTTTAATTATTTGTTTATTGTTTGATGACTTTTCAAAAATTTTGAAATTTCTGTTCCTTTGTAAATCGGTAACGAAGCGTTTGCAGACTTTATATTTTTATATGAACTTTTAGTCATGAAATAAGCCAAAAAATTACCCTCTTTCGTATGCGCACGATGCTTATGAACACCCTGTATGGACAAATTTCCATTTTCAGCATAAACAAATTTATTAAAGTAACAATAATAAGGTAAATTAAGATATTGCTGGACTTTTGTAGGTGATATGTTTATTATTATTTCGATGTAACTTTATTTTTATTTAAAACTTTAGTTTTACTTATTGTTTTATAGTGTTTAAACTGCAGTGTTTAAACTATTAAAATTTAGATTCGAACGGGTACAACAAAACACGACGCGATAAACACAAAGATTTGATTGTAAGCGTCAAATTTGACATTTCAGTGACAGTGATTAGTTAGCCGCATTATAAAAGACAACAATGATTATATTCATATTTTTAAGAAGAACTTAACACTTAACCTCAATATTGGCCGCCAAATTTGCCGCCAAAGCCAAATTAGTTCGCCACGCCGAATTATTAGGCCGTTAAATGAGATATTTGTCTATATTTGCCAAAATTGCCACCCTGAATTATGGACGAAATAAGTAATCAAACACACTTGCAAATTACCTCGAATTAACCGAAATAATTTTTAGAATTACTTAAGAAGAAAGCCAAGGCGCAAGCGGAGGGTAATACGAAAACTCTAATCTCGATATCCACGGATCTCGCTGAATTATACAAATCCAGAGAAAAATATGAAAAAGCTATAGAAGAATACGGCACGTTAGCCGAAATATACAAAAAAGAACGTTATCATATAGAATATGCCAAAGTGAACCGAGGAATAGGAGAAATTTATTTCGAATTGCAAGATTTCCGAAGAGCTCTCAATCATTTTAAAATATACTTAAGTACTCGAAAAATACCATAATCTCTTCGTTCGGCATTTACATTTGTTACGTTTTAGATATAGCTACAGAGCAAAACGATAAAATAGAAATTCAAAGAGCCTACGCCACCATCGGAAACTTGTACTTAAACTGGGACAACACCAGAGACAACCTACAAGCAGCTTACAAATTTTTCATAAAAAGCATGAAATTGAGCGAAAAGTAAGCGGGAATCAACTCGAAAACCCTCCAAATACCCTTTTACTCACCCTCTCTTAATTTTCCAGTCTAACAGGCATCAGCAGCTATGTGAAGGCCGACATGCAAGCCCGTTTACTTGCCAACCTCGGGCTAGTAAAAGACAGTTTAGGGGACTACGTTAAAGCCGAGGAGTTGCTTAACACTTCTATCAATATTTGCAAGAGCAATGATATTTACGAACAGCTGATCCGAGGCCACTCGGCCCTCGCATCCCTCTATGAGAAGAAAGGGGACTCTTCGAAGGCTATAAACCAATATAGTCTAGCAGTAGAGGCGGCCAGTAGGTTTCCAACGACCTTAAGCGTTAATCAAAACTTTAATAATGTTAATTTTTTTTAGTGAAAATGAAAGATTCGGCAGATCGAGCATGTTGCGCTTTACTGGCCAAAGCCCAAGCCCTAATAAAACTAGGGGACTTCCACGCCTCTAAGAAAACCTTATACAAGGCTTACAAATTAAACTCGCCAGTTGCCGAAACCAACAAAACCATCAAAACCTATCTCAAAAACGGTAAACACTCTCTGATTCGATTTAAATCCTTACTCAGTAAATTTTTCGACTTTCCAGTGATCAAAATGTGCCGCACTGAAGACAAGCTCATAATCGAGCACAACGACAGCAAGCAGTTGAAGAAGCTGTATGAAACCATGGGGGACTGCTCGTGCGACTTGAAGCACTACCCGAAGGCCCTCGAGTACTACAAGCTGATGCTGGAGCACGCCGAGAAATCGGGTGCGGGATCCAAGGAAATGGCCTCTTGCTACTACAGCCTCGCAGCTACTTACAGGGACAACAAAATGTACCCGGAAGCTCTGGAGTACTACGAGAGGGAGTACTTGTTGTGCACCAAGCTCGAGGATAATTTGAACACTCTAAGCCACATAGCTGATACTAAGGAAGAGGCCGGCTGTTTGGTGGACGATATCGAAGCTGTTTATAAAAGAGCCTTAGAAAATTGCAGGAGAGATGGGAATGTAACGGAGGAAAGACGGATGGTGAATAGGTATTTTTCAAATATGAAGTGTATTTAAAAAAACTTTAATTCAATATTTTTAGATGTATGGCCTTTTTACGCAGAGCAAACGGTCAACAATACCTCAGCGAGTACTCGAAGCTGTTGAATTCTTTAGAAGTAGTTCCCATAGAACTCGAAGAATCTTCATCGGACAACGAACGCCCGTCATCGTCCGATAGCGATAGCGAAGAAGTAGATTTAAGCGATGTAACAGTCTCCGATGATTCCGATGGGGGACGAAACGCTCCGCAATTGACGACGGGCAAACGGCGCTTCAAAACGTTCATAGTCAAACGAAACGCGAAAGGCGAATCCCAATTGCACAGGGCCTGCATTGAAGGCAAAATGCCGGTAGTCAAACACCTGCTGGATCAAGGCCATCCGGTCAACGTACGAGACCACACCGGATGGCTGCCGTTGCACGAGGCCTGCAATCACGGCAACTACGATATCGCCGAACTTTTGCTCGACAATGGGGCTTCGATCAACGACAGAGGAGGCGTCCAATGCGAAGGTACGAATTAAACTAAAAATTTGACACTTGTTATGAGCTGTTTTTGTAATTTTTTCAGGTATCACCCCTATATACGATGCGGCTAGTAACGGGCACATTAGAATAGTACAGCTTCTGATGGATAGGGGCGCTTCGGTGACCATAAAGAGCGACAGAGGCGATACTCCGCTGAACGTCCTCAAATCGAGGCATCGGAAATATCCATTCATAGACGAAGAGTACCGCATTTACCTCGGATTAGTGGAGAGGATGAAGGAGGCTTTAACGAAAGCCGGTGAAACCGTCTTGGATGAAGTTAGGCCAATATCGCACGAATGCATCGAAAGCGAGGAAATTCGCGAAGCGGAAATTGACGACGAGCCGGCTGGTTTGCTCGACGAATATCGAGGTATTTTGGACGAGTTGAGCAAAAAATCGAGCTATAGCGAAAGAAAAGATGAAAGGAAGCCCAGGAAGGACGGCAAGCGAGGAACGACCGCCTTGATCGAGGAGGATCAAGGCCTGTCGGACGATTGGCTGGAAGACGACATCGGAAGGGTTTCGAAAAAGAGGAGATTCGGGTCTTTGCCTTGCTCTTCCACGTCTCTTCGAGTCTCTCGTGAGTATTTACGCTCGGAATTCGCTTAAATAATAGTCACCTCACGATTGCTTGTTTCAGCACCCCGAAGAACGAGCGATGAGAACAACGGGCGAGTGGCCGCCGGTATCCCGACTAATAACAGTCCCGTCCGAACAGCCGTCGCCTCGACGAGTAAGAGTCCCGTCGGAGTAGCCGTCGCCTCGACGAGTAAGAGTCCCGTCGGGGAAAAACCCACGAAGACGCTCCATCGATACAGAAGTGATGGCGGGTTGAACGGAATGGGGAATTTGGCCGATTCGTATCCAGACGGGACTTCCCCCGACGATTTCATGACCTACGTGGATGTTAAAATCGACGATAAAATATTCAGGGTGCCGGTTCTGTCGTCGCAAATTCGAACTAACGCGATCGGTTGGTTGGCAGATCGGGCGGCCGAAAAATACGCAAAGTAATTAAAAATTATATTTAAATACGGGTCGTCCCAAAAAATAATTGCTATCCACTACCCTTAAGCGGAAACTTATAAGGGAAGGGTCGATATATTGGAAAGGCTCAGTTTTCCTGCTTTTTAGACATCTTGTATACATTCTAAACAGTTCTGATTTATCCAAAAGCACTTTAAATTATCCTGGCACCAGTTCGAATGCATCCTGAAGCATCCTAAATTGTCCTGGACCAGTTCTAATGCAATCTGAAGGATTCTAAATTCTAATCTGTAGCATATTTCGTGTAATTTTTACATGTTTTTTTTATAATTGAGTACTTTTTGAATATTTCAAGTAATTCTTTAATAATTTGCATATAACCATGTATATTCATTCTAAATTTTGAGTAATTTTAGCATATATTACTCTACTACTTTACAATAATTTATACTCACTAATATTATCTACTTGTTTGTATTAATTTCTGTTCATATTTTCGAAGGAAAGAAGGCTCAAAGCCCTGCTTGGAATTGGAAACGATAACGGGAGCTTTGCTAAGCAACGACGATCCGCTCAGTTTACTGTTTCCTCTCGGATCGAGGCAGGCCGAAATCATCGTAGGTAGAATATCGAAATTCCACGTTATCCTGTTAGCGGATCGTTACAGGGAGGCCTGCACCAACATGAATGAAAGTAAGGAATTTATCTCATTTTATATACATTAAAGGGTGCCGGTCTACCATAGTAGTGGCGGTCTCTCTAGTATTTTATTGGTCCATTATGTGATCTATCTATGTGTATACTTCATTTACCCTAGTCTACCCCTCCCTACATCTTTATACCCTACCGGCTTCTGCTCTGGCCTGTAACCTCGCGGTTTTTAGTTACGTTTTGCACCGCCTTACGAGCATAATTTATAATTACATACTTCTTACATGTCTATAAATTCAACTAAACTCATCTACGTAAAAATAAACTCAACGTTACAGCGATCAATGAAGCCCTAGCGAAGCAACTGGAAGAGATGTCGGTGAACCTGAGCGTTCGAAACGAAGGCTACCTGAGCTCCGACTTGGCGCCTCTATGCAGGATCATCGGCTACCAGCCCAATTTGATCCATCTGGATCTATCCGGGAACTTCTTGACTGCGAATTGCGTAGCCGTCCTGTGCACGGCCTTGCCCCTCTTGGCGAACCTGCAGTCGTTGAATTTGAGCTGTACGACCCTGGCAGCCAAGCACATGGCCGAAATGGCCAAAATGTTCTCTAACTGTAATTCCGGCGCGATTCCATTGAGGAATTTGAGATCGTTGGATTTGAGCGCGAACAATTTGAACAATCAAAGCATGAGGCACCTGGCGGACATCACCAGCCGCTTGAAATTGGACAGTTTGAACCTCTCAAACGACGATTTGAGCGAAGGCGCTTTCGATTTCGAGTGGAGATTAGAAAGCGTTAGGGAATTGGACGTTAGTTTTAATCGTTTGGTTACGAGGGACGTCGATAGGTTGATTTCGGGATTGGATAAAAGGATATTGAAACGTTTGGATGTGTCGAGGAATCTGTTTGAATCGTTCGAATCGAGTTTCGAGGACGCCGAAGCGCTCGAGTATTTTGGCCTGGTCCAATGCGGCTTGAGAGATGGCGATGTGCATAAGTTGCTGAGGTAATTGCTGAATAATTGATTCAAAAAAAGCAATCTAAGCTTTAATAATGATTTTTTTTTAGGATTCCATCGAGAGAAGGTCTAGTAATGAATTGTTCGTTTAACGAGGAATTAACGGGAGTGTCCCTTAGGCGTCTATTGGAAAGTCCCTTATTCAAAGAGATAAATTTAGTCGGCTGCACACGAATATTCGAGTATCTGCCGGAAAATTTCGATTACAATTTCAAGAAGAATTCGAGACTATTTCTGAAACTATCTGACATCAACCAGCATCCGAGCCACGTGAACAACATCAGGGATAAATTCCAAAGAGCCCACGAAAATTGTACGATAGAACGAACCTTGGATTTACTAATATTGCAATCGTAAAACACCACCAAAATAAAAATAAATAAGCGATTTACCTTAGGAATCATTTTATTATTTTCTATTAAAACTAAGACCAAGTAGTAGTGCCGTATTTGAATTTCATCTTGTCCATTTCCTCCTGCTTATCGATATTGGTCTTCTTGAATGCCTTATTGGCTTTATAGTAAAGGACCGTCCGTCTTACTCATGTTTTTTGGATATTTCGCTCTTTACTTGGGTAAACCTAGGTTTTTAGTCGTTTATCTAGCTTTATCCGTAACGTATACATTACACCATAGCGAAAGGAAGTATATTTTGTCTGGAAAAAATTTCCATAGCTTAAATAGGCTGAATAGTCAAAGTAGCGGAGGCCTCATTTTCCTCAAACTGAAATTTTGCAAGAAGATATTTTGAGGTTAGGAAACACCTTGTTTCTTGTTTTGATATCCTTCATTTTCATCAATAAACTGAAGTAACAGAGATTTGTAAATAATTATGGGCAATTAAAGTTTAGGTGACTAAAATAAAAGACAATATTAAAATGGGCTTATTAACAGATCCGTCAACCGGACAAGGAAAATTCGTAAAGATCCTTTTAAAATACTACGTTCACGCTTGTATATTACTGTACGTATCCGGCGTATTATGGTTTCTGGCCATAGCATATCCCAATATGAACGCAAATACGTACTTTTCCGAAAACGCTCTGTTACCTGGATTAGTGAAATCCCAATTTCGCGAAGATAGGGAAGCTTCGAGATACCACGAAGAGTTCCTCGATGAAATGAAGAAGTATCCCGACTCCATTCCATATCCATGGCTACTGGCGAAGTTTAAACAAATCGGATTAGACGCTTACATGCACAATTTTACCCTCGCTTCTCCTTTCAACAGGAAGGATAAGTTTTCTGGAAAAAATGTATATGGTATACTGCGGGCACCGAGAGGATCGAGCGCCGAAGCCCTGGTGCTCAGCACGCCTTTTAGACCCAGCTCGAGCCCACATCCTCCCACTGAGCCATCTATCGCAATCATGCTGGCCTTCGCCAAGTATGCTAACAGTAAGTAACTAATCAATTATCGAATAAAACTGACTTTATTTCAATCTAATGTTTATTGATTTTTTTTTTAGAAGAAAAATATTGGGCCAAAGATATAATATTCCTAATAACAGAACACGAGCAAGTTGGAGTACAAGCCTGGTTAGAAGCCTACTATGGTGTTACTTGTGGCAGTGAAAATATTTTGGACCACGGAGATCTCAAGGGGCGTGGAGGGGCCATTCAAGCGGCCATCAATTTAGAATTGCATAGCGAAAGGATTGGTAAATATCAATTAACCACCATAGTATTTCTTATTGAAGTTATTACCACTCGCAGGCCAAATGGATATAAAAATCGAGGGCTTAAATGGACAGTTGCCCAACTTGGACCTATTTAACTTGGCATCGAAGATGTGTTCTAAGGAGGGAGTTTACCAGACTTTTAAAAATCGAGGGCATTTCTATACGAGAAAACCTCTCTTAGAATGGTGGAATTACTTTAAAAATATGCTCACCATGATGGCAACACAAGCTACTGGTGTTAGTAAATTAATTCTAATTTATAGTTGATTAAAGGTTCATTGGCAACTTACTTTTAGATCCCGAACGGCAATCATGGTCTGTTTCACAGATTCGGAATCCAAGCTTTAACTCTAGAAGGGTTTGAACAATCGAAAGCTACAGGCAGCAGCAGAATTTGGTTTGTGGGCATAGGAAGAATTATCGAAGGAGTATTTCGCAGCTTAAACAACCTACTGGAGAGGTTCCACCAGAGTTTCTTCTTCTATTTATTACCGTCGTCCGACAGATATATTTCTATAAGTAATATATGAATATGATTTTGTAGTACTACCATGGTATATTTAAATTTATTTCTAGGTATCTACATTCCCTCCGTTTGTTTGATGGTAGGAACTATGTTCATTAAAGCTTGTGCGAGATGGTTCAAAATGATTGAAACAAACAGTGAAGGTACCATATTTATTATTTAAGACATAACAATATGCTTAGTCTTATAAGAAAAAAATTGTTACATTCTCACTTTATTTTAGGTAAAAACTTGGAGACCTCAGCAATAAGAGTCGATAAAATAATAATAACATTCCTAACGACTCATTTCTTCGGTGTTTTGATATCCAATGTACCTCAGTTTGTTGCTCAGTACCCAACATTGTCGCAGTACGAAACGAATATAAAAGTGTTTTATCCATTATTGGCATCGGTCGTTCTTCTCACAGTCCTACCGTTGTTTGTTAGTATAAGGCATTGTAAAAAAAGCATGGAGTTACTGAACATTTTGGCCATGTTGGAACTGGGCACTACATTGATTTGTATTTCAATGAACAATTTTTCGTTGGGATTGTTTTGTGGGATTATCAGCGTGCCGGCAGCTCTAGTCATCAATCCTTCAAACTGCAGGTATTAAAATCTAGCTATGTGTTGTAAAAATATGATTGATTTAAATTTGTGTTGCAGGGTATGCTCATATTTTCAAAGGTTTCTATGGTTTCTAATTCATCCGTTGAACATTTTGGTATGTATTGTAATGATTAATACCTACTATTTATTTCCCGAAGAAAATTTGGATGTGATCTTATTTAGAGGGTGGGATGCTACCATGCAATCCATCATCTTTAGTATTGTTGATTCTATGATATACGGTAATTGGTTATACGGAGTGATAACGAATATTTTCATACCTAATTGGTTGTGCTTCTGGATTGTTTCATTCAGCGTTTTTAAAGAGGGAGAAACAATAAAAGATAGCGATAAAGAAAAGAAAGAATGAAATAATATCGGTTATTTAATAATTCATTCATTTAATTTGTTTATCGAGTGTATTTGTACCTTTTTTACATTAAAGTTATAGATTACTTCTGTGTCCTTATAAAATTTTTAATTATTCGTTTTTTACGGTTAGAGAAATTTCAATACAGTACTCTGATGATTGTAAATTAATAAGAATAAGCTACTTAAAAAATTAGACACCTTTTCTTATTAGAATAAGACTTTCCAGAAATCTGAAACAGGAAATGTGTCAATTTGCATTATATTTAATATCTCATTAATTTTAAGAGGAAAAGGTTAATTTTGCTAATGTAAAGTAAAAAATATCATTCATAAAATCTTTACTTCGTAAAGCTGAAAACAAGAATCGAACAACATATAAATATATAAAAAAAATATACAAAATAATTTTTCCTATATTCGCAATGCCTTTCATTTTAATAATGCATCGAACTTCTGAATATGTATTAAATAAAATCGTGCTACACGAGATTTTAGAAGAAAAATGTGCATGAATATGAAATAATCCCAGAAAATAATTCGCACATGAATAATATTTAAATTTATGTACAATAAAAAGTCATAGTATCGATAAAAATTTTAGACAATATCACTAGCAAATAAGCTGCTTCATTATTAACATGTAATTATGAATAGAAATTAAAATTGGACCAGTCTTAAAAATCGGTTAACTTATAAATTTATAAATAGTAGGAATAAAAATGAGCATTTCTACTAATCTATTGCGAAATCAACAGTGAATTTGTTTTATCTGCCGTACTATGAATTAAGAGTGTAAATAATGATATACAGGTTGATTCATTTTTGTTTGCAATATAGGTTATTAAGTCTATGGGTCCGATAAAGACAACTTCCATTAGACATAAAGGAAAAAAGAGTGATATTGTGTCATTGCAACTTTTCACTCTAACAACTGTTAGGTATTTTAATAATCTTTCTTTGTTCAACTCATAGAAATGACCATATTGCAAACTGAAATGTACCATTATGTATGTATACGTACAATAATTCTGTGATGATAGAATTGGTAACGTACTTGGTAACTTAATTTTAGCTACATACTTTTCTAGTACGCTTTATATGGAGTAGTATATTTCTTAAAATTGAACGTTAACAGATATAGAAATGGATATTAAACGACGGCATGTTTTCTTCACAATAAATAACATCTATATATTTGTTTATACAATTCCTTTAAGCTATTCCTTCAGCATATACTTTTTTATTGTAATAATCATAATACATATAAATAAATTTAATTTTTTTAAGATATATTTCATGCGAACGTTAAATTTTTCGATTTTGACCGAGTTAATACAAATTATGGCATAGCTATCAAAACGATGGCTCTTTTCGAATATCATAAAAATTATGTACGATCATCGAATAAGGGCAGTGCAATAAAGCAAAAATGAACGTACATTATATAATACACATCTATCATTTGGAAACACAACCTCCTACATTCCATCAGCGCTACATTCCAGGAAGAACTAATAAATAAAATAAACTGTTCCTTAGTCTCATACAATCGTACACTAGCCGTTCGAGACGCGACGGATACCTATTAAAACGCAATAAAAACCTATTCAATAAAATTAACTATCTAAAATCTTAGCGCTCAGGCTAGACGACGACGCCGACTGGATGTTATTGGTATACAGCGGCATTTGCACGAACGTACAAGGGACAGGCGTAGGCGAGAGGGACGTCGGATAGAGCACGGGATTATCCGTAGGAGTCCGTTCCTCCGGCACGTCGAGCTGTCGATCCGATTCCGGCAAGGAATCGTTCGACTTGAAAATCTGCTGGTTGATGTGCGGATGCTTGATCCGGATGGAGTCCACAACGTCGAGCAGGTTCTTCGAGTCCATGGCTAGGACGTGAGCGGCCCCAAGCATTCCCCTAGAAAGAAATACAAAAAATAGAAAATACAATACACAAGAAATGATTAATAAACAATAATCTACGAGGAACTTATACATACAGTGAGAGTGTAAAGTTTGGAACAAATTCGTTAAATGCTTAATTTGTCCGTTGGGGAAAAAAGCTCGGACACGTCGATTTTTATTTTAAAAAGCGGGTCAGAAAAGGTTGAGTGTTTATACAGGATTGTCCCAAATAAGGGATATGACAATAACTTTTTTTAAATTGAATGCCCTATTTATTATTTCATTTTTAGTTTGTGCGATGAAAATAAACGTAAGTTTCATACAGGTTTTTTATACCTAAACCTTGCCGTTTTTGAAAAAAATCGAGTTTTGTGATTTTAATTTATTTTAATGTTCAAGTTTTCGGTAGTTATTACTTTTTTTTAGATAAAATTAATAACGCAGCATCACAATGGACTAAACTGTATGTTACACTTTTCAAATATTCGGTAAAATGTACAGGATGTCCAAAAAGTATAACCGAAGAAACGTCATATTCAAATGGTAATAATTATTCTTTATTTTAAATTGAACGCCTCAAATTTTATATCACTACCAGGAAGAATTTTTGAAGAACTTTCATTCTTATATTAAACATTCCCTACTTACCTAAAGTTAACAATTCTCGAGATAAAACAATTAAAAATAAATGTAATTTAGGTAAGAAAAAAATTATTTAAGATTTTTTTTCTTAATTTCCCATTTTTTAATTTTTTCAAATTTTTAAAGTAATACTTTTTGGACATCCTGTACATTTTGGCGAATATCTGAAAAGTGTAACATAAAATTTTGTCCATTGTAATGCTGCGTTATTAATTTTATCTAAAAAAAGTAATAACTACCGAAAATTTGAACATTAAAATAAACGCTGCTAAATCACAAAACTCGATTTTTTTCAAAAACGGCAAGGTTTAGGTATAAAAAACCTTTAAGAAATTTACGTTTATTTTCATCGTACAAACTAAAAATGAAATAATAAATAGGGCATTCCATTTAAAAAAAATTAAAGTTGTTGTCATATGTCTTTTTTGGGACAACCTGTATAAACACTCTCAACCTTTTCTGACCCGCTTTTTAAAATAAAAATCGACGTGTCCGAGCTTTTTTTCTCCAATGGACAAATTAAGCATTTAACAAATTTGTTCCAAACTTTACACTCTCACTGTATAGAAAAAAGCTGGAAGGTTTTTAAATTGAAGATAATTGGCTCGGTCTTAGGTAGATGTTGCCAGTAAAAATAAAGAGCTAGTAATTAACCCTATTACAATGAATTTCATTGTATAACTGTGATTCGTTAATACACAATTGCCATATTTATAAGTCGACCTTAACCCTTAACTGCTACAACTAAATATTTTGTATGTAACTGGTACAAATGGTACAAACTCAAACCCACATATTACTTTGTTAATAAAACGCATATTGTTTATAAAAAAAATATAACCTAAATAAGAAAGAATATACAAAACGAAAATATAAGACGGTCACGACCTAAAGAGTGAATGAAAACTCAGTGAAAATATCTTGGGTCTGTGGGACCCAACTTGTAGTAGTTAAGGGTTAAGCAAACTTACTTTCTATATTCAGCATCTAGGGTAGTATGGCTGTACTGTTGGGCCAGCTTCATGGCGTTCACCAATTCCGCCATGTCCTTGGAGAGAACCTTGTGCGCCATTTCGACCTCCCTCTGCGCTTGCATAGGAAAAGCCGACACGATTTCGTCGACGCTCGCCAACAGCGACCTCAGCTCGACGCCCACCTTCTTGACTAGATCGAGATACTGATCGGCGATGGACTGCTGCACGCCCTGCGACAAGGCCATCACGGCTCGCACCACGTCCGTCGTGCATTCGTAGACGCGATCGTGGGTCCGGTCCAAGTTCGCCGTCGGCACCGGGCCCGGTTCCTGTCCAAAAAAACCGATTAGCTCTAGCCATAGATATACACTGTTAGAAAATTATTTGCGCATAATAGGGAAATCAATGTTAAATTCTTAGCCGGCTGAAATCCAGTCTACCAGTATACATTTCAATAGAACGTCGCGATGAATTCTAATAAATTTAATTGTTCTACTGGATCGCACGCCGCGATTTGTAGAGGTACAAAGTTATTTGTGTTAGGTATGAGGTACAAAATTATTTAGAAACTACATTTAATAGGTTTTTTGGGGATATTTCAAAAAATGTGTGTATCGGTAGGTACAGTTTTGAAACAGCAACAAATTTTGTTGAAATAAGGGAAAAAATAATTCAATTTTCAGCTAGAATTATACCTCAGCTCAGTAATATGGGATGACATATGTATGGCAGGTTTGGCTATAGTTTAGCAGAAAGCGGTAGACTATTTTTTAGAGTTCTTTTATTTTCTGTTTTAAAACAATCTTTAAGTTTATTTTTGGAGTTTCCTTTTTATTATTTTCTTAGAATTTACTTTCTTTTTCAAGCCATTGTGGCAAAAAGACATATCTACATAATTCTATTTTAATATTAGTGATATTTTTTCAATAAATTATCGTTTAAAAATTCAATTCTCATTTCTTTGTAATCGACTCGACGTTCACCCATCCGAACCCGTTTTGATACTGTCGAAGTATCGAAACCGTCGAAATTATTTGATTTTTAATCTAAACGAACCAAATCGCGGTGTGAAGTCCAGTAGAACAATTAAATTTATTAGAATTGATCGTGACGTTCTATTGAAATGTACACTGGTAGACTGTATTTCAGCCGGCTAAGAATTTAACATTGATTTCCCTATTATGCGCGAATAATTCCCCAACAGTGTATAACTAAAACAGAAGAAACTGGATTGGATCCGCCATGTTACCTATATTTTTCTATCTTACTTTTTCTGCCTGGTTTACTTAATAAGTGACAGATAATTTTCAATGTTGGCGTCAAAAACTTTTGAATTTATGAATGACTGGTTGGGGATGTGTTACCTTCTTTTCGGATTCCTCTATCACAGATCCGCTTTGGGGCGCGTCGTCTCGCCGCTCGTCGCTCTTGGTGCTCCTCAAGGTGCTGTTGAGCGAACCGAGCGGCGAGTGGCTTTGGCTGCTGCTCATCGAGCCCGTGCTGCTGTGCATGCCGTTGCCTTTGCTGCCGTGGGACGAGGCCGTGTTGGAGGCCGGCTGATAGGGGGCCGGGCTGATGTAACTCGGGCTCGTCGGCGGCGACGTTAACGTGCTCTCGGTCGTGTCCTGTTCTTGGGTTATGCTCAATCGTTTCTATTGAAAGAAAAGATTATAGTACAATTTGAGGAAAGGATGACTGGATAGGGGAATTGGATGGTTGATTCAATGATTTGAGGTAGAAAATATGTGGTGATGAAATTACCAAATGCGTCTCGGACTCGGCCAACCACTTGGAATCCTCCTCGGACTCCATTTGTTGTTGTTTCAATTTTTGCCTGAGCACAGCGTTGAAGTTCGTCGAGTTGTCGTATCTGTTGTTTTCGAATAGCAACTGGTCCCCGTAGAGAGACGATACAGGCTGCAAAAAGTGATATTATTGTAAAAAAAAGTGATATTTGTATGTGATAATATTATAATGTGATGTAAATCAGAAGCCAAACAAGACGTAGATAAGCAATCCATACCTTTTATATGAAAAATAAAAATGTAGGATTGATTGGCTTTGGAAAGGGAAGTAGGTGGTGCTATGAAAATTGAAAAAATAGAAGAATGTGTAAAAATAATGAATAAAAAATTCACTGTTAATCAACTTTATTATAACATTATTTTTTCTGAGCTGTGGTTAAACTTCAATAGATATTTTTAAGTATATTTATGTACGTTTTGTTTGCTTTTAAATGTGATTCAATAGACAAATCTTGATATCAGTGTATTAAAATAGTATAAAATAGAATGTAAAGGAACGTTGTGCGGCATGCAAAACTTCAAAAACTTAACGTGCAAAAGTAAGTAAAGATAAACCCATCCAAACGGCACGATAAAAACAAAAAAAATATTGTGTAAACATGCTACTCATGCGCAAACACTTTAAAATTCACACGGAAATCTTCATATATCAATTCAAAAAAATATAATTCGATGATAAATGAACTACTTAGTAATGGAACAATTTAAAGACATGATCATTCAATCCTGGGTAGGTATATAATAGAAAAGTGAAACTTGATACAAATGCTTGTTCCTTATAAACTCGCATCAATGTTTTAAAGTAAATATGAAATCCTATATTTCGAAAACAACTCCAAGCGTGATATTGAAATAGCAATCCAAATAATATTCAACAGTCTTTTAAAAGAACCTTCTAGCTCAAATCCGCCTAACTTAAAATTCAACTGAAATCCTTTCATATATGTAACACTCTCAATATAAAAATCCAAGCAAAATCAAAAGAAAACGAGCACGCAAAAACCACAAAACACTCTCATGCATCTTTCGAACCTGGGCCGTCGCCTTTTGCACGAAAAATTGCCGTTTGTGGGCGCAACTCTTAACGTCCGCCCCACCGAAATCGTAAATGCTTTCTTCGAAATGTTGCATCTCGACGGGTTTCTCGCTAAAGTGATACACTACGGGATGGGGATGGTAGGGCGGAATGCTATCTACGTCGTAACCGCCCGCTTGGGATTGTACAGGGACGAGCGGTGGGGTGTGAGAGGTAACGATACTCCGATCCAAAGATCCCATTTTCGAGGGCGGCAGCTTGCTTTGGCGCTCCAACGATCCCAAATTGGGCGAGGACGTTCGAGATTTGCGCTCTAACGAACCCAATTTCGGGCTGAACACGCCCGAAGCGCTGTGGGGCGTTGCGCTGCGCTCCAACGAATTGCCGAACCTCGGCGAATCCGAGCTCTCGGCGCTTCGCCTTTCCAGAGAGCCCATTTTCGGGGTGGCGCTGCCGGCGCTCGAACGGGACGGGGTCCGTTCGAGCGTGCCGGTCTTCTTGTCGGCGCCCTTCGAATTTTCGAACACCTCCGGATCGAGTTTCTGGAGGTTTTGCATCGGGATGGGTTTCGTGATTAGGATGGGATCGGAACAATCTTTCTTTTCGAAGTTAACTGCTACAGTGTTAAATACCGAGGCCGGTGTCGTGTAGCCAGCCGGATTGCAGCCTCTCGTTTCGTTCTCTTTCATTAGGTGAGCCAGGACTTCCGGATTTTGAGCTATGATGTACGTTTGGGGGATCAAACCGGGCGGGCCGTCGCTTTGGAACGTCAACGGATCTACACCTGGTGATAATAATAATTTTAATTAATTTTCAACTGTTGTTACGACCGATTTTATAATAAAACATAAGGGATCCTTTAATAGAAATCATTGATTTCATAATCAACTTAAAGGAACCTTTAAGTATTGAAAGTTAAAGTGCCGATTTTTGGACATTAACGTGCTAAAGTCTGTACTGCCAAGTTTTATTTCTTCCAAGCTTTGTCAGATGTATTTTGAGAATAGTTTTGAAACTTCATGTTCAAGCTCGTCTGATAAAGAGGAAATCGATTATATTAGAAGACCAGAAGTCTTTAGGAAAACTTTTCCTAAAAGAACCTTTTACACGTATTATAAGCATTAAATTAGTATTTAGAAATAAGATTAAAGGACACTTTATTTTAAATCTTCCTTTTGTTACAGTACACTTTAACTCTTTATTATGAAATTGACTCTTTTTTCAGTGTTACAATTAAAACGTACCTTGCATGGGGTGTCGGTTGGGCTTCGGCGGAATGAAATCGTCCGTTGGTCCCCAAGACATCGCGGCCATTTTCCTGTTCTCCCTTCTCAGCGTGTCCTGCTGGACGCTCTTCTCCTCGTAGAGGATCTCTTGAAGGATTTCCTTGATGTCCTTAAAGCTCGGCCTCTTGCTCGGCTCGTACGCCCAACATTGGGACATGAGCGAGTAGAGGCGAGGCGGGCAATCGGGCGGCAAAGCCAACCGCTCGCCGTTCTCGATTTTACCAATCACGTCGTTGTTCTTCACGCCTTGGAATGGCTTAACGCCTAACATTAGAATCTCCCAAATGCACACGCCTTACAACAAAGAAACCGTTAGTCGAGTTTAGCACGAAGGATTGAATTTACTTACCGAACATCCACACGTCGCTGGCGGTCGTGAATCTCCTGAAATTGATGCTCTCCGGACTCATCCATTTGATCGGCAGCTTTCCCTTCGACGCCTTGTAGTAGCTCTGATCGTCGCCCATCCATCTCGAAAGGCCGAAATCGGCCAGTTTGACGCACTTGTCGGTGCTGACGAGCACGTTCCTGGCGGCTATGTCTCGGTGAACGTACTTCTTCGATTCCAAGTAGCTCAGAGCCGTGGACAATTGGTAGGCGTAGAGCAGGAGCGTGGCCAAGTCCAAGCGGTTCTTGTTCTTTTGGAGATAGGAGCGCAATTCGCCCATCTTCGCGAGCTCCATCACGATCCAAACGGGAGATTCCGAACACACGCCGATGAGTTTTATGATGTGCTGATGGTCGAATTTTTGCATAATGTCTGGTGGATTTTAGGTGTGATTAATTTCGAAACGTACGCTTTCTGATGTCTACTTACACGCTTCTTCTAAAAACTTTTCTGTAGTAGCGGCGTCGGCGTCTCCTTTGCACGTTTTGACTGCTACAGGTATAAGGAGGTTGTCTTTAGTTTTCACGATTCCTTTGTGGACGTCGCCGAACTGGCCTTCGCCCAGTATCTCCTGCAGTTCTATTTGGTTGCGATTCAATTCGTAATTCTTGACTAAAAAAAATCGTAACGTAAGGGAAATATTAACGTGGTTTTACTGATGTTTTACCGGCTGGTATTGAGTAATCGCCTTCTTCCACGATCTCCGCGTAATCCTCCGACAGCATGGTGCCCGTCGGGTTCGAATAGCTATCTTTACTCGACCTGTGAGGTTTTACCGGATTCAAATCTTTCGAATCTGTAATGAAAAAACCAACAGTCAATGCATCGTTTATTTGTTAGTGTAATCGACATTTCGTGCAGCTATCGCATCGCTACTAACCTTTACACGGACAAGGAAACTGTTTCCAAACAGTAGCTTGCAAAGGAAGAAAATAAGTATAAATTTATGTCTATTCTATAGTAGAAAATCTAGAAGAACACCGAGATAGAGCCACTTATGAATTATAAGCGAAGACATTTAGCTAATTTTTTTCGTTTTAATTAGATCTAACAATGACTGGACTATTCCATAGAAAAAATCATATTGCAATAGATTTTGTATTGAGTATTATCTTTACCATTCCAAGTGCAGCCATGGGTTGATTAACCCTCTAACATTGAAGTTGTAATAAAAATATTTGATACAGAAATAATTAATAAGAATTAATTACTGATGATTCAAAAGATTATAAGGTCTGCAATGGTAGACTAACTTTTAGACAGTAATTATGAATAAAAACGCGTCTCTAACTTAACAGTGGTACATTGTTTGTTACAAAAATTGGTCTATCATAGAGCCCTAATGATCGTTTCTTGGAATTCGTCCGGCAACAGAAACGTGCACTTTTCAAAAGTCGAAAAGAAGTACCTTTCTTGTTCCATATGGAGGCCGATGTATTGGAATGTAGTCTGCAATAACCGTCGATCAAATCCGCCAAACTTTCGGCCACGTCCAAATTGGTACATGTGAAGAACAACACTTCCTGAGTACCGGCCACTTTGAGTTGCAAGGTCGCCTTGGTGTGCTCCTCGCAATCGCTGACTAGAGTTTGGATGGCTTGGATTTGATCGAAATCCGCGATCTTCTTAGTCGTCGAAACTTGTCCGTTGGTATGAGATATACCGATATCCGGACCTACGTTATAAAATAAAAAAAGCGACATGAATAAAACTTGAAGAGAAAAATATGACATGTTGTTGTTGATGTTGTTCGCGGGCGGGTCTTTGCAGCCCCGTAACCACCTAGATCGTAGGACCATCTGGTTTCTACCTTATATCCTTATTCTACGAATAATTAAAGAACTTACCAATGACTAATTCGACTGGCACGGTAAAACTAGCTCCGAAATCAACCCTGAACCTTTCCTGATCGTAATTAGTGTGGCATTTCAATATTTCCAAATATTTGAACATGCTTTCGACGTCGGACAGTTGGGCGAACTTCTTGAACTGCATCTGAATGTTCTTCCTTAGCGACTTCGATTTCATTTTTTCCAGCACGCTGTTCGGTATGAACTTTTGCATTCCTTCCCTTTCTAAATATTCGAAACTAGATTTCTTCTCCAGAACGTTTTGAGGCATGTCTTTGAAGTATTTCCTAATTTCTAAGCAACACAGCTGGATGGCCGTGTCTTGATCTATTTTTTTATGTAATTCTAGATGGTAATCACTTCTCACCTAAAAACATAAATTACCATAGTTTTTGTTACAAATTAGATGAAATTTGTAATAACTTACTTGATCGAAATAGTAATGGAAAGTTACTTTGTCCTTATCGTACAGTTCCCTAAGACTAGTGGGTAAATATCTTATTCGGAGATCATACCTCCATTCTGAGTTAGGATGCTTTTTTAGGTATTTTTCGTGAATTTGTTGCATAGTAGTGTCCTGATGTAACCAATGCATCTAAAATGTTATAAAACATTTTAATTTGCAGCCGTATTGGCATAAAATAATGAGCAGTATGCCTATCTACAAATGAATAAAATTAAACTTACTTCAGTTGAGGGCGGCCTGGATAATCTCATTGCATAAAGTCCATTATAATATCTCTCTCCTGTCGATAATCTCTCGGTTACCGTTTGAATAATGCCTTTAATTTCGACATTATCGCCATACCTGACGACGTTAAATCCGCCATTGGGTAAATGCACCTTAAAAAGGAACACCGATATATCTAAAGCTCAAAATAAAATAATGTTTTTACAAGTGAAGAAGTATAGAAGTGATCATTTAAATATTCAATGAAGACCGGAAAAGAAATAAAATGTGGCAAAATGGTAAGTGCTATATGATAATAATTTGGTAAATATTTTTGTTAACATATGCAGAAATATTTCTAATGTCCAGAGTACACTAAAAGATACGATTTGCATATTGCTAATGTATGTAATTTTAATATTTTATGTAACTTAACCCAGTTGTGTAATTATTTTACACCTACGTATTATCTACATGTTAGCTAATTTCATCTATAAATTTCTTAGTTTTTGTTATTCTACAGCATGTAGCTCCTAACTTCTGTGTAAAATATGCTAATATTTTTATACGAAATTTCTTTTAGTGCTTTCTATTTTTCTCTGGCATAAAAATTTGTTCCTTCCAGTTAATAAACCGTAAATAATATTAATATACCGTCGTTAACATCGCTTTATTGAATACACTCTATTGAATTATGAGATTACAATAGTTTAACGATAATAGAAAGCGTATAACTTATACCGATAAAAATTTCGCCCATTTCTAGCACAAGTAACAGAACGACGGTAACGAAGAAAAAATTAATTGGAATAATTAATAATAGTATTGTCGAAATTGTACTTACTTTTACGGTGGCCTTGTCGCCGGTCGCTGGACTGTTCTGCGGGGACTTCTTCGGACTTTCCATGTTGTTTCTAGATAAGGCGCACCTGATCGGCGAGCCTTGAGTCACGGGGGTCGCTGCGGATACATCACTGAAACAATCAAATAGATTTATGCAATGCGAGAACGAATTAAATAACAAAAATTGCGTAATAAAGCGTTCACCTTAAACTTAGTGAAACGAGCTTGGCGAGAACCGATATTTACCCGCTCAACTTCCAAGTGAATGGCAAACGGAATAGAATGCCACTACTTTGAGCGATTATAATCCATTTATTAGTTAATAATGATAATAATGATTAATTGTATACTATTTATAAATTGTATTTAACGTTTCACCAAGTAATAATAATTCAATCCGTGCTAAAATGTCGTTAATAATGACAAAAATATCAAGGTCTATTTGCCACATTATGCATAATTACACAGCAACATGCATAATAGAAACGAAAATTGCTTACCTACCTACTCGTATACAATCAAAATATGCAAAAATGATGGAATTAAGGTAAATTATCTGCGTGCCTCGCAAATGAATACCTATCTTGATGAAATAAGGCAAGTTATTCGAAATAATATCTTAAAATAAACTATTTTCATTGGGCATTTGAGGTAAATATACACCCGGTTTGCATAAGTAACGGGTGTTAAATATAGTATCCTAGTTTAAACCAGCACACAAACTAAATTTATTAATCGATCATAATCGAGAGAAAAAAAACGTAACTAACGCAACTAACTGCGTAATAAAAGGCATTTGAATAATATCCACCTGGTGGAAGAAATGATGTAACGCTATAATGTACACCTACGTGAACAACGCCAGCGAGTCTACTAAAAACGAAGCCTATCACCTGGGTAGGGTATCAAGTACACCTTTCCCTCTAAACGAGCCGCTCCGGCGGTCACGACGAACTCCTCTACGCAAGGTTGCGCTCGAGAAAGGATGTCGATATTTATATTTCAATAAATTTTAATTATTTATCGAATTTGCGAAGGACACGATTGTGGGAAATTGAAAACGATGATCCATAACTTAAATATACCTGGGTTAAAAACAATTAAAACATTTCGCATTTAGATATGGATCGTGAGTGGGATGAGAACGTCTCATGTCTACCTGAGAGAAGTGGTGGACCTGGGGCGATGGAACTTCCAAGTGTTGCTCTGCCTCTGCATGCCATTTCCGTATAGATCCTCGGTGTTCCTGGTGCACAATAAGCTGCGCGGTCGCGACAGAACGCCCGCCTTTTTCGAAGGCTTGTCCTTTTTCCGCAAATTCACGTAAGGCGGACCGGCGCCGGCGACGGCACCGACGCGTTTCACCAAGTCCAGCATTTCCGTTTTTTTCTAGTCTAAATTATGAACGTTTTTTCCTCGATCGGCGCATTTTAAATTTTATTTTAATTGAACGAGAGTAGCGAAATTGGCAGTGTCAACCTAGGTAGAATATGCCCATGTGGTTTGTTCAGTTAGGTCAATCGATAGGAAAGTAAGCCTCTATAATACTTTACATTAATCAAATTATGTATTTTAATGAAGAAAACTACCAGTAATAATTTATGTAACATAACAGAAATTAACTACATACTAGTATTATTAGAGGAATATATTGAAAAATAACTTGGTGGAAAATTCGTTAGTTGGTTACCAATTTTTAAGAAGGATGATCGCAATTAGGAAAATGTCTAGAAAATCACGGTTTAGATATGGTAGACAAATTTAAATAATAAAATGTTTTGTTTTCGTGATTTTTTTTGTATCAGAGATATCAGAGCAGCCGCAATTAAAATACTTTTAGAATATTTTCGAAAATTCCTCCTACCAAATATTGCGCGCGTTTTAAAAATACAAAAATATTCAAAATTGAAAACATTTTTATACAAGGCCTTTGCAATACGTCCTATTAATTATTTAAGATTATAATTAACTTTCTGATGGATATTTACTTGATAGACTTAAATCCAAAAAAATTACCAAAAAAAATACCAATTACCTACTCGCTTGGCTGAAAAATATTCTTTAACTATACACAATTTTCAAGATTTGTATAATACACTACCATTCATTTTCGAATCTCTATCGATAAATTGGCGTCATATTAACTATTGTTTAATCGCATACAAAAGCAATTGCGAGATAATAGCTATCATTGGTATGCAATGCTATCTAATTAATTACGTGGATAATTAATAGTTTTAAGAGTGTAATTAAACGTTACTTATTAGCAACTACCTATTACATATTAAATAAACAGCAAAATTTTAGACAATAAAAATCTTCATATGGAGATAAATACACGCAGAATGTATATTTAATGCAAATTAATTAGATGGTAATAGAATGCGGAAGGTGGAAAGGGAGTAGGAATCCGGATGAGGAGCAAGAAAACCGAAAATTTAGGTTTACAAGTAAACATGATAAAACCCACAGAATAGTCTTTTTTTAATTTAGACGGCACTTGCCAGATATTAGGTGGTTTTAAAATAGATCAAAGGTTAATGTTCGCGGATTTGCCAAAATCCAAACTCACTCCTGTTTACGAAATGCAAACTTTCAGTAGTATTTCTGTATTATTGCTTAAGTGTTAATTAACTCATGCAACACCGTTTGTAAATTTTTTAAGAATCCATTATGTTTAAAAGAATTAACTTTTACATATCTATTTTTTTAATAAGTTTGTGAATTGGTTCACCCAAATTTGAAGTAGATATTATCGTTCTATTGTATTAAAAAGGTTTATTTGCACTGAAGTAAACTTAGTTAGGGGCTCACTTTTTTTTCTCTTTCAATTGAAAGTTTTTCTTAGCAATTATAGGTAACATAGTATATTGCTGGATGGCCGTAAGTACCACAATTATGTTACCAATTACATTCCAGTAATTTTAATTTCTATAATTATTAATATACCTACTTCGTACTAACGACAACTGTATATTCAAGCATGGCGAGTTTTGTACAAATATGGCAGAAAAACAACAACTATTAAGAAATAATGAGTAAATTATTTCCGTCATCGTATACTTCAAGTGATAATTGAAGGTCGGGTTATTTTACAGTTAACTGACCATATATCATGAACTGATTTTTCTGAAAAATAACAAGAAAGGGGAAATTACACAACTGAAATTCCAGGAGTGTTCATTTAGTTAATAGTAATTTCAAATATTCGTTGCAACGTAAATTCTATTGAGCCAACATGCCATTAAATGTATTTAGGTTTTTCATTCCATAGCTATCGAATGCAAGTAGATATCTGCCTAAACAATTTACGATGAATTCAAAAAAAAATTAAAAATTCGATAGGTAATATCCAGAAATTAAGTTGCATTTACTTTTGAATCGCTTTAAATTTTCACGAATGCAAAATTAAACGCCTCGATTCAGAGTATGAAAGGAATTCATTGACTCATTTTATAGAAATGAAAAATATCTAAAGATTAACAATAGCAGTCTGTATAACAAAATAAGTTATTATACGTTCTCACGATTTAAAAAATAGGGTGATTAAGACTTTCCCGAAAACATAAAGCCCAATAATGAAATTTCTTAAATCATTAGACAATTTATAACGAATGTTAAACATATTCGACGGTGGTCTTTCTTAAAAATTGCATATTAAAAGTTCAATGAAATTCAACCGCATGAATCACAACATACAGGACGATTAAACGCGAGTGTCATGAACGCAAATGCATGATGTTCCACAAATAAAATGGGACGTTTAATTTAAGTTCTAGTATTTATGAAAGTAATATGCTTTAAATATCAAATTATGCAATATCTCTAATGACATTCTTCAGGCCGATTTAGCACAACTTTTACGGATTTTATTTTTGTTCAAACTGTAGTTATAAAAATTGGTAATTCAGCTTGTTAAAAAAATGATTTCAATTCCAAACGGTACCTAATCCATTATTCATTCCACTCGCCAAATTAAGAATAAACCGCCCAAACTCTAAATATGGCCGATCAAAAATTTCGTGGGTGGTAAAACTGTTATTATTCGCGATTTTACAAGTGGAAACAAGTATGAATATTTTAATAAAACATCCAACGTACAAGGAACTAAGGACAACGGTACCTACCTGCTTTTATTTATTATCAGATTATTTTATAAAAAATTAGATTTTTACAAGCGTTTGAAAGCGTGTCAAAATTTTTGATTAGATTTTATCGCATTTAGGAAAGAATGCGATTTGAATCTTTAATTGTGCTATTTGTAGGAAGTACTACAATGATATTATGTAAAATCTACATTTCTGTAAAAATATTCAACATCAACAACGATACGCTTAATTATGAATACAAAAAGAGGAACAAATGAAGGATTTGTATTACGAAGGTCAACTAATAAATAGCTAAATAATAGGTATAGTTAATAATTACTTAATTTACAAATTCATTAAAGTGGCTCCCATAGATTACTTAAATTGAAAAATACTTCTACACAGAAATGTATCCTCAATTTCGAATTTAAATCGTCAAGGTTTGAAAATAATTCTATGAAGCGCGTACAACCCTTCAAGAAATATTTTAGGTTCTTACGATCGTTTATTTTTTTTCTTTGAATCTTCATATGGGGGTCTATGAATTTAAACAGATGCAGATCAAGTCACAACATCTTACTATGGGAGTACCATAATATAAACTTAAACTAAGATATTTAAAAATAAATAACGTCTTTGTTACATCTGGTAGTAAAGAAATAGGCATTTAAAATTTAAAGATGTGACTAATGTAAACTAAAAATTCGAGCGAAAAGTTCAAATTTACACGTCTCAAAATCTGATTTTTAATAATTTTGCACTAATGTTATATCTCGTATAGTTTTTTGAACATATCTTATAAAAGGGTTCTCAAAATATTAACTTCAATAGATCAAAGGTGTATTAAAAATTGTAAGGTGTTTAAAAAAAATAATCAAAATGATTCCGACCACTCCTTCATAAGCATTTATCCTACCCAACGAGTTTACTATTAAGTATCCTAGAACCGCTACCCACGTGCAATTCCGACAAATACAAGAAAAATACAGAATTCAAATGCAAACGGAACGCTCCTACACATCGAAATCACTAAAATACAAACTAACACAACAGAAAAATTGAACTGCAATCCTTCGCGCTACCTCGTCGTTTATCGTCCTGATCAGGACGATTAAGACACGGCACGATCGTTTTCATTTAACACGTCCGCTATGGAATAATCGACGGAACGAAACAACAGAATCCGCTAATGACTCGATCGCGCGAAACGATCGTTTGTGACTAAATCTAAAAAGTGAAATCACCGAGAATGAGCCGATGTTTATACGCCAAAGGCGGTGCGAAATACTCGACTTGATTCAATTTTAAAGTGGGATGACGCAGGTCTTTCTCAAGTTCTTCAGCGGACGTCCTGAAGGTGTCCTGATGGAACCACATCTGGAGATCAATTAGAAACAATGCCCTATTAAAAGGAGCCAATCAACAGGTGTATTGCTGCACCGGGAGAAAAGTAGTTTTTTTTTGGAGAGTAAGGAAAATGATGCGTGGTTTTGAGGAAGAAAATTGGTGAGAAACTTAAGCCACCAAATGAAATTCAACCACAAAAAAATGATTATTTACCCTACCTCAGAAGTTTCACTTTAAACCTATACAGTTTATTTTCTTGATCCTAACAATAATGTAACAACAGCAATGCAAACAAAACACCTTTTTTTATCTGTAAATTTCAAAATCCACACTTCCTTTAAAACCACCTCTAGCTTTCACGGAGACAATTCAAATTGCCCTACAAATATTTGTATGTTCTTGTACATTTTTAGTTTGGATTTACTATTAGACCACAGCTGTTTGAAGATAACTTCGTTCTCGTAGGTTTTGATATTAATAATCTTCTGAAATTTGATAAGACGACGGCATTCCATGTGTACCAAAACAGATGATTAGCAGTCGCAGTGGTTATTTATATTTAAGCGATTGCCACGCGCAACACGGCATTCGGAATAATAAAATAATATCTACAAATAGGTTGGGTATTAGTTGCATTAACGAAGTAGGTAGATTAGGTGTCACGAAAGGATATTTATCGTAAAATTCAATAGGAAATTAACACTACAGACGATTCACTTCAATAAGTTTAATATCAATAATAGTGTTTGCCAATAATCGACTCTAGTAATACCAAATACAACTTATCGAGGTTTCAATATTTACCGATGATTGTAAGAAGAAATAATAATATACATAAGTATTATTTACAATTTATATTTGATCAATCGAAGAAGAACCAAGGACGTAAAGGGTGCATTATGTTTGAATATTGATTAATAAATAAAAGCAATTCCTAAAATAGTAAATATAGGTGTGAAGAAAACAGACTTTTTAAAAATGCAAGAAAATGCACTTTCAAAATTATTAAAAAAACAAATTCTGACGTTATTTGGCATAAAATATACTCAGGTACTTTTTTTATTTGTCCAAAAACATTTTTATCGTTTGAATGTAGGTATCAGAAAGCATTATGAACCTATTGAACGTTGATACTCCCAATTAAATAGTTAGTGTAATTGACAATAATTGATTTACATGTTTTTGACAATGTTACATTATGCAGATAAGTGCAAATTTCTTCGCAATATCTTCTATGGGTGCAACAAACTTCCATTATCTCATCTAAAGGCAATGAAACAATGATATTGCATGGGATTGCATGTTTTTTGGTCTAATCTTAGTCAAATCATATAATTGGCAATATTGCAAACAAATTTGCACTTATTTAGATGCGAAATAGTAGATACCTCTAACATATCTCTAATTCACTAAAGCTTGTAGATAAACAATACAAGCTATACCTATTTTTTCGTCTAGTCCTCGTATCGGACGTAACCAAGTGCTGTATTTTAAGACCTGAAAATTTGAATACCTACTTACATACGTGAATCGTCTTGTGTTGTCAGAAGAGACGGGGACCACTCGCACACAAGTAGACGCAAAACGATTGTAGCCACTCGTTTGGGCGATTACGATTAATTGAAGCAATTGAGGAACGCACGGATCGGGCGAAATGCTAATAGATAGGGCGCTAGCAATTCCCGTGTTGTCATGATGACGAGAACCAATGGATGTAGATGTTACGAATAATTAACATCAATTGGGAATTATTTTTGAAGGTAAATGTTCGCATAACGTACATCCTGGTTATCTGTGCTAATAATACGCATAAGGCAAAATGTCCCTTTTATTGTTGGTATAGCTGTTATGGCCATATCCCAAAGCAAGGGCATATCTAGATCTGCCCGGTAAAATCTCGACACCACACTTCCACACTTCTACTACCCTACTGTCCGATACTTCAAGATTTGCCGGGCAGTTTTACATATGCCATTGCTTCGGGATAACATAACGAACTTACCGGCGAAAGTTCCCGCAAAGGAAAAGCTTCTGCTGTGGCGCAAAGTGGTAGAATTTTAATTATTTTGAAAACGTGAATCGGGTAAAACCGTAGGTCAATGAACATCATATCGTGCAGCATAAATGCATTATCACATTATCATGCGTACGCCGTCCATCGAACGTTACATCATTTTAGTAACGTTGAATTTCATTGTGACTGCTAGACAATGTGTCGTTTGATTTAGCTAATTTAAAAAGCTCAACCGGAAATACCAAATACGTACGACAATGAAATACGAAAAAAGCGCATACAGGGAGTGTACTTTTACCATTTAACTATACAAGATAATCGTAGTGAATTTGTGTAGAAGATAATTGAAATAATTGCGAAAATCCAAATCCACCTACTTATATAAGTACCTAGAGAACGCGAGAATTTAGCAGTTATATTAATTTAAATTTCATTTTTTTTAATACGAACACAATCATTTTCCCACAAAATAAACAGATGAATAAATAAATAAATTAATAAAATATGATCTCGTATTTGATTAATTGATCCTTTTTTTAACACACTCCATTTACAAAAATAATGTGGTAATGAACAACGTTAATTAATTATATGTAATTAATCACTTCAATGGAAATCAAACATGATTATTAATTATTATTAAATTAACGATGTTTTGATTGTTGATATGTACTAGATAATATTGGATCTTAGGTTTCAGTTTCAAAATGGAATAAATAAATGAATAATAAGCACTCAATTTGTGGACAGAAATTTTTGTGAATCGACTAGTTTTGGCAGTACTATCAATAGTTTTGGCAATCGTTATTCCTATTTTTTCTTCACAAATCGTTAGTTCAAAATACAAATATTTTTTTATAATTTTCAGTAATTAAGATAACTCAGGATTTAAATTCACAATTAAATGCATGCGCTTTGTAATGGGAGACAATGGAAGAATAAACAATTAATAAATCAATAAACTTATAAAATAAACAATTAGAAATATGAAGAAAGTTCATTTACTTATCGCGTAAATCTAGCGATTATACAAAGGTGTTTTATTTGTCGCGAAAAATAGACTTCCTACAAGTTTTCTTTCGGTAAATATATTTAAAAAAAATTGTCGTAACAGCTGTTTTCACAAAAATTCGCTACAAATAACTTACGTTTCTAAATATTGAAAAATCCTATAGACTGGCTTGCGGTACATCAGAAATCCTTCGACTTTTTCCACCATCATGATATGTCACAACAACCGCATTTACGAAATCAAAACATCGGCGGAAAAACAAACTTTGGCAACGGCATGCGAAAATCCGACGATTTTCCCGACGACGTCGCAGCGACGCATAATCGCCGAAGGCACACGTTCTCGAAAAACGACAGAAAAAAATAAGTACACCCAACACAAACAACAAACGAGCCCGTCTATTTTCACGTACGCATAGCCGTTTAACGTAGGAGGCCCGAGCTTAAGGAACAATTACCGCTCGCAACGACTTTATCGCGACAGTAATGATAATGGTAAATTAAAATTGCGTGGACGCATTGTCGCATATAAGAACGGGCGGCGCGGCGCAAGCGTCGACCGGCCGGCGGAACAACCCTCGAAATCGAACATGTATACAAACAAGAAACAACCCTCGCGGGCCTACGGTGTTGTCGCTCCTATCGATTTATCTAACTTTCTACACATGTGCTAAGAATCTTCATATGTTTGCTTGTTTGTACACAAACAACCGATTAGTTTTTGGTAATAACTCGAATTGTATACAGACGCACGCATTGCAAATGCAGCAAAGTTTATTAAAAATGCATAGGTATATTGGGGTGGATTAATCCCCCATCGGATCGTTACAGTTTTTTATTATTCTCTATCCTTGCTTTTTGCTATTTTTCCTCTCTTATGCACCAATCCTACAGGAATCACGCCTCTTTTTTAACTCTCCTTTCACAAAACCCAATATCTATCTCTCAAAAAATATACTCTTTTTCTTACAATAATTATATAGGCGAATCCTTATCCCATTTCTAGTAACAAAAACACCTCATTCAAATGAACTAATCGATAGTTAAATAGTGCAGATCATTATAGGCAACGTCGCTATGATAAATGGGAACAATTTTCGCGTGACCGTCTTCGATAACTGCCGTTGATATGGACTCTGACAGTGGGACAATGGGGGAAACGCGAACGCCGTATTGCATGCCTTCATTATCTCTTTTGGAGCCGTTATGGGAAATTGGCTCTATGTTTGTGTGGTCGTAACTGACAAGAGGAAAAAACGGACAATATGGTGCTGTACGATAAACGATTTAGAAAGAAAACTGGCGATAGAATATAGCTGTCGAGTAACGATAGGTTTAAATAGGTTTAAATAAGCACGATGTAAATAATACTACGGTAATTAATAGGTATGAATGAAGATTTGGAGCAAGAACAAGGCTCTATTTGTAATATATTTGATTTGTTAAACAAATAAACCAGAGTAAATAGAAAATTTAAATAATAATTGTTGTTCCTCCCATGAAGATATCAAAATTTTAAATTTAGAAGGGCTATATTTCCTAAAATATTGAATATTTTCAGCAACTGAAGACTGCTTTGAGTTGTAACGAATTATTTCTATTCATACTATATGTTTTGGATAAAAACCGTATATCTCACATAGTTCTCCTATCCATTAAACATGTGATATTTATATGTATATTTATACCATATGGTATAAAAAATAAAATTATGAAAATACCCAAAAGTGATTTGTGAATCAGTTTTCATAATTAATATTATACTCGTGTTATCAACTTGTAAGGTGCAGTATTATAATTTAGCACGAAAGTGTAACTCAAAATCAATGAAAATTCTAATACTAAGGAAAAATTCATGGAAAATATTTACAACCAAAAATTAACAAAATTAAAATATAAAAAAGCAGCTTGGCAATATCCATATAGTACCTATATTTATCCTATTATAATTACCCACATAAAATGTGATGTTTCTACATTATTTTTTCTATAACAGTTGTATAATTATTTTTATTTGCAGCATTCTGCTGACAATGCAATTAACTTTTATTGAGTGTACAATTAAATAATTGCAAAGAGCATGCGAAAGCTTCCCATTTTAAATATTTTTTATATTATCCTACTATTAGGAATTGAAGCAATTGTATTTTAATATCAACAATTTTATTAGTATATTGTCTATGAATAGCAGTTATTAGTAATGAATGAACATTAAAGTATTTATTAAGATTAAAGTCTTAACTCTTTGCTAAAACATATATCATTAAAAATTTATTGGAAAAATATAAATTTTGACTCAGTGGTATTAACTATTCGAGGATAATGCTATTTCTTCAGGGTTGTTACAATCTATCTATTCCCCTTAAGGCAAAATAAATAAGTTCAAATTAAAAAGAACAAGTCAAATACATTAAAATAAACGTGACTTATGTTGAGAATAAACACCAGTTTGATTATATTTAGTTGAAATAGCAATTAGCTTATGTTCACAAAAAACACGTATTTTGTAAATAAATGAAATACTCACATAAAAAAATGTACAAATCATTTGGGTAGCTGCCATATGTACACTCTCACTTGCAATTTTTACATTTGCAATTATTTATCCATAAATGGACTTAATTAAAAATAATTAGCAATAAATATCAAAAGTGTCATCTTATGAGACAATTGAATTTTGTGACATCTGTCAATGTCAAGGTTGAAACTGTCACTGTCATAAATAAAAGTAATTCTTCTTTTTTATAGCATCCTTTTTATTTGTAGTTATAAGTATAACTAATCCAAAATTAAAACAAATTTAAAAGAAAATCTGTTAATGAAATCGAAGAAACGTATTATTATCAAACTGTAAGGTTTATTAAGTTTTTTAACCTGTTGTATATTAAAGCAATTGCGCAATAGTATTTTAAAACCACGTTGCCATTTTTTCTTGACATTGTCCTTCTCCTTCAAGCTCATTGTTACTAGAAGTAATTTGGCAACATTGAAGCATAGTAACAAATACAAAATGTCACATCGAGAGCCGCTGCTTGAATATTCTACAATTTTTTCCTATTTACTGAGTAAAAATAGAAGTTATATTTTAAATTAAACTCAGTGCATATTAACTCGCGTAAAAGTGCTGGTATAAATTCGTTTGGGCAAGTAAATTTGGGAATCTCGGCTAGTTTTAACACACTTTTGAGGTTGTTTACACTTTCATCTGAACTTGTCCTAAAAAAAAAATTAATAAACCCAACGTCCATGCGAATTTGTAGAGGCAAGTTTGCTAAAAACTTTTATATCGTCGAGGGAAAGAAATTTTAATTAACATGGTAAGTCATTTGTTCTCATTGTTGTGTACACGATTTTTCTACAATAATAAACAATATTTCCAGCAAACAGACGACCCACCCTACCTATCTGTTGGCACAGCAGTTAGTGCTAAATACAAGGGTGCTTTTTGCGAGGCAAAAGTTAGCAAAGTCGTTCGTTTGGTCAAGTGTAAGGTTAGTACTCGCTGTAAAAAAATGAATTTCATCTCTAGTCTCATGACTGTTTTCGATTAGGTAACCTATAAAATGGGCTTGGGAAGTGCAACGTTAACCGATGAACAGATAAAAGGCACCCTTCGAGTCGGGCAGCTCGTTCAGGCAAAGCACCCCGATAGAAAAGAATTAGTAGAGGCCACCATTACAAAAATACAAGATTGCAGTCAGTATACAGTTGGTAAGTTATTATTAATATACACACATTCCACAATGCATTTAACTCATTTGCTTTATGTATAGTATTCGATGACGGAGATATAACAACCCTGAGACGCACAGCATTATGCCTGAAGAGCGGAAGGCATTTCAATGAAAGCGAAACTTTGGATCAGTTGCCCTTAACCCATCCCGAGCACTTTGGAAATCCTGTTGTTGGTGGCAGGAGGGGCAGAAGAAACAGGCAACTCAAGTAAGTGTATTGGTTTCTGCATTTTTCTCTAAATTATTTTTATCTATTGATGCAGAGAAGACAGCAGTGACGGAGAAGCCGAAGAAGAAAATGAACCAGATTTAGAAGCCTACCTTCTAGATCTTAAACGAGTTGTGAGCGTTGAAACAACAGAGAAGAAACGGAGCAAAGATAATTGGTTTCCTGGACTTGTTGTCATTCCATCAGCTCAACCGACTGTCCGCATTAACATGAAGGATGAATATTTGATAAGGTCTTTCAAAGACGGAAGATAGTAAGTAAATAGATTGTCACTATTGCAGTTTTATAAAAAAATATTTTATAGCTACACAGTACCTAAAAAGGAAGTAACAGAATTCAACAGAGAAATGGCTGAAAAGATCGATACTGGTGTGCTAAGTGAAGCTATACAGAAGGCAATAAGATTTTTGGATCACAATGAGCTACCTCCTCATTGGGAAAAAAGTTCATTGTTTCATTCCCACAATGTCGATAGCGAAAGTGAAGAAAACTACAGTGATGTAAGTACAACAAATTAAATCACATTTCATTTTTAAAGTGGTGCATTTTTAGAGTTCTGACGATGAACCGAGTGAAGAAAAAGATCGTTTTGTGGCGCAATTGTACAAATTTATGGACGAAGCTGGAACACCACTAAACAAAACGCCTGCCATTGCCAATCAAGACATTGATTTGCACAGGCTCTTCCGCATTGTCCAGAAAATGGGCGGCTATAATCGTGTGACGAATCAAAATAAATGGAGATCAGCCGCGCTTAGATTGCATCTTCCGGGTAACCAGAACATTTTCAATCAAGTCAAGGCGGTCTATAAGAAGTGTTTGTCGAGTTACGAAACGTTCTATCGAACATTAGGAGTGACTATGTTGAATCACACAGGTACTGCGAAGAAAAATAAGGGCAGGAGTTTGATAAGAGATAGGGACAGGAACACTCCTATTAGTAGCCCGGCTCCTGCTTCTGAAAAAGATGAATTTTTTCCCGAAGAAAAGAAAGAAGTGGTCCCAAAAGAAGCTTCTCAAGAACCAGTTGTTAAGTCGAAGAGGATTGAGAAGAAGAGAGCATTGGCTTCAGCTTCGGCTGAAGTTAGCGATACAAATTCTAGCGATACGACTGAACAATCTGAAGCTAGTAAAGATACTCCTCGTCCAAAGAGAGAAAAAGTGGAAATTAAAGTTGTAAAAGAAAAAGAAAAGGAAAAGGAAAAAGAAAAAGAAAAAGAAAAAAAAGGTAAAATTGTTAGTGAAAAAGTAAAAAACTTGACTGAGAAATTTGAAGAACAATCACGAAAGGAAGAGGAGGAAAAGGTTCAAAATACCCGTTCTAAAACGCAATCGAAACAAAAAGAAACACCTCAAACGTCTTCCGAAAAGAAAATAGAACCAAAATCATCTAAAGACATTAAAACAATTCCCCTTAAAAACAACAAGAAACCCATTTCATCTGTCTTGATTAAAGAGGAAGACAAGAAAGGTAAAAAGCGCCTTGCCGATGAAAAACCACCGATCTTAGAAGCTCCGCCCGAAAAGCAACCTTCCAATGTTCCCAATATCAACGTTGGTGATAAATTAAAAGTGTACTATGGCTCATCAAACGAGTCTAAAGTCACTTACGAAGCTAAAGTTATAGAAATCGATAACGACCAATCAGGCCAAGTGTATTTAGTCCATTACGCAGGATGGAATGCAAGGTAAGAAGCTGTAACAGTTTACATTAACACAATGCATAACGAACATTCCTATCTAGATACGACGAATGGATACAGCCACAAAGGATAGCCGAGAATTTAAGTGCCACCAAAAAAGCAAAACGATCCAAACAACCGAGCGGATCATCGAGCACTAGTTCGAAAAATTCGCCTTCGAAACCGATGGCGAAGCGGGCGAGATTAACTTCAGTATCCGCTCGATCGTCCACCACAGAAATGCCCAGATCGACGACGCCTTCGAGTGTTACTTCTTCGGGAAGCAGGACCAAGAGTCCCGCTACTCCAGCCACCAGATCCGCGGCGAGATTACGTCAAGGTGAGAATTATGAGGATAAATTTTATCCAAAAATGTTCAATTTACTTCGCTTTTTAGATTCGTCCAGGCGATTACGTAGGATATCAGCACAAACTGATGCTTCTATGCATTCGGATTCTGAAAGCGAAGGAACTGGAAGCGATTCGGAAGTATCGAGGACTAGAAGTCGTTCAAAATCTGAAAACGAGCCTGAAACTAAAACCTACAACAGGCGGCCACCCAGAGCATCTACATTGGTGAGTATCTCGACACTTTTTATTCCACAATTAAGTAATCGGATTCACTCGTAGAGTAAGCTTGATAAACGTAAAGATGGTGGGCCTTCGAAAGACGATTACGAAAGGACGAGATCGCGAAGAATGAAAAAAACGTCCGATAAATCCGCCGATGATAGTGAGGACGATGGTAATCCGCCTAAAGGTCGAGACTTCGATCTCAATCAAATACGATCTGAATTGAAAGGCATCTCGAAAGCCATCAAGCTGCCGGCGTTGGATTCCGTGGATGATAAGGAAGACGTAACCTCTTCAGACGAATCTTCCAATCTTCCGCCTTTGGAAAAATCGGCTCACGTCGCTGACGAGCCCGCCGAGAAGAAAGAGAAGATTTTGGAGAAATCCTCGAGCTCCGAAGATGTTTATGAATTCAAGGAACCCGAGCCGTTCGAGTTTGAAAACAGGCCGAAGCTCGGCGACGAGAAGAAACGATTGGTCCCGCGAATTTTCGACGATGTAGACAAATCGCTCAAAATGAAGAAACTCAACGTGCCGATAAGGAAGCAAGACAACATCGATTCCGATGACGAAGAAGAAGAGGAAACTGTAATTCCTCTATCGCCCGCCAAAGATGACGAAGATCCGTTCGATAAGCTGGTAGAATCGCCGAGTTTCAATCTAGTAAAAACGGTCGATAAAAACGTCGAGAAAAAAGAAAAAGTCGTTCGGAACATTTGCGAAGAAACGTTGAGCTTATTTAGAGATTTACCGGCCGATGCTTCGGATGATTACAGCGGCGATATGGAATTGTCCGATTGCGAATCGTCTTCGCAAATATTCACCACGTCTCCAGAAAAATTGGCGAGGGCCAAGCCGTTTAGTGACAACAATTTCTTGAAAACCACTCCCGAATCGAGCTCATTAGATATGGAATTCTCGTCGTTGGGTAAAACTGCCGAAGGAAAGACTAAAGACAGCGACGAGGACGATGCTATTAAAGAACAAATTCTAACCTTTATCGCACAAAGCTCGAGCACAGATGATGATAGTAGCGACGTGTTGGCCGTTAAGCCATCGAATTTGTTGGTAAAAAAGAGAGACGATCCGATACCCACAATGTCCGGAATTTTGGGCATCAACGTTTGCGAATCTGCCTTTAACAAAGAGATTCAAGAAACGCTGAAGATAGACGGTGCTAACGAAGAAGTGAGATTATTCCTAGTTATTAATAAATCATAATTAATTTTGTATATTTTCAGACAAAACCATCGAGCAGCTCTTCAGACGCAGAAAAATCAACATCCAGCGACAAGCAGCAAATTTCACCGGCCCTTCAAGAAACTGATAGCGCATTGCTCGAATCGATAGTTTCTCAACCTCCTGTCTCTTTAGATGTGAAGCTAGAAGAGACCGCCAAGGAACTGAGTAGCATTAAAACCGGAACCAAAATCGCCGATTCCATTCTGCAGAAATTTAATTCCATCAAAAAGGAAAGCACCACTAAAGCTTCCCCGAAAAGGGAAATCGAAGACAAAGAGCCGATCAAGCCGGAAACCAAATCAGAAAACGTAAGAACTCCACTTTACTTTCTTGTATCGTTTCAATAAAATTAAATTGTCAGGTAACTCTGAAGAAAGAAGAAGCGAAAGAAGAACCCAAACCTGCTAATGAGGAAAAGCAACCTCCCAAAGAAACTAAAATCGAACAGAAATCGGAAGAAGAAGACGATGAAGAGGACGATGACGAGGACGAGATTCCTTCGCCTCCCATAGAAGAACCGGTGAAAAAATCGTCGACTCCTCCCAAATTGGATTTATTGGAATCGAAGAAGAGGAAAAAGGTGCTGAGCAGAGCTTACATCGAAGAAAGCGAAACCGACAGCAGCGATTCCGAGCAATTGGTCATAGCCAGATCGGACGATGATTCCCAAGCGACTTCGTTGGACAATAAACCCGATGCCAAAGAAAGCGACAGCAGCAACGTATTCAATCAGAGCCAAACCACCGACGATTCCCAATCGCAGGAGGAGCGCAATTTCGAATTCAAAGAGGTATTTATCCAAACGCTTTGCGATCATTAAAAGTATCATACTGGCGTTTCACAGGACGAACACCGAATCACCCCGCCTTCTACTAAGAACGAGGCGTCGAAGAGCGATACGAAACCCGCGGAAGAAACCCCTAAAGAAGAAGATCCCGATCCGCACCTCCATTCGCTCCTGCTCTGCGAGGAGGAGATTCCCAGGAGCCCGGCGCCCGCCAACGATCCGCCTCCGGTTCAGGAAACCGTCATGAAAAGTGTACTGGAAATGCCTTTCGCCAGCGCGCCTAGCACCAGCAACAGCAAAGGTTTGCTGTTGGAACAGAAGAAGCTGACGGTTGCTTCGAACGCCGAATCGCAGCAGGCGGTAGCTAGAGAACGTAGGTCGCAAAATTCCACCGTCTTGGACAATACGCCTCCTACGACGCCGGAGAGTAGCATCAGCAATTTGTCGCCTAGAGGGTAAGATGGAGTTTTTTCGATTTTTTGGCAAAATTGAGTTATCATGAGGATTGAATTCTTTGGTCGATTTTTTGGCAAAATTGAGTTATCAGTACCATTAGGTTCATTCCTTCATTTCGTTGAGATCTACAAGATGGTAGAATATACCATTAGAAGTTTTAATTTAATAGAATTAACATTAAAGCAAACTTTAAACAACTATTTGCTGGAGCAATTTGGGTCAAATACAGTATTTTAACAGTAAACCAAACTTAAAATGCCTCTCCTGTAAAATACAAGGTATGGAAAAGCTCAATATATTTATCAGTTATTCTAGAATATAAAAAACTTCATTACAAAAGTTGCAATGTTCATTCATTGCAAGTTCATTCTCTTATTAAACATTCCCTAAAGTACCTAAAGTTAATACTTTTTCGAATGGATTATTTAAAAGTATTAAATTTAGGTATAGTGAATGTTTAATAAGAAAATGTTACTTTTGATACATTACTTAATAACAGATGTATTGAGCTTTCCCATACTTATGTGCTGCCCTGTATGCATTAGCAATTTTGTATTATCAATTTTGTGCAATTAGCATGTGTTAGCAAATCTTTCCTATGCAATCTGGGTACTAATAAATTAATCTTTTTTTAGGGATACTGGAGGATTGTCTCCTACATTGGGCGATAACGAAAGCGGCAAATCAAACGATGTCGAAACAGAATATCCCAGACAAAGGTCTACTAAAGTGTCGCCGTATAGTGAAGAAGGTATTGTGAATTTTATTATAAAGGGTCCCTTATAAAGGGACAAAGGTCAGGGGCTTGTAGGAGAGCCTAAAATATGTCGATGACTTTATTTTTTAGAGTTTTTCATCAAAACGACAAAGAATAGAAAAAGTTTTAAAATTAAATTGAAATTACCTATGAAATGAACTAATAATTTTTTAAATCATCCATCGGGTAAACAAATTCTGTAACATTTTAAGGAAGCATCATCCCTGATGAACCCTTTAAAATACATCAATTGATCTCTCCTGCAATCTCTTCTGTAACTGTTTATCGAATTATAAATTTTTTGTGGTCTTATTCAGATACTCAAATGTTGAGCGAAATGAAGAAACCGGCTTCTTGCAAAAAACGAAGAAAATCGTTGAGAAACTCTGAAGATACTATGCCACTTCCGAGTAAAAAGGCCAAAAAAACAAGATCGAGGCATAATAGCGATAGCGATGATACCTCTGAGTACTCTAACGCAGAAAGCACTGCGGTCCCTTATAATATATCATCGCGATCTCCGAGACCTTCAAAATATAACTTTTACGTCGAATTTGGTAAGACTTCTTTAATACAAAACTAAAGACATTTTAAATATAAAAATGTAAATTTCAGATCCTACTTTAGATAGCGGACAGAGGATAGCTGTTTTACAACAGAAACTTACGGAATTAAGAAAAACATACGCTGATGTTAAAGCAGAACTTGCAGCTGTTGAACGAAGAAGAAAAAAGATTAGAAGGCGGGAACGAGAAGGTACGTTTTTATTTTATTAATAATAACTAACTAAACAATTAGTTAATTTTATGAATGGGCAAATTTTATACTGTAAAACATTTTATTAGCTCTAAAGGCTGCGAAACAAGAAATAACCTGTGCATGATCCAAAACTCCTGGAGCTCGTAAACAGGCGTCATGACGAAAGAAGACTAAACATGGACCGTAATTTTGTATAGACTAGTTTTGTAGGGGACATACATTTTACTTGTTAAGTTCTAAAACAAATGTGTAATAGATTTTCAGTCATTTATTTTGTAATTGGAACGTTTGACTAATTTTTAAAAGATTATTATCATAATATTGGTATAAATGGCGTTCTATAGTACATATATAAGTTCTTGAATGTAAAATAAATAATACCTAATGGTCATTGAATGAAAGAAATTGTTAATTTGTGAATTTTGTGCAACATATGTGCTACAGAAATTCAAATAATAGTTCAGAAAAATTATCTTAAGCTTTCCATTGCAAAATTCAATTATATCTCTCGATAAACTTCAGCATTGAATTTAGAATTTACACCTACTTGAATATTATGTTGAATTTTTTTTACAGTATATTATTTTCTGATGCATTTTCTGAACTATATCTGAAAATGGTGTAGGGATATTTTGTTTATTATTAAAAACTATTCTAATACTAAATAAATGTAGCCTACTTATAAGTTTATTAATTACCTTACTGTTAGGTTTAAAACAACGTTGTTCTTGCATAATTTCTTTTAATTGATGAATAATTATTCGAATTATAATTTGATTATTTGCTTTTACATTGATATGCAAAAGTCATCTCGAAAAATAACGGTTTTATAAATTATATTCAAGTTTTATAATTTTTTTAGTTGATGTAAATAAAAATATAAATTGAAATAAAAATATTTATAATATACTGTAATATTATATTTAAGAATGAACGAATATAATGTGATTTGTATATATTTTATTTTTATAATTAAGATTTGATAAGATTGCTAATTTGCTAATTTCTTATATTTGTTTTGTGATTAAATGTAATTATTGAATGTTGTACTATTAAGTTTATAAATAATTGAATAAGTCCAATAGAAGTTAAATGTTATTTGAAACAATTTTATTTATTTAGAATAAAGAGTGTAATTGTCTGAATTTATATTTTTTTCCTTATTACTTTCGAATGATTCTACTACTCCAGGTACAATCATTACATTTGCCAGTAACCAAAGGATATGCTCTTAATAATAATTACTTAAACTTTTTAAAAATATGTATATTTTTTGAAATATTTGAATACATTAACATACATTTGTTTATAAATTTTTACAGACCCTTGCTATTAAAAATAGAATATCAACATGTTTGAACGATCGAAATTTATTTTGTTGTAGTACCTAATATTTAGAATATGTTATATTTTCTGTAGAATTGCGCAACAATAAGACCAATAAAAAACGTGATAATTTTACCGAGATGTTTTGTGGGAAAACGAAGTTTTGGCGGCGTTAAAGCGGTTTTCATAAGGTTCAATTTTCTGTCCGAATACGGAGGATACCTAATAGAACCTAGTTTCTCTCCCAACGCGCCCATATCCTTATGCAAAACCGATTTTCTATGAGAAAACGTTTCAAAGGTGGATTTTCCATGATAAGCGCCCATCCCGCTATTGCCGACTCCTCCGAAAGGAAGAGTGAAAGGTGAAGCATGAAGAATGGTGTCATTAATGCATACACCTCCCGCTGACGTATTTGTTAATATCTCGTCAATAATTTTTTGATTTTCACTAAACAAATACATCGCTAGAGGTTTCTCCATTTTGTTTATGACTGCAATAGCTTCGTACGCGTTATCAACGTTGATTATCGGCAACACCGGCCCGAATATCTCTTCCTGCATCACGCGATTTTCGGGAGACACGCCCGTAAGAATCGTCGGTGAAATGTACTTGTCTTTTCTGTCCGAATCCCCACCTATAGCCACCGTGCATTTTTCTAATAGCCCTTGTATTCTATCGAAGTGCCGCTCGTTGACGATTCTCGCGTAATCCGGCGATGCCTGCGGATTCTCCCCGAAGAACTCTTTCAACACTTTCCTGCTGGCGGATAGAAACTTCTCTTCGACTTGCTTCGTGCACATTACATAATCGGGTGCTATGCACGTTTGACCAGAGTTAACCACCTTCCCCCATAAGATTCTTCTAGCCGCCACTTCGATGTTCGCCGAACTGTCTAAATACACCGGGCTTTTACCTACAAATAGAGTTATTTCGGTAGAATAATTGCGTTTAGGATAGAGGATGAGTTTAAATTACCACCGAGTTCTAAAGTTGTTGGTGTTAAATATTTAGCTGCAGCCGCGTGGACGATTTTTCCTACAGCGCTGGAGCCGGTGTAGAAGATGTAATCGAACCTCTGCTTCAACAGTTCGCTAGTTTCCGGGATGCCGCCGTTGAAGACTTTATAAGCGTCGCTGTCTAAGTATTTCGGCAGAAGGTCCTCCAGGATCTTGGCGGTAGCAGGGGAGAGCTCGGATGGTTTGATTAGAACGCAATTTCCCGCAGCTATTGCTCCTATCATCGGCCCCAGAACCACTTGGATGGGATAGTTCCAAGCTCCTAAACGAAATGTTCATGAACAAACCGGTGAAGTTCTTTATTATGAATGGTTGTCCCTAAAACATGGAATGAACTAGTGATGGTATTAAATGAAACGCCACAGAGAATATATGCTTTACCTATAATGAGAGCGACGCCGTAAGGTTCTCGAATAATGTAAGCCTTGTCCATCATGTTCAGCAAATCTCTGGGGACTTTCTCGGGCTTGACCCAGTCGCTTAGGTTTTGGAGGTATCGTTGGATTTCGAAGCGCATGAAATCGATTTCTAACACGAAGGCCTCTTGCTTCGATTTCCCCAAGTCCTGCTTCATGGCTTGCCATATTTCCGACGAATTTTCGTCCAACAACCGGTGCAATTCTTTTAGCTGTTGAATTCTGTATTCGACCGGCTTCGTTCGTCCGCTGTTGAAAGTGTTTCTTAGTTGCGAAACAACTTCTTCGGGATTTTTTCCGGGGTTTATCGCCGCCATCTAAAATAATGATTAGGTAGTTTGTTTAATTCTTAATTGCAAACATAAATGAATTAATAAAAAAGTTTTGTATATTATTTTCATAAACACCTTTCTACATATTTCAAATTTATCCTATTCCTCATAATATCAAAACAAACATACCTTTATATGAGAACTTCTAAACTCAAAGCTCAACACAATATTACTTACGCAATTCGATACTTGCTTACCGCTTACTGAGGAATGGGTTTAGGATGACTCAAAATTCTATTTTTGTTCGGATATACATTTAAGTAAAATATTGGATAATAAACCATTTAAAAAAACTTACTTTGGAATGCACTTAATTGCACCTAACGATACCAGCAAAATGGCGCACACTGATAATATTGTCCAAGGCAAATGAAATGTGATAACGACGAGTGTAATCGCTTTTCTGTAGAGGGAATTTAATTTTATCACAAAGTTAACTCGACATAATATCGCTCAATGATTGGGTCGAATGTAGTAAGTACAAAGATCAATTGTATGTACCTATTGTAAGTAAATGTGTTCTCGAAATATGGCATATTCCGATTTGAATACCTACGTTTATTTTTTTTAATATCTACCTAAATAGGTTTATTTCTTCAAAATTGGCTAATTTCCTGCTTAAAATTTAAAGATTTATGAGATTGGATAATTTTTGAATTGTTTTAAATAAAACTAGTAAAATACTTGTTTATTTATAAGTTAATTACAATATTCATACCCACACATTTTCGTAATCATTTTTATGATTAATAATATTGATCATAATATTATTAATGTACGTAATAATATTGACTTAACATTTTAATTGTATTATTTATTGAACAATAGCTATTTTTAGGGAACTAAAGTATAATCTCTAAAGGTAACATTACTTTTTTCAACGAGTATAAAACACAAAAAAAATAATTTACAGAAACTAATAAACGAACAATCATTTACGAAACAACATTACAACTTACACCAATATCATTTTTAATTTGTTAATTTAAAAAGTACAACTTAAATAATACTTCATTATAATTATTGTATATGAGTTAGTTGATTTATTCAGAACATCTCTCACAAATCTGGAAGAAACCCGATAAAGCCTAGTGAAAAGTGAATTTGTAAAATAAAAGTGACAAAATACACTCTTTACACATTGTTAAAGCAATAAAAGTATAATTTTGATTATAATTAAAAAAAAAATAAGGTTTCTAAAGTTTGATTGCTCAATAACTTTTTTGCAAAATACTTTTTATTTTAAATTGAGCCTTTCATTTTTTTATCCTTTTTAGATAAATGATGTCTGCTGTAAATTAAATAAACGGACTCAAAAGAATTATTATATCTAAAATATAAAAATACTTAACCTATACAAAAGCTTTAAATGTCTATATTTTGGTGAAGGAACCCGTTTCAACTCGGTGTAGTAGGACTCATAGTAGTAGAAATCGTCGTGCTGCCAGTAGAATTATCTGGATCTTTCATATCGAACGTATTTATGACTACATTGACTGCCATTATGAGGATATTGATGCACATGACGATGTTATTGGCCTTATTGGCGTTCTCTTGGTGAACATCTTTGTTTATGTTCAATGTAACGCCCAGGATAACACAAAGGCAGGCTTGAACGATCTTTTTGAAAAAACATAAAAACAAAAATAAATTAAAATAAAATAAAATAAACGAAAATGTAATAAATAAATTAAAGAACCAAAAATAATGAACAAAAAATACGCTGATTTGGACCCCTTACAAGGAAAATTGAAGGTAAAAAACGTGGGAGTTTCTAATTGGAAAAATTACTCGTTCGATCTATCTGGATTAATCGAATTCCTGCTGTACTATTTACGTGTACAGCAGGATCGAGGCCAAAATTCATTTTTATTATATCACTAAACAACGTTCCTGTTACGAAAGCCAAGGATATCTGATGCAAAAACCAGGCTAAATTGCTCAGTTTACCATCATTTGAATCTCTCAGAACTGCCACCAGTACTGAGAGCAACGCCGCAGTCACCTGTAGACAAAAATGATTACAAACAAACCATTCTGTCAAAAGATCAAAGAGATTCTGTCGAGCTTACTAGTCAATTTACATAATGATATGTAATAATTTTCTTATCTAATCTATAAATCATCTTATCAGTAATGACATTAATCCGCCAGGAGGAACAAACAGGGTGTATGTATAGATAGGGATTTAAACATGAACTAGATTAAAAAAAACTAAAAAGCTACTTAAACTATAAGTAAATTGGATCTTTCTAATTTATCGGACACGTTGTAAAGTGTGTCTAATTAACTGACATTGATCAATTGAAGGGGTCTATTGGAGTAATCCAGACCAAAGCCAGAAATGATAATGTTTAATATGGAAATTAAAAAAATAAAAATCAAAATAACGTCGTTCAAAATAATAGCAGCTCGGTGATCTTTCGATTTGTTTATGTTCAAACCTCCTATAATTACGAAAAGCAAGGCCACGATAAACTGCAAATAAAATTATAAAAATTAATTGGTCAATTGATTTAGAATAATTTAGCATATTGTAATTACATTAAGAGGAAAGTGCGCATGTATGTACTTATAAGGTGTACTTAATGAAAAAGGTAATCAACCGGTATTAATTATTTATCCTCTATCCCTATTCATACTTTTCATATTATTTTATTAGTTATTATCTAAAATCAGTGTAATTGTCATTTTAACGCAGATTATATTCTCCAAAATTGAATCCTCCTTATTGAAATAAATTTATAGAGAGGTAACTTCCAAAAAAAAGATTAGCTATATTTTAACCTGAATTATTAAATCAAGAGTTTTCAGTCGAAAGATAATTAATTAGTATACTTTAATAAACCATTATTAACATTAATTTTATAATTTTAATCACTCTGTATAGGGACAGTGCGTCAATAGTTCAAGTAAAAGTATATTAGACATTTTAATTGAGGCAAAATTAATTTTAATAGATAAAATAAAATTACATATTCATTAGAGCATTACCTCAACATGGAATTTTTATGTTCGAGACCAGGTAATTTAGATAGATAAATTAATTTTACATACGTGTAGTTTCACGTGTAATAGTAAATATTATGAATAAGTTATTTATTTATATCTAAAGTGGATAAGTCGGGGGTCTCAAATACGGCGTATTTGGCAATTGAGGGATCGAAGCAAGAAATAAGCAAATTCAAAACGGTAATAACGAAAGCGAAAACGGTGGTAAGATGATTGAAAAAATATGCCGTTTTGTGGTACTCTTCGTCGTGTAGCCGGCAATCTCTCAGAAGGTGCAAGCTGAGACAAAGTATACCGACAAGAATCTGCGAAATAAAACTAAACTGATGTTTCGTTTTTAAACTAAGTACAGCACGTCATTTGGAATATTTAAATCGAAAATCTCTTAAGTTTATTTACCTGGAGTACTATGGAGATCGAGATTAGAGATAACATTAGAGCGTAGAATTCGTGTTTTTCTCCGACTTGAAGGATGTATTTCAATTGGGAGGCATTGGCGGTCAACAAAGCAACGTCCAAAAGCCCTTGAGCGATGGTTTTCTTCGTGGCATATTTATTTACGTCCAAAGTTTTCTGAAACATAGTTACATAGAAATCAGTAGAGTTTTACACCAATAACAACTTATACAATGTATGTGTGTCTATACATAGGTATAATATGTATGGTATGTAACTACTAATATTCATTATTCTATGGAATTTTCGGAAAAAAGTACCCTGCGAAATATAAACAGAAAATCTTTGTAGAGGGGACGTGTTACCAAAAAATGTGGAAATATTCCTAGCATAATGATCTTAACATTGGATGATGTAAAATGTTGCAGTTGTTGGTATTCAGAAGAGGACTTAATTTGGAAAAAAAGAACAAAATATTCCAAATGTTTCTGAATTTTCTGTATTAAACTTCTATTACAAATATATAAATTTTAAACCCTTTTAGAGAATTGCAAATAAAATTAAAATTCTTACCAGAATCAAAAGGTTCTGACTACCGCTTATTTCGTTTACCCCTTCTGGCATTTTGATAAATTGTTAGTGTAAAGAACAAAAAATTCATTCTATAACGCTTTTGGCAATAATGAAACTTATTATATCTCTAGTATATTGATAACATATCGTATATTTCGATATAGACAAGAAAACACGTACTTACAAGAACGTTTTATTGCACGTTATCTCGAATACCTGCTAATTCTAGAGGAATTTCGAGACACTTCTCGTCAGGAAAATTTATTGTTAATCGGGAAAATTGTTTTAACGACTTACTCGCACTATTTCCGACAAAATATTCCCGTCTCGTGTGTCTCCACGCTGAGTGGAATCCACCACGGTTGTTACGGTAGCATCAGGTATAACTTTAGATTTAACTTCAGGTTTATTAGAAGCCATTTTTTTAAAACTTGCAACTGTCTAATAACAATGACCAAAACAAAATAATTCAAGTAATATACAAAAACTTGTTTATATTTGAAGGTTTATATTAGACAAATTCATGTTATCTAAATTTGATTTATCTTTTGAATCCAAAAAAATTGATAATAAGCCGAAGATTGTTGATAAGCCGATAGACATTGAATGAGTCTTAAATTACAAGTGTTACAGAGATGAAAAATTTGTGTGAAATATGGTGAAAATTGTGATCTTGAGAGAAATTGAGGGTGTAGTATATAAATCCTCCCAAATATCAATTTTGCTTCCTCAAAAATTAAAACGTATTGTCTGGTTAACTAATTTAATATGATTATATTCTGACAGATAATTGTCTGACTAAATAATTAATTTGGCCATTATAATGTGCATTGGTAATTTCAATCTATTATCATTTTCTCATCATTTATTTCTCGTTAAGCAGCGGCATTGGTTAAAGTGTATATTTCGCAAAAAATGAAGATTTTACATGCATCTACTGAAATCAGTTTCTTTGTTTGAAATAATGCGTTTTGAAGGTTTTCCGTTTAAAAATGCAAGCGAACAATAGGATATTGTCATAGAGGATGCACAGTAGAAAGCGTTAAAAATGATTTATTATCGCATATTTAGTATAATTGTGCATCTGTGCAATATACTAATTAGAGGTAACTAAAAAAGTCATTAAAAAGTAACGAAAATCGGACATTAAACTTTTTTATCGTAAAGAGTACATGTAAATATCTTGAATACATAATTATATTATTGGCTCGATGAAAACAATTTAAGTACGTATGTTTGTATTTAAAGCGAATTATTTTGAACAATACCACTTAAATTAAATCAAGAGGGCAACACAATATAGAAACATTGGCCCTATCAATGTTTATTCGTAAAAATTAAATTTATAATCACCGAGTCAATTATTAAAATAAGGTGAAATTTTGCAAATTATTTATTATTTACTTACCGCCCTAAGAGCTATCGGAGACACAGACATTTTTGCTAATTTATTTAGCTTCGAGGGAGTTCCAAAAAAAACTAAAAAAATAACACGAATTATTTATAAACCATGGGCACGACATTAACACACCTGTTTTTTTCTAATAAAATAAAACCGCTTGTAGTTTGATCGACAAACGTCCGTTTCCCTTTGTTCTCGAATCTCAAATAGCTTAATCGATGTGATTCGACCAATGCTCTTTTATTTGACTCTTTCATACCGTTGCTACGACAGTTTACAATTGCAACAAACCCAAATTATCCAGTATTTTTAAATTTAATTACCGTTAACAATCGATATTTCCAGAAGATCATTGTCATCAATTTATTGACATTAATTTGAACTAAAAAGCCATGCAACAAATTTAGTCCAAAATATTTAAATTTAGGTATATGTATCCATGAATCACGGAAGTAATAAATCCGAGAAAATGCAGTTTAAAGACCTCTTATCTGAAGTGCACGGTTATTTCAAAATTATTCACTTCTTCGTATTGCTCAACGGATGACCTTAAAGATAATAATCTGAAAGAAATGTCATTCATTCTCTCGGTCTCTCTAGGGAGAAAGTATCTACAAGAATACCGTACATATAAACTTCTGTGCCGGTATCTGGTGTTTCAGTTTCAGTACAGTTCGAATAGCATTCTCTCAATCTTAATATGAATAATTTAACGACCGTTTTTTTCGTTCTTGCGGTTTTTTGCGGAGTTAACGGTCAAGGCGGGCCCCGCGGCGCTCTGACTGGAAGAAATTACATGGAAAGGCAGTTGCTGTGCGCCCTGGAAAAAGGACCCTGCGACGTACTGGGAAACCAAATTAAAGGTACCAAAAGTTTATCGAAATTAATATGTAGATCAATATTCCAGGACCGTAGTTTTTTGTATTCAAATTGTTCTTCAATACTATTATTACACTTGTACTTGGGATTCAACTGAGAGTTATTATTCAAGTGTTTTAATTAAGGGCATGACTTTGAAAAAAATACATTATTCGCTAAGTTTTAGCCAAAGATATAAGTTAACTATTAGATTAAATTTTGGTATATTTTTAGGGGCGCTTCCTGAAATAATAGGCAACAATTGCAGAGCCTGTGACCCGAAACAGAGGTCTAATGCCAGAAAAATGGCTAACGTCATTCGAGAGAGATATCCGGAAGTTTGGAATGCTTTGGTAGAAAAATATTCCCGAGCATAACATATTAAGTTCCTTTGTTTATTCTGAATTATTAGATAATAATATAATTGTATAAAACAAGTAGTTGTCTTCATATTTTAGATAATACAGTAACAAAGAACAGCAAGGGTTATTCATACAGGGTTGACTATTGAAAAGGAAACAGAGATGATTTCGGTTAGAAAAAATAGATTTTTGGAAAATCGCTGAGACACGTCAATGTTTATATCTTTTGACGTATAAACCATCGACGGATTTTAATAATTTTTTTTAGTTATTTTCAGAAAAAAATAACCTTTTTAATGATGTATTACAGTACCCACATTCCCTATTTAATTTTAAGGGTTGGGTTTGTTGGGCAAAGGGGTGGAATAATATGATTTAGTTTTTACATTAAAGGATGTCCCCCTCGATATAAAAATTGACGTGTTTTACGGACTTTCCAAAAATCATTTTTTCTACCCGAAAATACCTCTTTTTCCTTTTCAATGGGCCACCCTGTATAAAAGCATTAAATAAGAAACCCAAGTATATGTCTATTGTTTTCATTCATTAATTCAAGCGCTATTAATGAAGCTAATTAACAGCGGGTACTGAATACTCTAGCAAATAAGCCAATTAAGATAACATTAAGACACTATAATCGATTTACTGCATTTAAATAAATGGTGGCTGCTATATTCTATTAAATTTTCTCAACTTTGTCCCGAAATTATCACAGAACTACATCAGAAACACAAAAAAAAACAAATTCTATTACTAAACATTATTTATTCTCAGCACATTCCATATCGCCCTTTTCGTATTTATCGAGCACGGCTCTCACTAAAATGCACTTAGTCAAATGGCAAAGGCAATACTCGGGGTGTTCCACTTCGGAGGGATCCAGCATAGTGACCTCTATGATGTACCGTCGAGCGTTCTCATCAGATCGCTTCAGAAGCAAATCGTACGCTATGGGAGAACCTTCTTCCACTTCTAAGCTAGACGGCAACACGATGGTGGTCTGCTTCCAATGGGTCAACGGCTCGTCCGGTTCAGTGGAAAGCGTCACAGGTTCGACGGTGGTGGATGGGAAGGTGCACGAAAACCACAGGCATATACCTTTAATGGAAGTACAGATATTGCTTAAAAAGGGTTAATTCAGTTAAATCCCTTTAAGGGAAAAGACGTTTTCTTTACCTTCGTATCTTCCCTTTTTGTTCGCTACAGCCAAGTGCCTGACTTCGATTTTGTTCAATTCCTCCATGGTGACTTCCCTCAAATCCAGCCAGAGTACGTTATCGGCGTCGGAGAGAAGACAGTCTGGATGCGTCCGTTCGCAAACGGGTTTCTGGCAGGTTTTTGCGCGCAATTTGGGGCCGACGTGGGTCATCGAGACGCCGTTTACGTCCTCCCAAAACGAGTACATCGAAGGTACACTAAGAAATGGAGCATGTAATTAAACTGCTCGGTTCTTTGTTGGGAAGATTGCTTAGTCTTACCTACAGGGTGTTGCAAATAACGTAGCTGATTCAGGGAACATTAAACCGCCAACTTTTAAGAATTTGTCTCTGGCCGCGATGACGGAATCTAGCATACCTTCGTGAAGCAAATAAAACCCCATCCATTCGGATACGATTATATCAACTTTTTCGGGTAAAGTAACGTTTTCTACTTTCGAATGGATAACCTGAAACAGCATTGCGTCAAATGGGTTGATGATGGCGCAGGACTGAAGGTTACTTTTATAACGTCACCGAATTTATTCTCTTTGGCTACTTCTTCGGCTATTTTATAAGTATCACTAGCTTCGACTGCGTAAACGGTTTTAGCTCCCGCCTGAGCGCAGAAGACTGATAGTATTCCAGTACCAGCTCCAACATCGAGCACTGTCTTGCCAAGGAATTCTTGTTTGTTGTTAAATATGGCATCTTTGTAAGCTAAATTTCGAGCGGAATCCTCCAGCATTAATTTATGAATCTATACAAAGTAAAATTTATCACTTACAAAAAATCCAGGCATATAAAGTAATTAAGTATATTTTTACAATAGCAGCTATTTAATCTAAGCATAGACCACTTGAAGATCCTCTTATCGTCTCTAACTATCGATAGATAATCAAATTGATTTGTAATTAATTGATTGATTCATTGTGCAATGTGATTTTGATTTCAATTATTGCCTGAATCGAAAATGGTGAAAGCTAAGGTATTTATATTAGAGAAGCACTTCGATGGCTATCCCAAAGAAACGGATTTCAGGCTTATTGAAGAGGAATTAAGACCTATCAGAAATGGAGGTAAGGAATGAACTGGATTAATTCACTTATGTAGGTATGTAAGTAAAATAATCATTTGTGTTATTGTAGAGTTTCTCGCTGAAGCAGTTTATTTGAGTGTCGACCCTTACATGAGGGCTTACGAACCGTCTTTACCGTTGGGAGAACCCTTCATAGGGTCTCAAGTAGCTAAGTAATATTGCAAATTTACAGCTAACAAAAACCACCAGTTATTTTTTCCTTACTTGAACTTTGCATCATAACAAATCATATGATCAAACTATGTATTTCATGTTTTTGCATTACTCCCATACTTCAAATGGATTGCACAATTGTCTGAATTGGTTATATATTTTTTAGAGTAATCGAAAGCAAACACCCCAAATTTCCTGTCGGTTGTTACCTAATCGGGCAATTTGGGTGGAGAACGCACACTATTTCTAACGGGGAAATATTAGGAATAGTAGGCAGAGGAAAAGCGCCGCAACCTGTCGTCAAGCAAGCCTTGAGCTTACCATTGTCGGTGTCGCTTGGCGCCGCAGGAATGGTGGGGTAATGAAAAATATCGCTTATTTTAACAAAATTCTACACATTGACCTTACAATAGGAACTCTGCGTATTTCGGTTTTCTTGAACTATGCAAACCAAAATCTGGCGAAACTGTGGTTGTTTCTGGAGCAGCAGGAGGAGTGGGCAGTCTGGTAGGTCAAATAGCCAAAATTAAGGGTTGCAAAGTAATAGGAATAGCAGGATCAGATGATAAGGGAGCATGGTTGGTGAATGAATTAGGTTTTGATTATTTCATCAATTACAAAACGGACAATGTGGACGAAAAATTGAGGGAATATGCCCCTGAGGGTATTGATTGCTACTTCGATAATGTAAGTTACACTATTTAAACCAAGATATAAAAAAAATAAAATTGGTCAACATACATTAGGTAGGAGGAGCTGTGAGCAGCAGTGTAATTCTGCAAATGAACAAATATGGAAGAGTTTCAGTGTGTGGAGCCATATCTGGATACAACGAACAAGTTAGAGGTAAATAAATAGAGAGATTTTGATAAAAAAATTGTATTTGGTACCATTCGATTATACCCTGGTATGACAATAGCTCCGCTATAAACATGTTATTTCTTATTTGTTAAGATTGTGGGGGTATAATGTAATATTCTAATTCATTACTTGCTTTTAGCGAAATCCATTTTCAAATCGGTTATCTCTAAGCAGTTGGTAATGGAGGGATTTTTAGTACTGAGATGGTTGGACAGATGGAACGAAGGGATAATTCAGAATGTAAAATGGATAAACGAAGGAAAATTGAAGTACCGTGAGCAAGTTACTGAAGGGTTCGAAAATATGGCTGTAGCTTTCGTTGACATGTTAAAAGGAAAAAATATTGGAAAGTCTGTTGTTAAAGTATAAAATATATTGAACAATATCGTTCCCTTACCTCTAGGTCTTCGTAACTTTCAAAATAATTATTTGTCTCCATTTCTTCCATACTTTTTAGTAAATATATATTAACTATTTGTACTTAATCCAGAAAATATGAAATGCTTTTATTTACATATTTGTAACCTCAAAAAACGTGCTCTTCTTCTACTTTATTTGAGACTGTAACTACTAAGGATATTCAGCTTAAAAAAAACAAATTTTTGACAAACAAAACTTTCTTTTCTTCTTTTTTATAGTTTATAGCACTTTTATGAGTTTTTCATTTTCGAAATATCGGCAAAAATCAATCTTTTAAACAAGTATTAAAAAATAATACAAATTTGGTTTTTTTAAGTATATTTTAATTTTTGTCATGTCGTTTTAATATCAAGGAATAGAAGTTTAAACGAAGTTAAACAAATTAAATAAAATGAATATCTAAATAAAAATAACAATTTATTATTCATTTACACTTAAATACTATGGCCCATATTTGGCTCTTTTTTAACGCTAATCAATCATTTAAAGAGTCTCTTTAACTTATAATTAAACAAAGTTCACAGTTACTTAACAATATACAACTATCAACTTAAAGAGGCTCTTTAAACGATTAATTAGCCTTAAAAAGGAGGGCTAAATACGGGCCTATGTTAACAAATTGTATTATTTCTTTAGAGTCCTTTGTTTTTCGGCGTGTATAACAACTTCGTCTTCGACATGTAATCCTTTTCTTCTTCTTACATCCTTAATCAATTTGTTCGCCCTCAAAGCCGACTCGACGTTAACGCCTTCCTCTTCCTCGTCCTCATCCTCCACAGGTTCATAAAACGGGTCCCCATCGATGACTTCGTAGTGGCTGAACCTCAACGTCGGATTAGCCTGACCGGACGTGGTTTTCCTCATTTCGTTGGCGAAGTTTTCGCTTTCTATCACAGGAATTTGAGCTTTGACCAGAAACACCTTCTCCAGATCGTCCATGCAAACGTCTTCGATGATTTTCCCGTGCCGTTTGCTCACGACCGTGTAAACTTTTCCGAGTATATTCGTGTTCACTTGAATTTCCGTCACGTAGAGCGGCTCCATCAATCGCTGGTCTCGTTTCTCAAAGGCTCTTCTGAAGGTGTCGCGAATGCCGGACTCGATGGTAGAGGTCGTTTGCGGCGTGATATCCTCCGGACCGATGTCTGCGGTTAACTCGAAGTTTTTAATGACAAAAGCGCAATGGGTCAAAGGTTCTTCGCACAAAGGGCCCGCTTTGCATAAACCATTGAACGCTTTAACGACGCAATGATCGAATAATGCTCTCGTGTCGCGACCGTCGAGTTCTAGAAAAATATTTTGGTCGTAATTCGGAGTGTCGTTGATGAGAATATTCAGGCAATCGGACGAAGCGCCGACGCTCCACAATTTTTCATCTAATCCTCTCCAAGAAGCTGATGCAGATTCGAAAGCGGATTTTAATTGATCCTTTGCGTGAAATAAGGCTTTCTTGTTGGTTTCGCTCTTGAATACTTTCTCTCTAACCCGATTATCGTTGGTAATAGTGCATTGTTTAGCTATGTCGATGAAACTCTTGTGCTGATGACATTCCACAGTTCTTAGTAAATCATGACTGCTCCTTATAGCTTCCATTATATTCAAAGGGACGGGTGTCGCCAACACAGACAACTTTATATTTTGAGCATCTAAATGTACTGTATTTGCTTGATCTTTGTTGAAATCATAATCTGTTTGATTACACACGATTGTTTCTCGCAAAGAGACCATCGGACGTGATACATGGACTTCGATTGGAGCGAATTTATTCTTTAAATCTTCTATACATTTGCCCAAATGCACATCACCCGCTGTAAGCAGGACCAATTCGCCGGTCTCCTGAATTATAACTTCTACGCAGGAATCGCTTTGCAGTAAAAGTTTCAATCCTTGTCGAAGAATGGGCAATTCCCTAGGATTTGCTGGTTCTATGGCATGACGAACCACGGGATCCATTCGTCCTCTTTCCACTAACGGAACTACGCTTAAATCGGATGATAAAGTGGCGGTACGCAAAACGCAAGACTCCAGACCGCCTATTCCACAAAAATTACCAGCCGGAACGGAGTCTACTAACGTTAATTCTCTGCCAAAAAGCATGTACAATTCTTTAACGACTACTTTGTTGGCGTTGGGGCAATTTTTGATGAACTCTTCGGCATTTTCCTTTATTTTTACTTCATCTGGTAAGTAAGAGCCGGTTAGAGTGTATATTTCTTGACCGACTCGAAGTGTACCGCAGAAAACTCTAGCTAGAGCTATCACAGCTATGTCATCTTGTAGTCCGTTATTGGTGGCTTCAGATTTATCATCTCCGGATTCATTCGACCCGATATTCGAATTATCATCTAACTTGGCTGGTGCCGGGGAATTTCTAGGCCTTGGAACGAACGGCTTCGGCTTGAACTGTGAGAGATTTTTTTTATTAACACAAAACATTTTCGATACGTAGACTATCGTAGGAGTGTCTGGACTGGTTGATATGTTTTCAAAATATGGTAACAACTTTTCTACACATCCGTAGTAATACTGGTTTTCGCAAAATTTATTTACATTTAGTAAGTAATCGATTTTAGTTTTTTCTATTTTGCAAGGCGATGGAATTTTTTTTAAACATTGTAGCAGTATTATCGTTGATAATGGCTTCCAAGCTTGAAGTATTGCTCTAACTTGTACTTTAGGGTCATTGTGCGTCATATCTCTAGTTACCGATGCTATATTCAATTTTTCTATGATTGTATTTACTTTATCTTTTTCCATATTAATTACTAAAGTCTCATAAATGTGTACTACAGTTTTTAAACAGAACTGCGTGAATAAATTGGTTTTCTTTTTTTCTATAGCACCTGATTTAATTTCTTTTTTAGAATCAATAAAATAATCGAAATTCCACATTTTTTTGTTTAAGGATTCAACAGTCTCGTTTTTAACTAAGTTAACAAACGTTCGAGCAATTTGCTCTGTAGTAAATCCCCAACCATCTACAGCACTTGCAAAAATTACATTACCACAGTCCGGGTTAAATAGAAGACCTGTATCTTCAATATCAATTTCATTATTCGTGTATTCGTACTGGTAGAGTTCCGCTACTATTGCGTTACAACCTTCTATTATCCTTAGAATGGTCTGGAATATTTCATCGATACTTTTTCGCAATTCAACCACCAGTCGGTCGAATTTATTTAAAATCAATATCATTGTAGCGTGCTCTTCGAATGCATTTTTAATGGCTTCCCTGGTTTGTACACAAACTCCCTCAACAAGATCGACTAAAATTATAGCACCGTCCGAAACTCTTAAAGCAGCTCCTACTTCCGTTGAAAAGTCTATGTGGCCCGGTGTATCTATTAAATTCAATAGAATCTTCTTATTTTTACATTCACCTTCATCATAGACTAAATTCAAGAGAGATACGGCACTGCTTTTCATTGTTATCCCTCGCTCCTGTTCATCAGGTCTATCGTCTAGATAACGTAGAAAACCTGCCATTCGTTTGCTTACTAAACGATTGGTTGCTAAAAGGGAATCGGCCACTGTTGTCTTGCCATGATCGACATGAGCCAAAATGCACACATTTCTGATGCATTTGGGATCTCTCATACAAAAATCGTACTCTTGGCTGGTCGGTTTTATAGAATCCATCGTACGCTGAAAATAAATTGAAAATTAATACTTATTTTATATTTATTCGTAGTTATTAATTACACTACACTGTAGTTAATCATATAACAATTATTCTGACAATATATTAAGGTTTTACAGTTAAAATCTTGTGTAATACCATGCAATATGCTATTTAATTTAAAGCAATTAAAACCTGGTTATAGAATTGTTAGATTAATAAAGAAGAAGTTTAAAGGCGTTATGAACTTACCAATTCACTATAGTTCACTATTCTTTTGACTTCAGCTAACAAATAAATTTAGAATTTAGTAATTTAAATGTTCAAAAAGGTCTTTCTTGATGATATTTAACCTATCTTTTTCTTCTTTTAAATTATAAATTATTAAATATATGGTACAAATGAACTATTTTGTCACGGTGGTTGAAAAGCTTATAAGTAAAAGATTAAATTTAAAGAATAAATTAGATAGGCACAATTGTTTATGTTTGTGTGTACATTTTTCCAATTTTTCCGATTTTTCACCAAAAAATATGGTGAATTTCTTCAAAACTATAAGAAATAATAAATCGAATCAAGTGTTTAGCTTAGATATTCAACTGGAGGATGATCATTTTACATTAAAAATATTGGAAAATCAAGATGCTTGGCTAACTGATGTAATAATTCCAGGTTTTCTTTATCGATATTAATTACTGAATTACTAATTAATTTTTAGGTGACCAAAGAGGATTTAAATAAAAAAGCCGAACCGTTTGATGTTTCCAAAGAGGAATACTTTTCGAAATTGAAAACTTATTTTTTCGAAACCCCAAAAAACGTCGAATTCAGATTCACCGATGGTGAATTTTCTTGTTATATTAAAACTCAGAGGAGTAATTTTGTATACTTCTCAGCTAAACTTCGTAAGGTGATAACTTTTTAACTATTTTAACTTTCAATTTCCTATCTATGTACCTATTTCTAGGTAAACATTGATTTTGTTGAACTACTTGAAATATATTCATCCGAAGGTGAGCGACTTAGGTTAGAAAATGATAATCTTACCAAGGAAAGAGATAAGTTAAGAGAAGGTAATTAATTCGTTATTAAAGAGGATATGCTGCTTATTACCCCTTAATCTCATATGTATCTTTCTTTGCACTTCTTCTGCACAGCCTATATTTATCCACTGCTGGATGTAGGCCTGTTCCAGTTGCTTCCATTTCCTTCTATCTCTTGCAGTTCTCATCTTTTCTTTTCCCCCGATCTATTTCGTGTCATCTATCCATCATCTTTGGTGATCTGCCTATTCCTCTTTTATTTTCACTTAGTTCTTTTGAAATGAATTTTACTAATGTAAAACAACTTTTTAGATAACAATAATTTAGAAAACAAATTAAAGGAACTGGTAGCCAAAAAAATACAGGAAGAAGAAGAGCTTTACAGCCATTTTACACTTGTTTTGAACGAGAAGAAGAGAAAAATACAGCATTTGAATCAAACGTTGCAAGCGTTTAAAGCGGGAAGGCCCACAGTAAATTCCGAAAGAGTTGTAAAAACCAAATCGGTTCCATTAGTTAGAAATGATGTGTCTGAATCTGAGAACTCTGATTACAATACAGACGAAGAAAAAACTGTAAATAAAGTAAAGAGCAAGGAGCCTTTGCCCAGTACATCCACAGTAACAAATAGTAACATGTATTCTGATGATGATAATGATGATATTATTTTACCTAAGCGTACTAAAGTTACTGATAGCAAACTCAGTCATACTGGTTATGAGTTGAACAACATACCTAGCATTAACAAAGTTATTGCGAAGGAAAAAACACCAGAACCAGAACCTGAAGAAAAAATATCAGAACCTGCACAAGTGCAGAGCATGAATGATTCACCAACATTTGAAATCAGCACTCAAGAATTGCTGGATCGTCTTTAAATTAATTTAACCTTGTTTTTATAATGTATTACTTCAAGGAACGTACTTGTTAAATATATTTAATATTTTAGTTGATTATCGAACCTTAATTTATTCAAAATGCATTATAACATTTCTTTTCTAAAGTTACACTACATAAGATAGGCAACACACAATACCGAAAAGTGCAAACTACGTTGCATACTTGCAAATGTTCTTGAAATTATCTAATCCACTATTATTACATCCGAGTTAATTTTATGCATTCTAGGAAAATTACAAGCATTTTTTTAAGCACACACTCTATAATTATTATAGGTAAATGAAAATGTCTACGTGAAATTCAAATTACGCGCCATTGAAATCTGTCACTGTCGATTGCGCTGCCACTTTGGCAATACGTCACTTACGTCACGTCAGTCAAATGAATCAAGTCGTAGGGATTGAGGTTTAGAGAAATACGTCGTCGTAAATTTGTTGAATTTGTGAACAATATTCCCTCATTAAAGGTTTATTGAACTATTTTTAGGGTGTGCATTGTTTCGAATACTAGTTTTTTTATTGAACGTGTACAATAATAAAATCGTAGAAAATGAATCCTGAGTAGTAAGTATCGATTTATTTATCATTTTCGCCGTTCCATTTTGACAATGAAGGAAATTTTCTTTATTAGAATAGCGTAGCAAACGAATCGTTAGCAGGTTGAAAGTAATACGGAATGCATACGTTTTCCTTTTATGATCAATTTTTTTGTAAAACAGGTAGAACCATAATGGAATAGTGAAAAAGTAAAGGATATGTCCACCCACCATTTACCATGATTACAAGTGGAACGTCATCTTATGACATGAGTCAGGTTTTTTAAAGAGATTTTTGTTTATTTGTTTCGATCGTTTTGTCGATATTTTGCGTTTGTATGAATTTAATCTTTGCCTGACCTGGAAACAAAGATATGGATAGGATATTTCAGTTTTTAATAAATTTCTTTGTCTCTTTAGAAATACATTATGTAAACATTCCAAGTCGGGAATTTGGATTTGTATGCGTTTCAAATGATTCGTTTTGTAATATTTCTTATAAATTTGTTTATTGGGTATTAAACCTTGGACTTTTGTGAGCTTGTAGAATTTTTACATGGAATTTACTACTAAAATTTACTTGCATTAATTAGTATTTATAATAACTTGTTGGTGGAATAAACCAGAAATAGATTTTAATCATAAATTTGTCAGGCATTTAACATTCGAACCACTACAGGCTCTGTCCTACAGGTTAGAATAGGATAAAAAATTCTTTCAATTTTAGTTAAATAAAATTCAGATAATGAAATGGTCAAAAAATCAATGAAAGTTTATTTTATATGTTTGCTGTTATTTTTCTGTTCTGTTCGATGTTAATTTATATTCAATAGAAGTATGGTAGATAACAAGCAAAAGAACTTTCTTTTCCTTAAACAAATTCCTCAGATAAATTGCAAATAATCATTACATTGTTTTATTTTTCTTTACAGTGATTACTTATTCAAGCTGCTTCTTATCGGCGATTCTGGAGTAGGAAAATCGTGTTTGCTATTGAGATTTGCGGTAAGTGTAAATTTGGTGCCAGAAAATCGCATTGATTTATTGCCAGATTGTGATTAATAACATTTTCTTATCATCGAAATAGTTCCTTGTATGGATTAACAGTTTCATTCAAGTTGATTAATACTTTTATTAACCGATATTTATCCAGTAATTTAGGCATATTAAAGTGATTTAAACATTAATTCTGTTAGTAATATTTTCGTATTTAAATTTTGACTTTTTTTAGGATGATACTTACACGGAGAGTTATATTAGTACTATTGGAGTAGATTTTGTAAGTATTTATCGACAATTATTATTAGTTTGTACTTACAAGACTGTTATTGCAGAAAATCAGAACAATCGACTTAGATGGAAAAACAATTAAATTGCAAATTGTAAGTATTATTATCACATAGAAAATTAATTAATAGGTTAATTGCGATTCGTAGAAACTGTACACGTTTCATCAAACACATGGATAAAAGCAAGTTTGTTTGCAATATGGTGAATTCTATGAGTTGAACAAAGAAACATTATTAAAATAACCGTGGTTAGAGTGAGAAAAGTTGCAATCCAACAATATCACATTTCTTTTTCCTTGATATGAGTCTAATGGAAGTTGTCTTTGTCGCACTCAGCTTATACTGCAAAAAATTTTTGTATCTACCTGTATATACATTTTTGGGTGCCCGTCTAGTATGTGGTCTACCATAATATTTGCGGTCTACCTACATATTTCGTCGACCAAGTATATTATTTAGATACTAGATTAGACAGGTGTATTATTTTGCAAAACTGAAACTGTTCATATATCCCCAAATATAATAGTCCTGTGGTGTTAGGTCTGGCCATCTCGGAGGCCAGGAAACAGGACCTCCTCTTTCAATCCACCAGTTAGTAAACTCGGTATCTAAACGTATTGACTTAAAAAAGCGTACAAATCATTTTCAACTTAATTGACCAAGTAGTACCCTCCTAAGCTATGTCCTGTAGACACCCTGTACGATTGTTATTATTTTTCCAGTGGGATACCGCCGGACAGGAAAGATTTAGAACTATAACATCGAGTTACTACAGGGGCGCGCACGGAATCATCGTCGTGTACGATTGCACAGATCAGGACTCGTTCAACAACGTGAAACAATGGTTGGAGGAAATCGACCGTTACGCATGCGACAACGTCAATAAATTACTTGTAGGAAATAAAAGTGATCTTACGACTAAGAAAGTTGTCGATTTCAATACGGCCAAGGTGATTTTGTCGTTAGATTAACAACGAGTAACAATGTTTGTTAATTTGTTGGGATTTGTAGGAATACGCGGATCAGTTGGGCGTACCGTTTTTGGAGACGTCGGCGAAGAACGCCACCAACGTAGAGCAGGCCTTTATGACGATGGCGGCGGAAATTAAAAATCGATTAGGGCCGCCGACCGCGGCCGCGGATCAAGGAAACAAAGTTAGATTCGATCAAAGTCGTCCTGTTGAAACGACTAAATCGGGATGTTGCTGAAACATTGTCTCATTCATATTATTTTGGTGAGCATCGATATCCCCTTTCATTTCTTAATAACGAAGTCTAATTGTTTTACTGGTAATTTGTGTTTCAGAACGAAATCGGGGTTGGTCGTATATGTCATCTCTTCTGTACAGTAGCACAGCTACCAGTTTTATTATTATAGTAATATCCGTCTGTATGTATAGTTATTTCAAAACCGTTTCGATTTGATTTACAAATTTATTCTTTACATATTTTTTTGTTTCATTAAAATTTTGCATATAGAAGACACCAATATCTCTTAGCCTAATCTTAACTTTCCATTTAGCTAAAGTGAACCTTGTATTCTATATATTTATTAACATATTTTTTAGAAAGAAAAATTTAAAATTATTCAAACTTATTTTGTTTCCTTAGAATACTTGGAAACGAGGAATACACAATACAATTATTTTAATTTAAGTCGCCCATTTGTTACGTATATAATAGAAAATATATATAAATATATAATTTTTCCGTGTGTCTTTCCCGTTTTTAACGTTAGATAGTTTTGTTTATTGGTTCTTTTAATATTTAAATAATCGTACGGCGTTATAAAATTCTCAAGCAAGTAATTTTCACTATTTCTATTCCAATATTTTTGTGTTTTATTTGCGGCACTAACTAAATTGTAGTGTTAAGAGATACAACTTTGTTTATTACCTAGTTTGTCTTTTTTATTAAGTGCTTTTCCAAGTTTTTTTGTTTACCTTAAGTTATCAACTATTGTTGTTCGTGTTTTATGATAATGTTAAATTAATACCAAACATGCTAATTTTGAAAATTATGAAAAATTACTTGTTCCATTGAAATTTAGCGCGTGCGTCCCTCGTTAGGAATTTGTTATATTTTTTTATCCATTATAATCTTTCACGTTTCTCTTATACTTTTTACATCGGAATAAGCTAACAAAAATAATGTGCAAGGATTAGAATGAGTGATTAACAATTTTGTAAAATGAAATTATTCCGAACTGAATTTTTGTATGTTGCGTATGTATAAAAAATACATTATAAAATCGATAATTATTTGATGCACTAGTAGTAGTCCTGCACATAGTTGAGTTTTTGATTTCCCATTACTTTTGATTTTCTTTAATGAAAAGGAAATATCAAAATTTTTCTAGCCTGAAATATTAGATAATGAAATTTTTTACAATTCATAATATGGTTTTATTGTAAAGGAATTCATTTTTTTGTAGTTAATATTTGTATAAGAATTGTAAACTAAATAAATGCGTAAAAAAGTGCTTGAATCTTTCGCCTTACATTAGATTTTAAACGATAACATTCCTATATAAGGCGTATTTTTGCGCAACATTAACTACACCGCGCCTTTACCTATTTACATTTTAACTAAATGATAGGGACAATTAATAAAATTTGTTTAAATTACAAAATTTTATTCATTTAATAATCATTTACACAAAAAGAAATCACGCCATTTGAATATTCAAATTGGCGACGCGACATCTTTGCGAAAACTACAATGTGGAACATGAAAAATTTCATATATCAAAACTAAAATCTGTAAAAATCGGGCTATTAAATTTCGCAGCATTACCTATATACATTTTACAAAATATAGACAATAAAGACTACAAATTGTATTAAAAGTCTCAAATAATATCACTTTTAAAAATTATTACCTACAATTAGGTCAGCGGATATTGACCATTATTCATTGCTAGTATAGAGTCATTGTGTTACATTAAAAGGTTTTTTCACCGGTCATTCTTCTAGTTTAAGTATAGCTTAAGTTAAGTAATAAGATTTAAATGATACTAAAAACACTCGGGGAGAGCGGTGGAATTGAACCATAACGAGTTGACTTAACAGTAAACGATTGATCTATTGGTAACACAAAATTATTTATCCACAAAAATTAATTACTTAAAAAATCTTTCATTATTATCTAAACATTCACACAAATAAAACGAAAGAAAATCGATCATATAAAAGAATAAAGCAGCAAAGAAAATAAAGAAGTAGGAATGTGACCCAGTAAACAAAGGTTCCTAGCAAAAATTGCACATGGACGAATAAAACTATTAAAATTAAATTCCGAGATAATAAATAAACTATCCGGAAGCTACCATATCGGTAAACAATAAAAACAATAAAATCGATTTAAAAGCCTAGCATAAAATTCCATTCAATCCGATACAAAAAAGCCTTACACATAAAAAATTATTTAAACCCAACCTAATTCGCAGCGACCTTAGCCAGCAGTAGATCACAAGTTTTCTTTGCATCTCCCAGCAGCATCGAAGTATTAGGTTTATAGAAAACTGGATTATCCACAGCAGCATAACCGACTCCCAGCGACCTCTTCATAACTATCACCTGTTCCGCCTTCCAGACATTCAATACGGGCATACCTGTAAAAACAGTTTCAATAAAAAACCTACTGAAAAAAATATTCCAATTCCATATTTACCTGCTATGGGCGAGTTGGGATCTTCGATAGCGGCGCTGTTAACCGTATCGTTGGCTCCAATGACCAAAACGAGATCTGTTTCTGGAAAATCTTCGTTGATTTCGTCCATCTCGAGCACATCGTCATAAGGGACTCCCGCTTCTGCTAGAAGTACGTTGAGCTGACCCGGCATGCGACCTGTAGACAAATATTTTAATATCGCATCCACGCCAAATTCATAGATTTAATAATTTCGAGTTATACCTGCCACTGGATGTATAGCAAATCGAACATTCTTTCCGGCCTCTTTCAACTTGCTGACCATTTCGGCGATGGGGTATTGCGCTTTGGCCACGCACAAGCCGTATCCGGGCACTATGATGATGTTCCGGGCGTTTTTAATGGCCTCCGTGGCGGTGTCTATGTTGATTTCGGTGTGAGTACCGGTGATTTCCATCGGCTTACCGGTACCCGTGCTGGATGTTCCGTAACCGCCGAGGATGACGTTAGGAAGAGATCTGTTCATTGCCTACAAAAAACAGAAAAAGGTTATAGTCTGTGAATACTTGAATCAGATCACGCTTTAGAAACGCTGCAGGACTATAATGGATTGTCTACATACGTTTTATTAGAATTGATTCTGTCAATTAGCCGCATTCCAGGATCTGAATGCCTTTTAGAAACCCAGAATGTTCAGTCATTAGGCGAATAGGGAAGGAATATTTGGTATAATTCGATTAATCAAACGATTTCTACTTAATATACTAACTTTGCACATGATGTACGACAATATGGCACCAGAAGAACCTATCAAAGCGCCTACAATAGTCATCAGATTGTTGTTGAGCATGAATCCTTCGGCGCAAAGAGCCCAACCCGAGTAGCTGTTTAACACAGTAATAACTACAGGCATGTCTGCACCTGTGAATTAAAGAATCGTGTTTTAGTGCCAATTCAATTAATTTGTCAAACATTCTTACCTCCGATGGCGGCAGTCAAAGTAACGCCCATTACCGAAGACAATGCGGCGGTGGTACCAAGAGCACCGAGACCTCCCATCAGCGATGGATCATAGAACAAGTAAGCACCTGCACCCACGTTAGCTAATAAAAGACTAGAATTCAAAGCGTGGCGGCCGGGCAGAAGGAGAGGATTCGATGATAATACGCCTTGTAGTTTGCCATAGGCGATTAAAGATCCACTGAAGAAGAATAAAGATTAGAGGTTTAAAAAAAATACTATAGACATTAGGTGAGATTTTAATGATCTCGCATCTCTTTAGTGTAGAATTAGGAAGGCTCAAAATTTACCTGAATGTTACTCCTCCTATGTAAGTGCCTAAGAATAGAGCAGTTTTGACTACATCAGCGGCGGGATCCGTCGCAAACGTCGGAAAATCGTGCATGAACGTCGAGATGCACGTCAATACAGCCGCCAAACCTACCAAACTATAACACAAAACGATTACTAATGAGCATGCGATGCTTATTGTATCAGGAAATTAAAGAAACACGGTATATTTTACCTGTGAAAACCGGCGACGAGTTGAGGTAAATCGGTAATTTGTATTCTTTTGGCTATCAACGTGCCGATACCACCGCCAGCTATAACGCAGGCTGCCATTTGAGCCAGCACTTCGTTGGAAGGCGCTATTTGTCCTAGGGTAGCGGCTATTCCACCAGTCACACCTATCTGAAAAATACCAATAGCAAATTAAGACATCATTTGCATTGACCAGGGAAATTTAGAGTTAACCAGGTGCATTGATCAGAGTGTCTTGTAATTTGGATTTATGTACTTACAATTCCTAAGTTATTTCCTATTCTCGATGTAGTCTGTGAGCTAAGACCGGCCAAAGCGCCGACGCAGCACAGCGAGGCAGCCAAATAGGCAGCTTGGTGGACCTCGGCTAGACCGTTCATGGTGGCCCATCCGTAACCTCCCAGGAAAGCTGCTGCAGGAATCGCGTACAGCGAATTGTACTCCTTCGGATCGCCTGGCCTGTAAAGCCAAAAGAAGAATTTATGTACTGTCTTCGTTTTCAAGTAAAAAAGTCTAGTATTAAAGCACTTTACCTTCTGAACATATCCAGCATCCTCTTGGTAACCAAGAATCCACCAAAAACGTTAATAAAGGAAATAAACGCCGCAGCTGCTGCTAACGCCTGCAAATTAATGAAGTTAGCTCATTCCATCAACAGTTGTAGAGGAATTTACCTCGACAGAATTTGTAGGATAATAACCGCCGTTCATCAACAACAATCCTCCTACTGCTGTTATTCCGGATATAGCGTTAGTTACCGACATTAGGGGCGAGTGCAACGCAGGCTGAACGCCCCACACTGTATGATATCCGATGATGCCCGACAAACCCAGTACAGTCAGCATGGAAGTGAATTCCGGGTTTGGCGAGATCACGCCTAATCCTACCAGCGAACCGACACCTGTAGGAATTATTAGCTCGATCAATCACGAATCGTTGGTTAACCAGGTTGAATAAATACCTGCGGTTAACATCAAGGAGTTGTTTAGGTGCGTTCTGAACGGAGATATTTCTTTGATAACGGCCTTTATGGTTTCCGCGTCTTTTTGCGAAGGCGAAGCGGCGACGACGGGGGCTACTTTGGGGGGCGGCGGCGGCCACATCAATTTTCCTTTCTCCAAAACGATGCTTCCTCTGACCACTTCGTCTTCTAAGTTGATGTTGAAATGGTTCTTTTCACCTACACAAGCACCATTACATGTTGCCTACCGAACGTGGATAGATAATAAGGCTTACCCATCGATAGTAGAAACTTGGAAATGTTGTTGGCGTAGAGCGTGGAACTCTGCGTGGGCAACATGCTGGGGAAATCCGTAATACCAACGTGCACGACATCGTTGTAACTGTAAATTTGGCCGGGCTTGGTCGTTTCGATGTTTCCACCCATTTCTGCCGCCAAATCCACGACGACGCTGCCGGGTTTCATCGATTCGATGTGTTCCTGTTACAATGTCGTTAATTTTATATACCCAAATGATGAGCACAATTTACCTTCAATATCAAAACTGGCGCTTTTTTCCCCGGTATTAAAGCAGTCGATATGATGACATCCACTTCTTTGCATTGCTTGGCGAACAAAGCGTGCTCGGCTTCGATGAATTCCTTCGACATTTCCTTGCTGTATCCACCCGACGTTCCTCCTTCTTCCTTAAAGTGAATATTTCAATTTACTAATGGACTACTAAGATGACGAGAACAACTCACTTTAATGTTGATTGTTAGGAATTCAGCTCCCAAAGATTCGACTTGTTCTTTAACGGCGGATCTTGTATCGAAAGCTCTGACGATAGCCCCCATGCTTTTGGCTTGTCCGATGGCGGCTAAACCGGCAACGCCGCCTCCTATAATTAGGATTTTCGCGGGCGGTACTTTCCCAGCGGCGGTGATTTGTCCTGCGAGTAAGCAAGTGGAACATTCTGTAAGTTTTCAGTGGATTTGTACTAACCTGAGAAGAATCTGGGGAAGTGATTGGCGGCTTCGACTACTGCCCTGTAACCGGATATATTGGCCATTGAGCTGAGCGCGTCGAAGACTTGGGCTCTAGTAATTCGGGGGATGCAGTCCATTGCTGAAAGATTTGAGTTAGTTAGGTTCGAATGAATTTATCTTAATGCTTACCAAATGCATTGATTTTTCTATCGGCCAATCTATCGACGAGTTTTCCGTTCATTCCGGGGAACAGGAAGGAAATGAGAGTGGAGTTTTCCCGGAATTTTTCAACTTCTTGGTCCAACGGTTGTCTCACTTTTAAGACAATGTCTGGAAATGTCATAAATTATAATCTTCTGCTAACAAAAGCACGCCGAAGGAAATGATTACCTGCTGCAAAAGCGTTTTGAGCATCGACGATTTTAGCTCCAGCCTTTTCGTAGTCTTCGTTTCTGAATTTCGACAAAACTCCAGCATTTTCTTCGATGTTCACGCTGAAACCTTTTTTCGACAGAACGTCTGCCACGGCAGGAGATACTGACACCCTGAAGAAGAAAAAGGGAATTTTCACAATAAAATTCCGTACAGATATATTTTGACTTGATGTGTAAAACTATCCCTCACCTTTTCTCATTTTGCCAGACTTCTTTCGGTATTCCGATAGTCAAATTCGAGTAGGGGGTACCCCGAATTTCAGCGACTTGTTTAGCTTCTTTGTGGAACTTCTGGCCGGTGGAAAATTGTTTTCGACCGGCTTGGTTCCATTGTTTGGCATTCCTTGGTAATTTTCGCCAGTTCGTGAGGACACGGGTGACACTGTTTACTTGTTTCTTCGAACTATTGAGGCTCAGAATGCGTATCGTCATCGTGCTGTTTGATTATTGCTCAACATGAATCTGTAAAAAACCAAAAAAAAGTTATTTTGGAACTTCGAGGTAGCTGAGTTTTTAATGCATGGGTAATGGAAAAATTGTAATTGGTTGAAAGAGAAAAATAAATTCGATAATTAATTATCCACATGTTAGTGCAATAAATAGGTAATTAAAATTTACATATACGTTTTTTGCGATTTGGTTTATTATTGTAAGTATCACGTGTACTTTAAAATTTAATTAATTGGATGAGAAAACACTGAAAACTCTCGCTTTTAAGTGACTTAAATATACGTCTCGGAATTAACGACTAATTTGCAGTTTAGTTTAAATTACTAAAAATATAAGAATTTGTTCAGGACAGGATTTGATAATTTGTCACCAACAATTAACAGAAAATTTATAAATTATTTAAAACAGGAGTATTTATAGAAATAGCTAAAATGAAAAACAAATTTCAAAGTAATTACAGCAATTTGTAATCTGTTAAATTTCTACGACATATTTTCTAATGTCAAATTTAAATAAAAAATAATGGTTTAATAAATTTTTAAAAAGTCACATTAAAAATAAATGGTTTTATTTTTCACCTTTCTATCTAATAAAAAATGTGTATATCAATGTTATACAACAGGAATAACTGGAATAAGTGCAGTAAAAAATTGGACAATCAGGACCTGTATTACAATACATCCGAGAAAAAGATCAAAAGTTCAGTAATTTTATCGTTATTTTTTGTTATCATTTTAAAACTGTCAATTGAGTAATATACCAGTTGAAAATATTTTTATTTATTTTATGAACAATGTCAATCTACAGGACAGATCGCGGAATATTCGAAATAATTGTGTTTTTCTATTATTACCAATTATTTGCAATGTTTAATGTAGACTTTTATTTATTTTAATCGTACATTTCTACGTCAAATGTATATACGCAGACCAATATACTCCAATTAAGTAAAACTGTATTATTACGGAGTATTATTTGATCTTTTTCTCGTAATTTATGAATAATAATTTATGAAAAAATACGAGCCTGCAAGAACTTTACTTAATATGATGCACCAAACGAATATTTAATAACTTTATTAAATACTTTAATCGTAATGTCATTGAAAATAGGTAAGTCAACTTTCTAAATTTATTGTTAGAGAAATATAATATCCTCGGTGAATATTTACTAACCTTTGATAAGCGTTTGTATTTCATTGGAACTTCCCTAAATGCCATATCAATTCAAAAGGGTTTTAATGAAACATTAGGATAGATTAATTTTAAGGCAGACAATAAATTACTTGTGGCTTAAAATATTATGCAACGTAAATTACCGAGATTTTTTGAAAAATATTTACCTTTCTGCTCGTCTTTCTGTAATTGCTTATACAATTAGGAACTTGCTTGTTTAAAGATTTGTAATAAACAATCATTTGAAGAGGATTAATTTTTCTAATCTAGATTAAAAGAAATGAGATTTTCCCTTTGAACATTCGAGACTACGATTTTTTTATTACTTACAAATATTATTAAAAAATTGTGTAATTTTTGTAAATTAATTTTTTGGGTATTTATTGCATTCAAATATGCTGAAAAAGCCACACTGTAAGACACCTACACATCAATATAGGATGTTTCTAAATCTGTAAACATACAGGGTGATCCAAGAGTAATATAGTAGATCTATTATAAATATTGTAGGGGATATTAAAAAAAAAGATTAATAACTCATAATAATACTATAAATGTCCTTAATTTATTTTACTAGAAGAGACAAAAGTTCTAAATTGTCTATAAAAAAGGATTTATCTTACTTTGCAATATCCTGCTAGAATCACATTGCATATTTTGTTTTATATTTTCCACAAAATAAATCGAATTTGGATATTTTCTAGCGTATACCAAAAAATGTAAAATAGTAATAAAAGTTATTACAAATAAAAACTCTTATCTATGAATTAGATAAGCAGGAATTCAAAAAGGTAATATTTTTAATTAAACAATTTAACTACTGAATCTAATCACCAAACAAAACTGTCCTGTGCTTTAATTTACAGCTGATCTCGACCAATTACACCTGCAAGATACTTTACCCAAAACTTATTAAAAATATCCCGTCCTAGATCAACGACATCAAAACATTTTTCACACATAAACAATGAGGCAAACGTACTCGACAAGTGCGCGCAAATTCCGCTGTCCTGCTGAAAATTTTTCCTTCTTCCAAGCGGTGTAATTGCCCCTTCGCTGAATTTTGCTTTGCCGATGGGTCGAACGCCGGTAATTTTATACACCTCGAGCACGTTTTCGACGTTCGACACAATAGCGAAATTGGAACTGAACCGTAGTCGTGGTTTGTTGGCCGTTGGCTGGGAGTCCGACTCGACGAGGCCGCGCCGGGTACAGAAACAGCTGAAACGAGAACGGTGGTTTCAGCTGGGCAACGTTTACACGGTTTTCCTGAAACTTAGACACGCTGCGTTATCGCTCGTTTCCTACTTATGTTTACAGGACCGCATTCAGCAGCAATTCTCTTTAAAGGGCCTCTAACTTTACTGTCCAAACGATGTTATGTTAAACAAGGCTTTAGGAGGATCCAAAGTCTTTAAAAATGAGCCCTGATTATGGACCACAGTACACATGCATATACCTTTAGGGTAGGTCTTTAAGTGTACAGTGTGTCTATAGGATAAGAATGAACAGCATGGGGATCTTGGAAAGTATGATTTGGAAACTCTAAGAGATACTAGATAGGTATTGTTAAATGGAGAAATGGTTGTACAATTGGAAGGATGTTAAACTAATCGTGCAAACAAATTTTAAATATTCATTTTTTTTATTTTTTATTTTTGTTAGATTTTTTGTTGTTTATTTTTGTATAAAATGTCACTTTTAATACGCTTGAAAAATCATTTTTTTCCTTTTCAGACGTTTCGCTTTCTCAGAACCATCATCAAATTCAATTGTTTTAATACATCCCTGGTTATTTTTTACGAACTTTGTGAGATTATGATGATAAATATTGTAGGCAACATCATGTGGATTCTCTTACAGAAGAAATATAGCTTTGTCCTATAAGTATCCAATAGGAGAAACATTTCGAGTTCTAGAAATTTGAAAAATACAAGGGGGATTAGATTTGAAACATTCACCATTTTAAACCTGACTGTAAGTACAGGTACCTGAGACCCTATTTAGGTTTCTTTGACCTTTTCCTTACAATGCAGGACTGAATATTACCTACTTTTCATAAAGCCAGTTTACCTACCTTTCATAATAGCTAATAGCTACACCATGTTCATCATAAAATAATAAACTTTATACATAATATTCGAAATTTATTATAAATTCAATAAGACCCTTGCGAATTAAGATTTATATTTCCCCCTATATTAAACAATATTCATATAACAAAGCAACTAGGTTTTACTGAAATTTGTTTATGTTTTCTAAACCAGAATCATTGAGCGCATCATTCTGCGATAGCGAAATCTTTCGATATGGAAAACTTTCCTTACGTTTCTGTTTTAACTGTTTGTGAATCGAATGCACCAATGCACAATATTTTCGAATAAATAATACCGTTTGCGCACGTTGAATGTTCAGAGTGCATTCGATTATGGAACGTCCAAGTTTACACGGTAACATCGATTTCTTATACCGCCTTCGCAAATACCCTTTCGGATTTACTGAATGTTACTTTCTAAGAGTAAATGTATGACTGTTTTACCGATTGAACTTAAAATATTCATAAAACTAATTCTGTGGATAGATGCTTTAAGTTGATATGTCGATTTTTTTTGTCAAAATTATGTTATCAGTACCAACAGGTTCCTTTCGTTGAAATCAACAAGGTGGTAGAATGTGAAAGTTTAACAAGAAGCTTCAAATAACTACTTACTGAAGAAATTTAGGTCAATTTCAGTATTTTTATAGTAATTTAAAATAGCTCTCCTGTAAAATTTACTAAATCCTTTGAAACTTTAGGTACCTACTCAGAATTGTTCAAATAGTAAGTTCGAACATTTTAGTAATTTGTGGATGTATTATTGCTCAACTTTTTAGTGGTGCATTGTATATTCTCCATGCCATAGGTTTTAGGATGTTAGATACATCTTAATTTCAATCTGATTGTGAGGTATATGCATCTCAAAGCAGAGTTTTTAAGTGTCCGTTAAGAAGAGAATCTTAGTGTCCCAAGATTGTTCATAACTTAAATATGAAGGACTTGTTCAAAAAAGATATTCAGTCTAATTCATAGATATTATTTGAGTAGATGATCTAAGCAGGAAGTTATTATATTTTGTGACCATCTATAGAAAAGTAGGTTCTCCTAATTTTCTCATTAACTTGTTACCATTCTAAAAGGGCAAGTAACTATGCATTAGTTTTTATTTTGCTTATAATAATTGTGGTCTTTGATTTAAGGTCTTCAGGCATTTAATAGTCTTTTAGGTTTCTCCTTCAGAGGTAAGACCTTAGCTATATTAGCTCCCCTTGTGCAACCTGCACTTCAACTGCTAATACCAACCAAGGGAACTTTGCATTAGTCTCAATTTCGCTGATACTTGTGGTTTTTGACTTAAGGTCTCTTCAAGCATTTAGGAGTCTTCTATGTTTCTTCTTCAGAGGTAAGACCTTAGCCAACTATGTCAACTTGTCGCGTGCAATCTGCGCTTTGAATTAACAATTAGTTCAACCACTAGACAATAACGATTGTTTAGCAAACTCGTGTAAACGTTTCTGATCGTAAACCCGACAAACAACTGGTCGTCAAAAGCGAATCCTCTCCCAAAATCGTCCGTCCTTCCTATTCGCCTCTCGCTCCGTCTAGCCTATTCAATTCACACGCACGATCGCAGGCTCGAATTGAACCTCTCAAGTCTCAATTCCACTTTCTTTCGCCACTATTTCGTTGCGTTCGTTGCAGGCGTGCACTTAACAGGAGCATATCTAGCGCATTGGCGTCGAGTGCAGTCGTAAAACATTATCGAATCGTTAGATAAGTGAGGTTAGAATGGCCGGTACGGCGACGAAAATTTGCAAAAATCTTATCAAAACTTCCGTTTCGAACGGTTGTTTATCCAGCGTGGCCCCCGTGCAGAACAGAAGCTGTAAGTATTTTTTTAACTGGTTTATTGGGGGCTTAATTGGCGGCGCGTGGTTCGTTTAAATTTAACGGAGAGTTATATTAAATGAATGGTTACATTTTAGCGAATAATTACGTTAATAATAACGATTGAACTTCTAAGAATTTTCATGTATAGTTGAAGTTAACAGGCAATTAATTCGTCTGTTAAAAATTTCTTAACAAGCGCTAGATTTGGCTTTTTATTATTTATTATGCTTAAAATGCTTGTATTCAGGGTCATTGATTACTTATTAAAGTTTGTTGATGAGTTAATAACTTTGAAAAATTTTTGGCATTTTTATTACTTTTAAAAGTTCCCTCGTAATTTTTACGAAATGTATATTTAGATATTCCCTCGTATAGGTATATTGCTTTTGTAGGAGAAGGCGCTTTGTTTTATTATTCAACGATCAACGTGTCCGGTTATTGTTAAAGTTAATTATCGGCAAAATGTTAATTTTATTCATTGGATTGCTTAGGAAGAAACAGGTGAATTGAAAGCTACACTGCAAAAATTACACTGATAGTGATAAATATTTTCAACTTTGATTTGCAAAATAGCTATAAACAAATTTCGCAAAAAACCCGAGATTCCAAAAAAATCGATTATTTTCATTAAATCTATACATCAAATCAATATTTTATACTTATTTATTAGCAAAAATTATAAAAAAAATCTATAATTTAGTACCAGAAACTTTTTATTAAATTTATTGCTTCATTTCGATGTTTGAACAAATAATGAAAATTCCAAAAACAATCGACGATATTAGATGAATAAATAATAAATGTACTTGAAAATGATAAGATAATAAGTTTTTACTGATTACATAGTAATAGAGTAACGTGCAGTAACGAAATATATTTTTTATTTATCACTACATTTCATAAGTTGGGCTCTCATTAACAGGAAATTACAGGCGTTGAAAAAAATTGACCTAAAAATCGTCCTAATTGATATTTTTTACCTCTTGACTACTTGATAAGAAATATGTAGAAATATTGCGTTTTTTGTTAAAATACTAGTTTTTAAACAAACTGCAGGGCTTGACGCTATTTCTCCAAAATGTCTTCCTTATTTGTAAACAATTTTTCCTTACAAAATATTCATTAAATCTATAATAATATATAAAATATACTCATATTGCCTTAAAAATAAAATAAAATGCTCTAAAAATAAATCTATAAAATAAACTTTCCTCTTGAAATACCTTATTTTACTAGCTTAAAAAGTAGCTTATTAAAATAATTAAGTAACATTAAACATTATTAACTGAAAATCAATCGTTTTGAGCCGTTAAATTACCTAAACAGCTCGTTATTTTAACGAAAAATTTTATAGTTTTTTTCTATTTTGATAATTACAATAAACCGCGACAGCGACGCAAAACTACAAGGAATCAGACTATTCAAATACATATTTTATGCTGATTTAAATGTTCATTGAATATTTTAAGAGTATTTTGACCGAAGTATGGGAATAAATCGTGATGGAATTTTATCGAAAAAAAAAACCAGTCCGAGGTGAAGACTCTCGGGTCAGCCGTTCTTTGGATTATCACTAAAATTTTTACTATTAATTAGGTAAATTAGAACTTTGAATTGAGCGAAACTTTGATCTTCGATCATCAGCAGTACAAGCGAAAACATTATTATGCAATTCCCGGTAAATATTTGCCAGATTCGATTGCGATCTAAATTTAGTTATTTAGCCCAATGTTGTGAAAGTTATGGAACTTTATTTAGATACTGCATTACAATTCATAAATAATAAAAACTAATTGATTGGCCCTAGGGGTTGTTTGCAAAATTTGATTCACAATTCAACAGTAATAACCAATTAAATATATTAATAGATTAGCTGATAATAAAAAAGTAGGATTTTCTAACGTTTAAATTATTATTAATATTAGTTTTATTCATAAATAATATTTTTAGATGGCACTAAACGAATACGGGCCAAGAACCCGGTGGTGGAAATGGATGGTGATGAAATGACGAGGATCATATGGCATAAAATAAAGGAATCGTTGATTCTTCCATACGTTGATGTGGAATGTCTCTACTACGATTTAGGTCTTCCCTACAGGTAAGTTATTAGAAACTTTCCATACACTATTTTCTACTTTAACAATCGACCAATTGTGCAGGGACCAAACGAATGACCAAGTTACCATTGATGCCGCCCAAGCCATTTTGAAGCACAACGTAGGAATAAAATGTGCAACTATTACACCCGATGAGCAAAGAGTAGAAGGTATAATTATTATTTTTGTAGAACGAATCAAGATAATTCCTTATTTTGCATTGATAAGCTTCATTTCTAAACAAAACTTTCTCATATTCATAACTCATAACAAACATTTTATCAGCATGAATCATTCGGTCCTCTTTCAGAGTTTAAACTAAAGAAAATGTGGCTGTCTCCGAACGGCACCATCAGGAACATCCTCGGAGGAACCGTCTTCAGGGAGCCCATTCTGTGCAAAAACATTCCTCGATTGATCCCCGGCTGGACGCGGCCGATGATCATCGGCAGACACGCGCACGGCGATCAGTACAAAGCCGTCGATTTGGTGATCGACAAACCAGGAAAAGTGAGTAAAAAAACCAGGGAAACTAAGCAGTTCTATAACGCGGTTCTCGCAGGTTTTCTTGGAGTACGTCCCCGACAGCGGCGCCACGAAGCGCCTGGACGTGTTCGCCTACAAAGGCGGCGGCGTCGCGTTGGCAATGTACAACACCGACGAAAGCATCACGGCGTTCGCGCACTCCTCCTTCCAGGTGGCGCTGCAGAAGGGCTGGCCGCTCTACTTGTCGACGAAGAACACCATCCTCAAGAAGTACGACGGCCGCTTCAAGGACATCTTCCAGGAGGTGTACGAAAAGTAAGCTACGAATACAACGTAGAAGCGACAGTATTTAACCTTGCGATTCCCGACTTTCAGAACGTACAAGCCCCAGTTCGAGGCGAAGAAAATCTGGTACGAACACCGGCTCATCGACGACATGGTCGCCCAGGCCATTAAGTCTTCCGGAGGATTCGTATGGGCGTGCAAGAACTACGATGGAGACGTCCAATCTGATATCGTCGCTCAGGGTTACGGATCGTTGGGTATGATGACGTCGGTGTTGATGTGCCCCGATGGCAAGACCATGGAATCGGAGGCGGCTCACGGAACAGTCACTCGTCATTACAGGTAAATTAGATTTGAAATATTTCAAGTTTTTGAACGTGATCGTGACCCCTTTCTCCAACGGGTTTGATCTCTTGGAGTTGAGTGAGGATGGTACTCGATGAAACTGTTATATCTCAGGCTGTATTGTCTTTGGGTAATGATATGAATGGGAATGTTTGTTTCAGGGAGCACCAAAAGGGCAATCCAACGTCGACCAATCCTATAGCGTCGATTTTCGCGTGGACTCGAGGCTTGTCGCATCGCGGCAAGTTGGACGATACGCCCGAGTTGATGAAATTCGCCGATCGGGTGGAGCGCGCGTGCATCGACACCGTGGAGTCCGGGAAAATGACCAAGGATCTGGCCGCCTCCATCCACGGTTTGGCCAACCTGAAGGAAGGCATGTACCTGAACACCCAGGACTTCTTGGACGCCATCGCCGAGCAGCTGAAGAAGACGGCGTAATGTGCGCTGTAGGTGTAGCTGTCGCTTGCTGTGGGGAATTCATTGTATCAAATAAATGTTTCAATTTTTTTAAGAACTCGCGAGTTTTCGATAAACTTGGCCGATTTTTTTAACGTAATTGTAGGAAATGTTTGAATTGAAGATTGTTGTGGGGAGTTTTTGGAACCTATTATAAATCGTAAATTTTGAAGAAGCGGAGAATTTTAAAAACGCCTTTAAAAGCGACTGATTTTCGATAAACTTGCGAAATTTTACCCATATTTTTAACTAGGCGCTTATTTTAATTTTTTTAGATAATTAATTTGTGTCGTTGTAATTTATTCATTTCATAGGAAATTCCAAGTTCTTGTATTTTATAAGCAATTCTAAATACAACAGTATTTTTATAAGACGTTGTTTTAATTAATAAATCATCGATTATTTCATATATATTATTTATTTTATGAGTTTCGAAAAAATACACAAATATATAATTTAATTTTCTAAACACATGTCATTTTTTTGGTTTAATTACATTTGTACAAAATTCCAAGCCTCTAAACTCTATAAAAAAATAATAATAAATCACTAAATTATCCGATATATCAATCTTTTGGTACGGTTATTTTTCTAATTAATAAAAACCAACTCTAAAATGTAGCTTACCTATAATTAATAATAATCTCTTTATTTGGCCATGAAGCACAACTATAAAAAATATTTTAAAAATACATTATAAGCCAGAGAAGAGTCACGAATAAAATACAGTAATAAAATCTAAACGATCTAATATTAAACTTAACCATAAAAAATACATATAGAATGATTGACAGTCATATTTATATGGATACAGTAAACTATTCTGTATGCATGCTTAACATGTAGCTATTTAGGCATAACATGAACATTGGTATGGAAGACTAGAACAATAATATAGGTTTTTATAATGAAGGTACTGGATTGCTTATAAAACAAAATCCGACTAAATTACAATTTATAAATTCATTATTAAAATTTAGACCAGGAAGTTACATAATTATAGGACATTTTTTCGCGCAGTTATAGGGATTTTTTTCCTGCAATTTATTGCAGACATCTATTTGCTAATACATTAAAGATATATGTACATCAGCCGGTTTTCGTTTTACTTATACAACATCCTGTAACCTACATAAAAACACAATAATCATGGCACGTAGAGAAAAAAGATCGAGAATATTAACTCTTGAACAATATCGTTTGGACTTAACACAAGTTTTTTCAACCTAAATTTGGAAAATTTTCAATTTACATCGACGCCGTCACTTTAAATCTTCAATACTTCTCGCAAACGAGACTTTAAAAAATAATGAAAACGTGAATAATAATAATAAAATAATGTAGTGTTTCAATGGATTGTAACATAATGCGTTAGAAGTTTAAATATGAATTTGGAATTAAACTTAAATATAAGTATTCTAAATTAAAAAAAGAAGACACAATTAAACAGCGCAAAAGGTCTTTAGCAAATGAATAGGAAAAAATACACAGATTATCATTTACATAAAAACTATGTGAAAAAATATTGAGTTAATTCGGATAAACTCCGAAAAAAATCATTTTGGCATTTTCGAATGCGTACTATGCTTTTTACAAACTGCCTATACACGGACGGGGTTGTGCAATTTTCAAAAGTTTATTTATTACCTATCGAAAAAGTTCGATTGTATAACATATGTCAAAATTTATAAGAAAAAGTCCTCATATGAGATTATGTAGTTGTTTTTTACCTTCAAGTAGGTACCTCAGATTATCTCACAAGCTGAAAGATTGATAACAAATAGCTATTTAATCGAGTTATAAATTTTAATATTTATTTGATAAGTAATTGAGGATTATCAATAAATTCATTATAGCTGCCAATATACAGGGTGTCCCGCATAAAAACCGACACAGAATAGAGGTGTGTAGGGAAGCCCAAAATACGTTGCTTAACCCAACTTAACTTTTTGCAAAGCTACATTCCTGAGTTATAGGCCTTCAAAGTGAAGTTACAAATACAAAAAAATTAATACACCTGTAAAATTCAAACTTAAAACAACTAAATTTGGTATACGTTATGTCTGTACCAAGAGCATTAAACGATAGTTTACAATAGTTAATCTAATGATTTATTTTAAAGTTACCCTGTATAACACCCTGTATAATAACCAAACGCTATAAATTTTGACTCGTTATACTACAACTCTTCCATTGTAAGGTATATCACTACTATTCATAAAAAATTTTCGATTCCGTTTCAATAAATTGTTGCTTCTTTTTTTCGTTGAAAGACTTTCCCTCATCTATCGATTAATCGAATCAATCGCTAATCGAACTACGATAATCAATCGCCGAATTGTGTCTCGTTTTCCTTGAGCCCTCTTCTATCGCCATCGATGGATTCTTCGACAGCGACAGTGCCGTCGTCTTTTGAAAATCGATAGTCACATATTTCTCTTTGGCATTGCTAGACTCCGAGGGTTCTGCTTGAAACTACAAACAATCGTTTATTTATTTAATCGATTCGATGGAAATAAACGAAAGCTACACTTACCTCTAAAGTCGCTTTACCACTTTGGTTTAAATCTAGTTCTGCGTAATTCACACGATCGACAACAAATCGATCATTGGAAAAAGGATATGGAGCGGCAGGCGTTAGAGGTGGTTGAGCCTGTATCATATCCGATGCGGTTCTGAGGCCTTCTAATCGCTCGGAATCGACATTAGCGTAACAATGATCGTCTTCCGAATCTTTCTTCATGTATGTAGGAACGTCAACGTTCATATACACATGTGATGTACTGAAAAAGTAATGTATCATATACACTCGATTTATATGTATGTATGAATATAATTACCTCATCGGATCTACAGCCACCTCGCCAGCTCCTAAATTAACGTACTGAGGTAAACTAAACGTATTTTCCATCGCCGAGCTGTTTGTGTATGTAGCATCTGACGTAGAACCGATTCTGTTCTGTTCGTTGCAAAGAAGATCCACCACGGGGGGCGACGATAAATTAGGACTTAGCGGTTCGTTGCTGCTCACCGAGTCCGGACGTTTAGATTCTGCGGCAGTCCTAGAGGTCGATGATAATGATACAGGATTGAGGTAACCGTCGGTTTGTGCATGAAACAGAGCTGCTGAATTAGGCCTTCTGGATATATGGACTTGACCGTTGCCTGTTGCAAATTCACCGTTCGCTTCGTCTGTTATGTTTCCTATGCAAGAAAATGTTTATTATTACATTAACCCCTTCAGTAAGCTATAAATGAATTTTATTTACAGATCATACAGATAACTCTAAAGTTGTTTTTGTCCCGAGTACATTCGTGAGTGATCTTTTCTGCAGGTACAGCTTGCCCGAGTTATGTCAGGGTTATCTGTGGCCATTCTTGCATACAATATCCACCCGAGTATACTCAGGACTTAAGCGAGTAAGAATTGGATATTAAACTATTTATATGTTTATATGTTTTACCTGTTATACGTTGTTGTACGACGTTGAACAATGCCTCGGCTTTTCTGCATTTGAATGCATATATTCCGTGTCCGGTGGGAGAGCGCCTTCCGCACTCGAAACTGAAGATGTCCATGTCGAATCCGTACTTCCTGAGCGATCGCAGCGGCCATTTGGTGGGTTTCCGGCCGCGCTGATGGAACACCAGGTCCGTATTGGTGACTTGAAGCTTGCCCGACTTGATTCGTCTGCCTTGGTCGTTTACGTTGGTTACTTGGAATATGTTCGGATGGCGATCGTTGATGTCTGCTTTGCTGCCGATACATCCCATTTTATCTATGCAACATGGAAAATTTAATATAACAAGCGAAGGTCTATTGAGTATCTTACGGTAAAAAATATATTGGATTTTACGAAGCATATTAAACTGTACTACAGTGAACACGAAAGACAAGCAGGAGATTGTAAGAATAAATGGTTTAAAGGAAAGTTATTAAATGTAAACAGAAATTAAATTTTTATGGTAATTAATAGGATTTGTTGAACGTATTGTCAGCATTTATATTCCAAATTAGTATTCGTTTTTGAATTGAAATAATATAACAATATATTTCAACTTACTTCATTGTATTGGCAAAGTTCCGAATAATCATGTTAATTTTATTTGCGTTTGTCACAGAATAATTGTAAACGTAAACCTGAATAACATAATAGTGCCAATTTGTTTATTAAATCTTTTTAAACAATAATTTTTATCAAATCAAAACTAAGGCCAAGTTGACATTTCAATTTTGGCATTTATACGACAACCGACAACTGACAGCATCAAATCAACACGTGACATTTCTGACAGTTATCACAGAACAGTAAACTTCAATCTTCTTTTTCCTTTTAAGGGTTGTCTGTAGTATGACGGTTATTTATAGACCGGCAAATTTAATGGCTGGATGGCTGTAAGCAAGTGGCATAATAAAAAAAGAAGATGAAAACTGAAAATTTATTGATTTCATTATGTTTTGTTTCGTTAAATTAGTAAAAATTTCGATAGTTCTTTAGATAATAAGGAGAATGTATTTTAAAACAATGGTTAATTGTAACTTCACGTGTATATGTTAGAGTAAAATGAGATTTAGGTTTAGTCGTTTATCTAGCTTTATCCATAACATATACACTACATACCTACATATTACCGTTTTCATCGTTTTTACTTTGAAAATTCTTGTGTTTCTATACCTATATTGAGGGCGCTTTCATTATAGGGAATAGTTTTTTGTGCCGAAAGAGTTTATTGAATTGGGTGATTTTCTCATCAATAAATTTGAGAAATTTTAAACTTTTGGGTTGGTTTGGGTACACTACTGTTTTAAATTCAGGCTTGCAAAAAAGCAATGAAGAAAGCAATTCTTGCAGTACTCTACTACCCAATAAAAATTAAAAAAAATAAAATGCCAGAAAAACTTATTATTATAGATTGATTATGACTAGGTTCAAAGAAACGTCTATTATTCTGACGCACAACTTGCCTAATTGAATATTCCACAGTTAAATACTCTAAAAAATGGATCCTTCACGACGCAGCGTCTCAGTCAACTTCGAAGAATTCGTCGAAGGAAAATTCACCGAAGCGCGAGTGCTCGCCATAAAGGAAATATTCAAAAAATACAAAATCAAAACGAAAAAAAGCAAAGACTCTGTAGAACCGGATCGGATGCACACCGCCGATCTGGGCTCGCTAATGAGACAATTGAATTTCAACCCTTTGAAAGCTGAAATAGAGGCGATGATGAACGACATTGATCCGTTCAAAGAGGGAACCATCACTTTTTATCAGTTCCTGTATGTGCTATGGCACAAAACGCAGACTGGAGAGGAGGATGACATTTTAAAAGCTTTTAAGGTAAAAGTTTTAGCTCACGCGGATTTTTTATCCTAAATAGATCATCTCGTATTATAAAACGTAGGTTTATTACAAAAGTCAAGCCCTTTGGCTTCTTTGACAGATATTCGACGTTAAAGGCAAGGGCACGGTTTCGCTAGAGACCTTAAAGAAATTATTGATGAAAGTGGGCGAACCGTTTAATGAAGAAGAAATGGAATCGTTCGCTGCAAGAGCAGACTTAAGAGGTAACGGTGTAATTCATTACGAAGATTTCATAAACAGAATGTCGATGGAGGACTACGACGAAACAGCTGCTAATATTCAATTGGACGAGGAATCCGAAGAAGAAGAAAAAGAAGAAAACGTTGAAGAAGGAGGCTAATTTTTACTGAAATCTAATTAGAGTTCCCTATTATTTTTTATTTATCTTTATTATATCCTTCAGCGAACATTTTTTTTGGTGTTGTTCTCTATCTGGATCTTTTGCCTCCTAGCTTTTTAGAATTCTCTATTTAATTACCTGATTCAAAAACAAATAACATTTGTTTTATCTCATTTCGACGAACGTATATTTTTCAATCATTAAGCAACTGGTAATAAACGATTGGAAAAAAATATATAAACGAGTAATACAGTGGGATTTTACAGCAGTTAGTTTGGTCTTGATTATCATTCAAGAACATGAATCTGTTAACCGTTAATTATATTACGTTAATTGTTTACTTTTGGATCGCTACAGCTCAAGGTATATTCCATTTTCTTATTTCTAAAACATTAACGATATTTTTCCTTATTTCCTAAGAATCTATACCTTTATCCAGGGGATTTATTCGTATTTGTAAGTCAGATCATCCTTCATTCGTTATGTTTATAAACTGTATGTTGCCGGGTCGCATTTTTTTATTCATTTCTTTGTATGAAGTCATGCTTTTATTTCCTATTGATTATATACTAGACTGTGGGACTTTATTATAGTCCACGTATATTTCGCGTGGTAAAATAAGGGATAAAATAAAGTACATAGAATTAAATAAAATACCAACTTGGATGGTTGGGATGGGTTTTGATGAGTTTAATTGGATTTGAGTGCGAATTGAGAAAGAAATCACATTATACTCATGATTCGGGGCACATTTCACAAATGTGGTGTTTGTCTATCCACTCTAATGAACAGTAGAAAGTACTTGGGTGTTCTGGTGAATCACTTGTTAACGTTTTTAGACGAACATAAGAAAGTTAAATGAATATTCCACAGCATCCACGTTGAACGAGAATCTCTAAGGCGGATTTGGGACCAAGTAATTGATTTATTAGAATGGCAAATTATTTCCTCAACATAAATTCCATTGAAATCTTTGGGGAATTCTAGTCAGAAGAGTTTATGCCAATAACAAATAATATGCGACAATAGAGAACTAGGAGATGCATTAGAGGAAGTCTGGATACCTAGAAGCCTGAAATAATAAATAAATTGGTGGAAAACATCAATTTGAGAATTTTTGAAGTAATTCGAGTTTATGGGTGCTTTATACTCATTATTAGAGCTCCATTTTTTACACTTTCAACTTTGCACACTGTAATTTGGCAAAAAATATTACCAAATTAAGTACACTAATTGTTTTTGTATTGCTGTGGTATTTTATTATGCAAAAATACAAATTTGATAAATAAGTTTCCTTCAAATATTCGAAAATATATGATGCTGCTATAATTATGCTCCACAGTCGAATTAAGAAAGCGTTATTTACAATTTAAAGTTCAGAATATAGACGTGATATTGTGTCGAATCTTAACTTAATATAGACAAATCACACCTACTAAAGGCGGAATAAACATATCGGTACTCACTCGCAATCTCTCGGAATCGCGTTCCATTTTCCCGGCGTCGCCATCGCGTAGCGGTAAAATGGAAACGAGCGCCGCGCGAGCGCCCAAATCGAAATGCTCTCGGAGCCCGTCTTCGCAGACGGAGAAATTCGTCCTCTTCGAGACGTGTAGGACGCCATCGCGGCCCTGAGGAGCACTTCGCGTTCTTCGACGAACGAACGCATGCATGAAGGCGACCCTTCGGCTACTTCTTCGCATCCAACGTTCTACGTATCCATCCTTCGTAGCCGATTCGGCGGCCGGGAGGGAGAAACAAGAACGGAGAGTTTCGAAGGGGATTGCTCGCTGCGTACGGTAATACAAGGCGATAGTATTGGAGGTTGTTGGAGGTTCATTAAATGAAATTTGAAGTGGGTACTAGGTTTGGTTCAGCAACAATTCCAAATATAAGTATTATGAATATTTATGTTTGAGAGACATGTCTAATGCTATAGTTGACTAGAACGTGAATATAATATTAGGTAATTGCTGGAATTCTTGCATTCCTAAATTGTTTGTGAATTGTTAATTGAATTTAAGGTTTTTTATCGATTTTCGATTTCCGAAACGACGATTTTTTAGAATATTTTACTGAATTAATCGATATTAAAAGGTGTTTTTTCTAGATGTTACATGTAAATTCGACAATTTTCTAGAATATGTTACTTCATTAGTCGATAGGATGTTTTATCAAGGTTTTACCAAAAAACCACAGAGAAAACACAAAAAACCTAGAGACTCAAATAACCAAATAGCCATCGTAAAATGAAATAGAGGTCAACCGGATCTAAACTTAAAGAACAAGTAGATACAATAAAAGTCAATAAAAGCCAATACAACAGAAATTTGAAAAGCGCACTCTATTTTTATCTAGTAGTAGGTACCACGGTTAATATTATTAGATACCTTCTGCACTACAATCGTTCTGAAGACTTCGGTACCGCTTCTACCTGTCTTTTGTGCCCCACTCGTGGGTAGTCGAAGGCCAGTACGCCGATGCATCAGGCAGTACCGGAGGCTAGCAAGCACGAGAGAGAACGGTGACCGCTGACCGCTAGACGTTCATTCCACTTCGATTTTCTCCAATAAACGAATTTCACTCAGTAATGTGATCGGTTTCGGACGTTTTATAGTTTTTTTTCCTCTCGTTTCCTTTTGGTTGTTAGTGCCAATTGCGCTATGACTCGCCGATCTCCGGTGGTGTTTGTTGGTTTAGTGGCGGTGTTGGTGTACGGAGTTAGGACTGAAAATTGTCCGCCAGGGAGTACCGGTGGAAATTGCGCTTCGACGTCTTCCTATGATAACGGTGAGAGTTGCATTTTACCAGCTATGTAGCGAATACTATTGTAAAAAGTAGCGCTACAACGTAAGCAATATTTTTTGGTCGGTTATCAGAAGATTATATACCTTTTCTTCCACGTATCTAGGACGTATAATTAGGGTACATATTTCCTATACTGTTTCTTTTCAGTAATCGCCGGTCGTAAATTGAATGTGCTAATTAATTATGAATATGTATGTAGGTGATTCAAGTGGATATTCCATTTTATAAAAATTTATTATTATTCTTTAAGTTGAATACTACATGTTTCAGCAGATGAAACGAATACTATTCATTTCAAAAGCGTGAGTTGGGTTATTATTACCATCGTAATATATTGATAATATGCTGTTGTTATATAGTAAAATAGGATTTGATTTGATTATAAAAACGTAATATACTAAGAAAATTAGAAACTGATAGAAAAACTTAAATTGAATGAAATAGAAACATTAAATATACAGATGTAACTAATAAATACCCTTACATATGTACATGTAATGTAAACAGTCCACATTCCTTTACGTTCTTAATTTAAGTCCTTTATAGTTTTGGATATTACGTGTTCTTCCTGTTCAACACTTTTCAATAACAAAAGTATATTAACATTTTTACATTTCTTCATCCATCTAGCTTTGTTATATGCTTACTTACAAAGATGTAGATATGCACACAATAAAAGAGCTTTCAAAAATGTTTAATCATCTTCTCGGCATGATCTCACTTCGAAAATATCCTTTCCTATTTTTTAAGATTCATTTTTCACACAGTAAAGAACCTTCGAAATATAACTGACATAATATTTGCCATGTGCAAAATTTAAGCATTAGTAATGATGTAACATTTATTTGGAATTTTTGTACCTAAGAATATACCTGTTCAAATAAATTAGTATTTATTATAATTTAATGGTTAGAAATTGATAGATACTTACGAATAATCAAATACTCACTGAATTGCACGTATAAAAAATAACACAACTGTTTAATATTTCGTTCATGTAAAGAATAAAGACGCTTTTAAAAAGGAAATTTTATTGCAACTCTTACTATTTGAGTATATAAAAGATTTTATCATACTTTTAGCACTTTCTATGTATTGATTTGGGCGTAATAAAGAAGACAGGTCTTGAAGGCAGGCTCTTTTCAGTATTATGCATTTTAAATTATCAGTTATAAATAATGAAATGTGCCTTGCAAATATTCTGTTTTTCAAAGCCTCTTTAAATATGCATTATATGAGTTATTTGAGCAAATACGGATTGCACATAAAATAATCATATATATAGGAAGGAATTTTTTAAATATAAATAAATATTTGTTGTTATTAGCTGATAATTATGTAAATTTAATGTTATTTTTATATTAAAAATATGGAAAATCCTTCATGTGAAATTGCTATAAATACAAATTCAGATTTGCCACTCGAATTATTACATTCAGAACTCGCAAGATGACGAGAATCCTTTACATTTGTATAATTTTGTTGAATTGGAAGCTCATTGCAGGTATTTATAAATATTAGTATTCGTTTATTTATACACATTTCATTGATAATAAAATTAGTATCAATATAATTTGCAAAATTTAGTGTTAAATCGAATATTTTATTAGCGTTGAAGAGAAAGGTGAAATCGTCGAAGGCGATTTCGATCTGTCATGGTAAAAACTCGCGTATCTAAACAAGAAATTGCATTATACAGATTTATCTTGCTAATCTCCGGGGAGTCTTCGCGCTTTTGCTTTCCGATTTTACATTCGATTTCGATTTCTTCGCATATTTATTTTTACAATCGATTAGGCGTGTTTTTAGTAGTCTGCTGACAAATTAAAAATCCTGAATGATTTAATTTTCGCTCCAAGTTAATGACCAAAAAATGTTATTTAAAAAAATTCTGTGAATTGCCATTTTTTAAAAAGTCATTTTCCGATAGGGAAATTAATGACCATTTTATCTTAACTGTTATAGACGTTCTATTTACCGCTTGTATCACGTTTATTTGCAATTCATCATATTTGAGCGATTTATATTAAATTTACGGTTTTTTTCAATAATTTTATTCTCTGATTAGCATTAACAATCACTAATCACGACTGGCCTAAATAATAATTGAACAGTACGCAAAAAGATATCGAAAGTCGCTAATTAACTATCATCCAGTATTCTTGATAACTTCGTTGTGCAATATTCAAAACGTCGGAAATATGGAAAAACGAAAAATTATCAAATTTTCAACTGCAGTTCTAATTATTTTTTAATTATCTACCGAATATCCAACACGACTGAAAGCGCACATACGCAATCAATACCTAATCGATACCATTACCCGATACATATCGGTATCGACTTTCCCCTTTCGACAGCATTCATTACGTTCGCATCGAGTGATTCATTAGTATTTCCATATGACTTTTACACGTCATGGTTATTATTACGTGCCAGCGGATTTTTACCCGCCAACATATTATATTGAGGCAATAGAGTTACCTGAATGTTCAAGGTTGCCCCGAAGTCGTCCAACCAGAAAAACAGAACATCACCTACAGATACAGACCGAATTAGTAGAGATTACATAACGAGGTATCTAACTGGAATGAGATGTTGCAATCTTTTCTGGTAGAAATTAAGTAAATTCGTAAAAAAACGGTTGGAAAGTGTGAAGTTTGGAAGGGAAAGGGAACACTAAGAATGTTTATTTGACTACTTTGTTTCATATGTTTCATAAGTTTGTTCATAAAATCCTCGATTCCAATAATCAATTTCATCAAAGTTCACCAAAATCCTTAATCAACGCTAAATTTTATTGGAACTTTGTTGTTTTAAATTGATCAGGTAAAAGTCCGTGCGATGGAATCGTTTGTCCAAAAGGACAAATGTGCCAGGACAATGTAATTCGTTGCATTAAAGCGCCTTGTCCAGAACGACCCGGCTGCGTTCCTATACCACCAAGTAAGCGAAATAAATCACTATCCTCTTCATTTTCATCATCTAATTATCCGATTGTGTCACCCAATCGCTTTTCTTTTTAACTAACCAAAATATTTGCAGGCGAGAATCCTTGCAGTACTGTCCTATGTCCGCCTGATACAGTTTGCAAAGTGCACCAAGTCTATTGCATTACGGATCCTTGTCCGCCACAAGCAGTGTGCGAACCAAAAGTTTGCAAATACGGTGATCCACTAACGATAGAATATACCGGCCAACCGGTTATTTGCGGTGATAAAACTGGCATAACGTGCCCTGCACCTTATCAATGCACGAACAGTCTAGGTGGCGAAACGAAAGACAACGGTCAAAAAGTTTGTTGTCCACCGAAGAAGAGTAAGTAAAAACGGTGTCTAAACAAATCACCAGATATGTTTTAACGGGTGAATTATTTTAGAAGTAGTATGTCCGTTAGTCAAATGCAGAGCTTGCGAAAGTGGTTACTATAAGTACGACAAAAACGGCTGCCAGACCTGCGAATGCGGCGAAGATCCTTGCTTGAATCACCAATGCAAATTGGGCGAACAGTGCGTCTTAGAGCAAGTCCAATGCTTCACAACGCCCTGTCCGCCGATTCCTACGTGCAAGCACATCTGCCCGCTGTACTTGTGCATCGACAATAACTGCAAAAACTACAAGATCGATGAGTACGGTTGCAGGACCTGCGAATGTCTCGACGATCCCTGCAAGAACGTCCAATGCGATCCGGGCCAAAGGTGCGAATTAATGGATGTCGAGTGCATCAAGGCGCCCTGCCCGCCCGTGCCGACGTGCGTGTCAATATGCCCGCCGATCGAATGTCCGCTGGTCAGTTGCGCCGAATTCTGCAGATATTACAAATACGATGAGTTCGGGTGTCAAACTTGCGAGTGCGACGATCCCTGCGCTCTTGTGGACTGCCAATGCGGCGACACTTGCATCGTGGAAGAAGTGATATGCAAGAAAGCGCCTTGTCCTCTGCAAGCGAGATGCGTTCCTACTTAATTCAATTCGTTTTTTATGTAGATAACAGTAGTCAACAAAGTATTCAATAAATTGGTGTTAAAGTTTGCATTTTTGCCACATGTCGCTGCATAACATCTCTAATAAATTGAATCTTCGAAAAATGTATATCACACCGTTCATAAAGGAGTAACAATACCTACAGTTTTAATTTAAATTAGCATAACAATTAGACGAGCAATTTCCAAGACTGACGTATATTAAAGGTAAAAGTAACCTCTAACCTTAGCAAACGTTCAATTTTTCAAACACTTTAACTTACTGTGATTGTTCAGAACATTTTGCTTGCGCTTATTTATTGGAAATGCCAATCGTACCTATTCTGATTTAGATTTGAATAGTTTCAATGCAGCCATAAAATAAAGTGGTTGTATTGATTAATGAAATTATTTAACTAATGGAAAACGGCACTTTTTATGTATTGATATGGACGTAATATAAAAAATAGGTCTTAAAGGCAGGCCTTTTAATGTTTTTTTCAGTATTACGCATTTTAAATTATCAGTTAAAAATAATGAAATGTGCCTTGGAAATATTCTGTTTTTCAAAGCCTGTTTAAATATACATCATTAGGTATATGAGTTATTTGAGAAAAAACAGATTTTACATAAAATAATCGTATAGAGGAAGGCATTTTTTAAATATACCGAGCGTCCAAGTTCGAGCGCTGCAATCAGTAGAAAGAGAGAATCAGTCGAACTGAGGAGAGGCGCGGCTTCGGCGCGAAAAATCGGCGGACGAATGCAGGGTTTCAAGATGACCGCTCGGTATATAAATATTTAGAAATTACTATTAGCTGATAATTATGTAAAATTATTTTTATTCTTACATTAAAAATATGGAAAATATTCAAAAAAATGCTACAAATACAAATTCAGATTTGTCACTAGAATTATAACATTCAGAACTCTTAACATGACGAGAATCCTTTACATTTGTATAATTTGGTTGAATTGGACGCTCATTGCAGGTATTTTAATATAAATATTAGTATTCAT